GGGGCTGAGGATGTCGGTGACGCTGAACGGCGTCGAATGTATTGCGCTCTGGTGCTGTAAATGCTGGTGCAAATGGTGCGGACCCAGAGCCAAGTGGTGCGGAGCGGTGCCGTGATGCAAATGCAAGTGATGCTGTTGATGAATCGAATTCTTGGGAGGCGAAAGACTCATAGCCAAGTCGACGCCGTTCAAGTCCGGCAGAACATCGGTTTGCTGCTGATTGGCGTCCTCGCTGCCGCCGGTGACCGTCCCGTTGTTACTGTTGCTGGTACTCGTGTTGCTGACGATGCTGTCGCACGCCACATAACCGCCGTTACCGGACATGTGTTTGACGACGAACAAAAATTAAATCTTCGCTCGTGGCGCACTAACACTACGCACATCCGCTCCCGGTTCCTGCTTTAACCCGGAAGCAAAGAACCGATAAAATCAATCGCCATAAAAGATAAAAATATGCCACGCGCGACACTGTTTAACTTTTCGACGGGTTGATAAAAATCGTTATTGGTATTAGATACGAGGTCAGTAAGGAAGGCGCGCGAGCCTTGGACGCGACTCTTCAAAAGCACTTTACGACTGGAAAGACGTTCAAGGAGTACTCGAGGAAAATACTCGACTGAGGTGCTCGAAACAACTCGATGCGCTCGGCCACGCCCGCCCCGTATCGTGCTCCCTCGTTCGGGCCAATCGCAGTCGTCGGTGCGACAATGTGCGCCTCGTGCCAATCGAGGCGAAGGCCGGTGCCAGCCGGTGCCCCGTGTACGGCCCTCGAATGCACGCCGCACCGCCTCGCTGTACCGCCGCTACGCGATTCCTGAATTTCAACTCCTCGCTGATTTCAAAACGTACATGGGAACGTAGCGCACGACTTCAATCAGTATTTTATCAAATTGTTGGAATTGTTCAGATAGTTCATAGATTGCCCACAAGCCGCAATTTGTGAAAAATCTATTAAAAGTGTTTTATATCTTTAATGATTGTGATATTGTAACTTATAACAATGTTAGAAATTGTTTATTATTATTAATTAATAAGTATTTGCGGCAAATAATAACGCTGGGATTTAGTTTCATTTAGTGACAAATTTTGTAAATGTGATTAATTATTTGTTCAATAAACAGGAATCACTAATCAAACTTTGAAAATGTAATTACATAATTTACAAAGAAGTGACTAATTTTTTCAAATTTGAAAAATATATAATCGAAATTTGATAATTGATAATATATCATGTTGTTTTAATAATTATGGTTTACATTACATTGTGAATATACATGTAAACATTCATAATATAAATGCCTAAAAATAAATGTCACTCAGATTTATAATTTTTGGTGTATTTCAGTGTGCATATATAGTGATGTTTGTATGCTTTGTGATTTATTCAGCTCGAAATATTTCTTCAGTGTTAATTTTATTTAATCATATAGGTATCGGAAATAAATATGTTATTTTTATGCTAAAATATACACAGTAATAACTACATATATAAAATATAATTGTATTCGGTGCATTTTTATAAGAGTAAAATGCAAAAGTTCATTTGATATTTTTCTTTTAAAGAACTATAGTTATTGTCACTTATCACAACATTGAATTTCATTAAAAAAAAATTATGATCTCTATAGAGAAAGTATAAAAATAAGTACCTAATTCAAACGAATATAAAAGATTATATCAAGTCTAATTCGTATGACGTAAATTTTGAGCACGAGTCTGACTTGTCTTTGATAAAAAAATAATATTGAAATTCATACTACATTATACACTTATTTCTAGGCTTATTTTAATGACTCTAATATATAGCTTCATAAAATTAATACACGACATTCGAAAATGCTAAATACTATATAGTACCAAAAGGTCAACTAATGTGTATAATTTATATAATGTAACAAAGAAAAGTCTATCATTTTCAATATTCATGTATCAACTTCCTTCTTTTTTAAATTAATTTTAAATTTATATTTACCAAAATAAAATAATAAATATAATTTCAACAAACTTTTAAAGTGGCCCAAAACGTTTACTTTGGTTTAAAGAGATCAGAAAACAACTGACTTGCAATTACCGTTTTTTATATTCACAAAAATCAAGAAAGTATATCTTTGTAAACTGTTATACAACAATATATGATGAGATGATATAACAGTAACAAGAATTAAATCACAATATTAACAAATAATCGCAATAAAGGTAAAATTATTTGTAAATAGCATGAGCGTAGATACCGCCGTATCAATTTATACGGGGTCCCCCAACGTGAGTACGTCAGCAAAAATTAATATAACTATTCCAAATTTTTCATGGAGGCAGACACTTTAGAAAAACTGAAGTAATCATCAGCAATAAATGATTTAATAAAGCAGCTTGCTGAAGAAAGACAAGAAGAGTGTATATTTATAATTTGAATTGTTTGTGAATTTTTAAAAAAGTGATATAAGAATAAATTTGAAAAATATTTCTTCTAATATTATGCATTTCTTTATTTTGTAAGAAATCTTTACAGTTTGTAGGAATCTCGAACAAATTTTTGTAAGTGATAAGAATTATGTCGTTATGGATTGAAAGCAAATGCACTTTTAATTTGAAATAAAATTATCATTAAACTGAATTAATTTCAATAGAATTTTTCTAGAGAATCTTTTAGAAACTTTCAACGAATCATTTTCTTTTATTTTCAGAGTTTAATCGAAATTCAGTTACAAAAATATCAAATGCAATATGAATTTTAAATTATAATTGAAGCCAGTTAAAAATAACATGGTATTCGGTATTAAAATGTATATCTCAATTATTAAGACTCTCTGATGAGTTTTTGGACAGTACATTTAATTGTTATTCTCACTTAAGCGCAAAAACAAATAAACAGGTAAACTTTTATATTTAGTTGATATAAATGAATGTCAATTCAAATAGATATAACAAATGAAGATAGTATTTCATGATTTTGTTATAATTGTATTCCACAATTTATATAGGTACGAGTTCCCAGCAAATCTTTCATGTACAGCCAGAATCTAAATAAAACTCTTCGTTCAAATAAAATATTAAAAACCGCAATGGAAACGAAACGTGTATTAAAAAAAATGTGTGCTTTGAAAATTATAACACATTGGGCAGCTGGAAATAATTTAATAGACATTAATAATAAAATTTCAACGAAAAAAAGCTTTTACCGCAAGATTAAAAGTTTATAATTTTTATTCTTCTTTTTAGTATAGTTATTGGCTTTTATCTATATACTGCATTTTCTCTAGAATCATCCTTTAACGTTACAAAAGATATCAAGATAAATTTACAGAATTTAATTTTTGGTAATATTTTTATCATTCAGATTGCACAGTAAGTATTCTGAAATAATTTATCAACAATCAACATTTATCAGAAAATTCAGAAATTCCTCCTAGTATAAGCTTCTATAAAACAAGTGCAGCCATCTCTACTTATGTGAACCACCTTTCTGAAATTATCAATAATCCAATGTTACAATCTATTCTCATAAAGCCACAAAAATAACAAAAGAGACTATTCATGGATAATCACTATACATACATACATACATCTCTACTGATATGAAACCATCTTTATAATATTATATATATACATACCTACCCTATATATATGTACATACATACACCTCTATCAATATGAACCACCTCTATAATATTATCATTAGTCCAATATTAAAATCATAAATCCAGACGAATATACTTACAAAGTAGAGACTATTTGCATATAATGACCATACATGCATACATCGTTATTGATATGAAATCACCTTTAAAATATTATCAACAATCCTATGTTCTAATCCATTTTCATGAAGGCACACAAATTCAATAAACTCACACAAATATACTTAAACAGATGGAGATAGAGACTATTCATAGATAATACATACATACATCTCCACTGATATAAACCTTTATAAAATTCTCAATAATCCTTTGTTACAATCCATTTTTGTGAAATCACATGGTTGTACTTACACAAAGCGACTATTTATATAATCCATATACATATATCTTTCCATTGCTTTAACCACTTTTATAATATTATCAATAATCCAATTTTAGAATCCATTATCATAAAGCCACCAATATACTTTCACATACAGAGACTAGTCATATATAATCTGTATATATAGGTACACCTTCAATAATATTATCAACAATACAACGTTAAAATGCAAATGAATATACTTACATATCGTAGATAATAATAGACCATTCGAGGATAGCCTGATCTAAATTTCAAGTCCCAGCTTACCAATTTTTACCTAGTGTAATTGCTTCACTTCTTGCACCATTTTACTAAATTTAGGTGCATCAATATTGTAGGGTCATTCTACCGATAATATTAACAAGATTTTCTTCAAAAGTTTAAATAGACACATCTTATAATAATAACAGAAAATTTACTGGTTTTCCTCTATAATCACCATGCATATCATATATCTTTTACTGTTTCTCATGTTTCAAATATTAGTAGTTTAAACTTGATTGACTGAAAATCTGTAACCACTAACAAAACTGTCTAAAAAAGAAGAAAAGAAGAGGCAAGTATTCTCAAATTAATTTTCAAATTTATTGCGCAATGTTTATGAAGAATTCACCTTATAAAGCAAAAAGTGAATACAAAAAAGCATAGACAAGTAATAACTTATATATATATATAGTCTGAATCAATTAATTATTAATAAAAATGTATGTAATATTATGGTCTATAAACTAAAATACATTAAATAAATTTATGATTACCTTTCTCACACAAAAAAATGACATGAATATGTTTCATAAGAATCAAATATATATATATATATATATATATATGTATATATATATATAAATATATATTTATAATATAATCATAGTTAATATTTCATAATAAATCACAAAAAATAAAATTGAAAATTGATTTACAGCCTAATGTGTGAAAAAGATGCCATAATTTCAATAAAGCATATCATTAAATGAATAACTTTTAAGATTTATTTTTTATACCATGTAAGAAGGACAATCATCAAATCGTTTTACACGAACTCTTTGTTTATAATGATATTCGCGCAGATATGATTTCAAAGCTCTCGGTAATCCTAGCATGCTAATACCATCATATGTAATTTTTGATACAATCACAGATCTACATAGCTGTTGCAAAGAAAATGGATAATTTCGATTCAATGGAACAGTCAGCATAGGTTCAAAAAACATCACACAAGTTGGATCCTGTAATAAACACAATTAAAATTAGTATAATTTTAAATGCCTAAAATAAATAAAGTTATATTGTTTTATATATATGATAAAATTAGTAACAAATTTTATCAATTTCAAATCAAATATTGCTGCATATATTTGATTCATGGACTATTTACATGTCTTGGATAAAATTTCTATTTGTATATTCAACATTTTAATAAAGCAAATAAAAAATACAATTTAATTTTACTTACAATTACTGTGAATTTACTTACAATTACTGTGTAGCTACTAATAAAATCTAATTAGTTTTATTAATACAAACTTTATAATGCTCCAGTAGCCCTGTGACTGTTGATGATGAATATACTCCAGGATCATGAGAATCAAAACTAAATCGATGATTAAATTGCTCAATCCTTGCATGAAGACTCCTTCCATATTTCCTAAATGATACTGAAAATAAATATTCCTCCTGCGCAGAATCTCTCAGTAAGAAGGTTCCTGCAAATAGAATCAATCTGTTAATCAAAGCCATTTTGAACCATTATACTCATGATTATTCGAACTGAAACCGAATAATTATTTACTTTTCATAACATAATACTAATATGTACAAAGTCTACATATACGAGGTCTGTTCAAAAAGTACCCGGAATTTTCGTTTTTTCAAAAAAATATTTATTTATTCGTCTACATTAATGTGGTCCCCTTCAAAGTAGTCCCCCCCAGATATAATACACTTATGCCAGCGTTTTTTCCAATTTTCGAAGCACCCTTGATATTCACTTTTTGATATGTCCTTGAGCACTCTCAGCGATTCGGCCTTTATTTCTTCAATCGAGGAAAACCGCCGTCCTTTCATGGGTCTCTTCAACTTTGGGAATAGAAAAAAGTCACACGGAGCCATATCTGGTGAATTTTTGCACTTTGCAACACTTTATTTCATTTTTTACGCAAAATTTAATACAAATTCTTTGACTTTTCAATTCTTCCATTGTAAAAATCGCCGAGCTCAGAAAAACACGTCGAACCTTAGCGACTACCACAGACAAAGTAAACAGTGAATATAGCTGAAAATTTCATCATACTTTAGGGGCATGTATACCAACACAATAAAAAAAAAATTTTGACAATCAGACACTCCAGACCCGCGAAATTTAATTATTAGTAATTCCGGGTACTTTTTGAACACACCTCGTATGATTAATATCAATACCTTCTTTCTTGCCATCAAGCAAATTTTCAGCTTCATATCTATCCATTTTACCCCAATAAAATGAACATGCTGTAATTTTCTTTAGGTCGGGTACTAAACAGTGTATGAAATCCACCTATAGAATATAAGTAAATTGAAAATGTAACTATGTTACATCAAATTGTGAAACGATACAAAATAATTTCGATCAGTATTTTTATAATTATTCATTGTTACAATAATATCATAAATACTATTTTAATATAAATGCGATTTTATAAAAATATTCTGTAAGTTTTAAAGAACACTAATTTAAATTTATACAATCTGTAAAACTATATACTAAATACAGTATTAAAAAAAAACAACAGTTTGTTCATAGAATTATCTGTACAATTTTTCTTTGGTACCTGTGTATGAACTCTTTGAGCCTGCTCCACAGGATCATGTAGTTGAAAGTGATGGTTAAACAAACATTTAAGTGAATCAACACTTATATCAGATGGACACAAAAGTTGCCAGTGACGTGCTTCCATTGGCCACTGTGGCTGTGATGGAGGTTTCACACCGCCTGTAGAAGACGCACCTGCTATTGTTCATAAATGCTTGTTAAATAAATTATTTCAACATTTTTCACTAATATTACATTTAAGTGGTTTATTAAAACTAGTTCTTAATTCATCTAATAAATTAATATTCTGGTATTTTTCAGAAAAATGAATGGAAGATGATTGAATTATAAATTATAAATTATGTTAAAAATGAGTTTAAAATATACTTCATAAAAGGCTTCTTTAAACAAATTAAAACATAAAATTCAATACCATTATTTAAATCTACATCTTCTGCCCCCTCAGTTGAATTTTGAGCTCTTGTTCTATCTTGATTTTCAGTTTGATATTCGTGATTAAATCTGCAAAAATAATATCACATACAATTCATATAGATGTTTCAATACCTCAAAATATCAATATATTTATCTTCAAAATAAACATCTCAAAATATAAGAAAAACTAAAGCATATTATACCTCATAGGTAGATTGAAAAACTTCTATCAAAATGTTAATATTGGCTATTTGAAATAAATATTGATATTATTTCAAAAAGTCTTGCTATGTTATCATGAATTTGGAAAAGAGTGCTATTAACATATCGAATAGAACACAAGGCTCTATATCAATGTGAAATAAATTAAAATTAAAGTTCAGAGTTCCACAAGGCTCTTTCCTCGGTTCATTATTATTTTTACACCGAAATGCACCGATCTTTGCAACTTCATTCTTTCATTCATTCATTCGCCAACGATACAAGTTTAATTATTAAGGAAAATTTTTTTGGGAAAATATATTAAAATATTTTTAAATTGAAATATTGCACATGTATAAAATCCTGAATCTGAAATATATATCATATATATATATATATATTAGGGTGGTCCTTAAAATGGTCATTTTCGAATTTCCTTGCTCCCAGGGGCTCAAATGGTTCCAAATAGATAAAAAAACAATTCTCTGAAAGTTTTAGCTCTTAATATTAACGTTTAGACAGAGCGCAATTCAATCAAAGTTTTGTATTGTAAATTTTCAATAATTTTAAAAATGTTTTTTGAATGTAATTTAGCGAACAAATGAGTGAATAAAACTCATTCATTTGTCGCTAAGTTACACCTAAAACATTTTTTTTTAATTTTCAAAATTTTTTCCATGCTCTTTCCATACGAAGTTTGATTGAATTGCGCTCTATCTAAACGTTAATATTAAGAGATAAAACTTTCGGAGAATTGTTTTTTATCAATTTGGAACCATTTGAGCCCCTGGGAGCAAGGAAATTCGAAAATGACCGTTTTAAGGACCACCCTAATATATATATATATATATATATATATATATATATATCTAAAATATAATGAATTTCAAATTCAAAATGTATGATGTACAAAAAATATAAATGCCTATGTCAAAAACCAAATACAGTAGAACCTCGATTATCCGGACTAATTGTTGTCGATAGTCATCAAGATAATCGAAAATCCAGATAATCAAAATTATGAAGAATAATGTTTTGTTTATCAAAAATAACAAATACATACATAGATGAGATATCAACAAAAATCGATGTTTATTAGAAAATTAACTAAATTACATATTTTCTCACAATTAGATTACATTATACATATTATATTAACCATGAGGTATAATATTCAGGTGGTACGTAAAGTATCAATGAAGAAGAAAAGTTGCTTACGAATAATTTGTTGATCGTTTTTGTAAAAACACACTAGTAAAGTTACAAACAAACGCGATTATGTCCGGATAATTGAGAATCCGTATAACCGAGGTCCGGATAATCGAGGATCTACTGTACATATAAATAAAATGTAATTTAAATGGGGAAAAAGATTACATAACAGGACATTCTAAGCTAATAAATAAACCTGCTTTTATTAAAATAAATTATTTGTCCAATTAATATTTTTAATATAATTTACCTTGAAATATCCATTAGAGGTGATATAGTTAAAAAAACCACAGGCATTTGCATTTGCAAAGCTACAGCCGAACGTGGTAAAAGTGATGGTTGATTACAAAGTCGTTGCGATGAAGAACTTTCTTCACTAGTAGCATTTTGTGAGTTCTCAACAAGTTTATCATAAATTTCACTTGATATATTTTGATGCACGCTACTAGGACTTATAATTTTTCTAAGTTCATTGATCTGTTTCAAGTCGAGATTTGAAGAAAACAAATAGGATGAACTGGGTTCTTCATTTTTTTTATATCCTATACACACACAATTGTCGCTATTCGAAGTTTTAGCAGAGCTCTTTGATTTAAATTTTCCACAACTGAATTTTAATGCCCAATTGTGCACTTTTTTTTTCGAACTGGATGTTTCACTATTAGAATTATTAACAGAAGAATTATTGGGAGACTTTTTGGATCGAGTATCCACGACAGTTAAATCGACATCAGGCACATTATTGGAGCTAAAGTCTGAACCATTTGGATCACCTATTTGCGAACAATCTCGACAGTCGCCTTTATCACTACTGCTCGAATTTGACGCATTTGAAAAATCATTTTTAACAGACTTGCTCATCATGTAGTATCATATTACCAATAATATTATTTCAATACACTACCAAATGTTGTAAATATCTATACATTTGTGAATAAATATATAATAAACATATAGATGATGTGATGTGATATAATAGCGTTTCAATTTTCTAAATTATAATTATCCTATATTTTATTTATATCATATTGATAATAACAATAGACAATAACAAATTGCTGTTAAATATTAATTTCCTAAAATTTTACTAATTTCTGGTCACTTTGACAATTACATCGCCATGTTTCATTTCACTTACAGTTTACCACAGATAGAATTACGGAGATATAGAGATTGGACCTCTCTATTCATGTTAGTGATTTTTCACCAACATGACAATGCTGAAAGATTCTAGGAATCACTAACTTCAATTGCTAGAACTTCTAGTACCGTAACGAAATGTTCGAGTAATGTAAATGTTTTCAAATAGATTATTATAAATACTGTAACGTTGTCTAATATTTATAAGAATTATATAACCTGCAGTTTATATAATTCTTATAAATATTTGCAATTTGCAAATTTGCAAATATTGCAATTCATGAATTGCAAAGTTGAAATTATTTGTTTAAAGTATATTTGAACTTTAGTCAGAATTAAAATTAAAATCTGAATTATTTTCGATATACAAAAAAAAATTAAAATTTTTTTTTTCAAAAGCAATTATTTCGTCAACACAAGCAGAAAGTTATTTGAATCATTCAAGTCGGATGCTTATTTCTTGCAAAAACTGCCATTTTTGTACATTTAAGTCTGTATCTTCTAAGTGGCTGGACCTGTCTTTGCCAAAAACTAATCACCACTTCTCCCAATCATTACAAATTGAATGCTTTTTATTATTTATTGAAAAACTCGATTTCTATTGTCTGCACTATTTGCTCTTTATCTCCGTAGCTGCTGGACCTGCCTTTGCCAAAAACTAATCAGCTCATCTCCCTATGAATAGGAATCGAATGATTTTTGAACCATTCAAATCGATTGATCCGTGCGCACGAAAACCTAAAAGAAAAAGTGCGGACACCCAAAACACACATACACACATTCTTTTTTTGAGGTATGCCAAAATGTTCAGAAACCTGCAAAACGTGGAAAAATGCAAAGAAAATTCATTTTTGATTTTCGACCCATTACTATAACTACCGTACGGAAAGTTAATAAGTAACTTGACCACTATTGTTAATGATATATTGTGTTATTATAATTACTTTATTAATTATTATATTAACTTATACAAAAAATATAAAAAAGTTTAATGTCAGTTTTAAGTTCAAACAGTAGCCAGTTACGACATCTATAGACATTCGATTAGCTAATGGGATAATCACAATTAAACTAAAGTTCCAGTATTTATTTTATAAAGAATTTTTGAAAATATATGATTTTTATAAGTTCTAAATGATAGGTAGAATGAAAGAATAAAGAAAACTGTAGTAGAAAATATCTGATTTCTTAAAATAAAAATAATTGAAAATAGAGAACATTTGCAACTATATTTAAATTTTGTACATACAATGCAATATATCCATTATGTTAATAAATATTAAAAATAAAACAATGTTATTTACAATATGACATCATAAATATTGACTTTAAATTGTTTCAAATAAATAATAAAATAATTTATAATTTATGATACAAACACACATTCTCACGCGCATAGTTTATATGCTACATATATCTAGTATAGTATTGTGTATAATATATTTATATCTTTATTTTTTCTTAACTAGATATTAGAATCTTGTATAAAAAACTTTGTATACATTATTTTGCGCCGTATACTTTGAAAGTGAATCTACAACACTCCATTAAATCAAATAGTTTAATAACAATTACTTATATATAAAATTTCTTCATTACATTAACAGTTTAGATGAAAATCTGTATACTCTGTACATTATAACAACAAACATATAATATGTATATTGAAAATATATTCCTTTTCTAATCTTCGTTCATTGGATTATACCATCTGCGTGCTGCTTGTTTGTAAAGTTGTTTTCGAATAATATCTTCGGCTTCATCATTTAAATTTTTTATAACAGTTTGTTTTGTACTAGATACTCGAGGGCTTCGAGATGTTACACGAAATTCTGATGGCACATTGTAACATTTGCAAACACAACAACTCGGAAACCGGAACCAATCAGAAAATATACCTCGGCACTCGTTTTGAGGATCGTAAGCTAAAAGGCGATGAAGTCGGTACTGTTGTTCGCATCTGAAATTAACGTATTTAAAAAAAAGATTATTAAGTACTAATATTTTTCAAATTAAAAAAATATGTATTCGTGATCTTTCACGCTGAGCAATGATTGCTGATCTTTGATTAAAATATTCGAATTCTATTATTCCCATCAGCTCACCTGCAACCTTGCCTGCAAAACATTTGCTTTTGCTCATGACTACATTTTTCCCAGTGGACATACTGCTCAAATGGATACAAATTTAATAATGCTAAAACTTCACCCCGGGTGTTGTTGGCCCAAAAAGGCGCCACTACTTCTTCTTTCACTGGGCATGCATTTCTAGAAATATTATTATATGATATTAATAATAATATTTTATTATTTAATATAATTCAACTTTACTGACACTCCTCTGATCTTCATTATTGGAGGCGCTGACTCTTGTGCCGTTGTATCTTGAAATAGTTCTGTCCCTGACAATTCTTTGTTCTGTAAAACCGTAGTAGTTTTATAAATATTAGCAATTTTTTCATTTATTATTTTTACTTTATTATCTTCTTTTTCTGCAGCTTTGGTTACTGTAAAATATCCAGTTGTTTCTTTTTTATTTTCTTTATCTGTAACAGGTTCTTCATTAATTTGATCGCCTGGTAAACTATCACTTAATAAATGAATTTCTTCTGACTCATTGTCTAATATAGTTTCGTATTCCGTGGTCATATCATTGTCTTCAACTAAAGGAGTTGGAATCATAGTTAAACTTTCTTCATCATCATCATCATCATCAACGATTTCTGAGGCATTACTATAAATACTGTTAGAATTTTCACCAGTTTTCAAAAGATTTTCAATTTTGACATCAATTGGTTGAAAATCATACAGTGTTTCAGAACTATTCAAAGCGGAACCGGTTTTATTATTGTCCGTTTCGTAATGCTCTCCTTTCTCAGTTTTAACTATAGATGAATAAGTAGTTGGCCTAAATCGGTATGGAAGAATAATGTAAGATTCCTTAAATATTATATTTTATCTCAATTATATTGTACAGAATATTTAACTTAATTAATTAATCTTCATTACTATACACATGCGTATATATATAATATATAACAAAAATTCTATGCTATGTTTATATATAGTTTATTATAAGAATGAAATCAATAATGTCTTTAAAAATTACATAACATTATATATATATATATATATATATATATATATATATATATATATATATAGTGATTAAGGTGGAATTAATACAATAGTAGTGACAAGTGCAATTAAAAGCACGAATATGGCTGGCTAAATAAGGATGATAAATGGTTAATTATACTTGATTGAAAAAATGCAGCAAGTTCAAAATTTTGTTAGAATAACCTTATTAATCAATTCAATTTAAATTTGCCTACCTGAAGTGTGGCATTGTAAAAATTTCATTTGTATATTTCAAATTTAATAAGTTTTTGCCGCTAGGTTTTCGCTTAACTTCTTGTCGTAAGTACCTAGAATTTGAACTCCAGTATTCTTTACTCGCAGGTTCAATATTGATAGTATTGTCATCTATTTCAGCTTGGAGTACTGCGATGTGGCGCTGATCACCATACATGCGGCGCATCAATCCTGAAATATTGAAATAATTAAAAGGTGGGAGTCCATAGACAGAAGAAGGATATGGTAGAGTCAAACTCGTTCTGCTGAGAATTCCGTCCCAGATTCAACAGTACAAATTAAAGGTTTGCTTTTTACAAAAACTACAAATTAAAGATCTTTCCCTTTCATTTTCTCGAAAAAGTCTAATATGAGTACACCCAAAGAAAAATTTCTTAAGCGATATCTAACAGTTTTGAAGAATAAATCATAAACTATAAAAACCACTTAATCGTCAATAATAATACGACAATTCGTTAAGGCTCTTAGACCACGACAAAACATAATCAGAATGAAAGTTACTTATGTAATGAGTGTAATTATTGAAAAAAATCGCTATAGTGTCAATTTAATTATTAGATCAAATAAAGAATATCAACATGCATTCGTTCATTGTATAACATGTATAATGAAAATAAAATAATGTTGCACAAAAATATTTTCGTTATGGAAAGTGATTAAAAACTGACTGAACCCGAATTAAAAACCAGGTTCACAATTGATAATTCAGATAATTTTCTCTACATGTTATTAACGTCACGTTATGTCCAATTCGAGAGTATCACACGTCTTTGCATTGTTGCAAGCATGTCATAAAATATCTATTCAAATAAATTAACACTTTAAAATTTCATCAAAAAGATAAAACAAATATTACACTATTATCGAGTCAATAAATCGTCATATAATAATTACATATAATACATTACCAACTGCAAATATTTTACAAATTTGGAAGTATAGAGAATGTTATTTTATAAAAATTTGTCGTCAGTCCTGATCTTTGCTATATTAGTTATCTTGTTTTATTCAAGCATAAAATCAAAATACAAGCCGTTTAATACGTAACTGTTATTAATTTAGAGCAAATCAAACATTCATCACATTTTTAGCACCATGAAATACATATTATGCTTTAAATCTTGATCAGAATTACGAGAGCAAACTTAACGGATCGGTGAATTCACTGCTATTATAACAATCAGTTATTACAATACTTAAACCATAAAACTGAAATATAAAGGTAATATTATATCATTCAAAAATCAACTGATCAATGAATAAAACAGGGGCATAAACGATTATATTAAGTAGAAGTAATTTACATAGCAATTTAAAATAATTAAAATAGCCAAGAAAGGCGAAAATAGAACAATAGCATTAGACATATTGCACTTAATTAATAAAACAAAACGATTAAAATTGGAGGATATGTGAATTACTAATAGTAAACTAGATTTATAAGCTCTAAGAAATAAACATACAGGTCTATCATCTTGTACTATAATCAAAATTAAAATAATTAAAAATGTAAAATTGCAAGTCCACTCATATATTATTCAAAAAAATTTTGACTACGGATTTGATATTTAAACATATGGACGCTTATGTAAAAATTATGAACTTGAAATAAATATTGAATATTTATCATTTTTGAGATCACTCGTGGGTAAGTTCTTAGAGCGCCTGGATCTGAATCACAGAGGTTCGAGTTCGAGGAGCCTGATGTCAAGCAGTACTGACATCAGGTTTTTCTTAGATATATTGATAGCAATATATTTCGAAGTAAAAATAGTCCTCATCCGATATTGCTACATCAATAAAATAATAATAAATAAATATTAAACAATAAATTAAGAAAATTGTAATAATGAATAAGTTTATCGCACAGATATGAGATTGCTGTTTGGGTTGCCATCTGTGAAACCGAAGTATTAAGTCAAATTAGCTTAACAGCTAACAGGGCTCTTAAGTTCTGATTACTATTCAAAAACTAAATAAATAAATAAATAAATAATCTTAGTTTGAATCAGTAAATGAAATATTTTTTACCAAATACCTTGGTTTTCATGTACAAACTGTCTAACGGCATGCCAGGGATATGTGGAACCAGGCAAATGGCAATAATTATGTTTGCTAAGATCGCAGGGTATTCCATGCAGAGTTCTTGCACGACCGATTCTAGTAGCTTCCGGGCTGCAGCTGCTAAACGAATCGTAAGCTTCGCCTTCCCTTATGTACCACAAAGTCATGCAACAAAATATAACCTGGAACAATGTTTTTTTTTCAATTTTATCATATTTTACTATTAAAATGCCCAATAATTATTATTAAAAGAAATAGATTTATAGTAATCCATTGACTGCCTCAGCAATATTAAAATATCTGGTCAAAAACGATAATTTGATTTAATCACATTATAATAAATTATATTATTAAAAGCTCTAATTCTAGTATATAGTTCCCATGAAAAGTAAAAAAATGTATATACAAATATAATAATAAAATAATATTTGATATGTATTCGATAATTTACGAGTTATCTCGTAATTGGCAGTCAACATGTTGAATTATTTTGTAAGTATATTTTAGTAAAAATATAACTGATTAAAAAAATGTAAAAATTGAAAAAATGCAGTTTGAATTATTGCAAAGATAAAATGACCAAAAGAATAATTGATAATTGATGAAATTCGATCATTATTCATATATATATATTTTTATCTACTGAAAACTGTTTTTGCGAAAATTACAGCAAGTGAACAACTTGGAACAAATTAAGTATATGAACACCAATAATGCAATAATAACAATACATATATGTGTTTATCGCATTAACGTATGATTTAAATAAATTATGTTTAACAAATATTTCTTTGAAGACTAATTTCTGCAAAAATTACACCAAGTGCACAAGTTCGCACAAACTATATAAATTTATTCCCTTAACTATGATTATAATAATGCAATAATAAGAATACCTATATACGTTTATCGCGTATTATTACGTATATAATGTTTAACAAATATAAACAATAACGTATATAATTTATCAGAAAATATGCGATTTGACGCTTAAAAATTTTATTGCAACTAAATTTAATTGCTATTTGGAGTTGATATATTTAGCAAAAAAAAAACAATCGACCAAATCCATTGATAAAGACAACAAAATAAAAGTCAAAGTAATAGAGAAATAATACCGTAGTTAATATCAACAAAATAATTATTATTATAATTTGAGTTGCCGTCTGTGGAACCGACTAGTATGAAGTCATATCAGCTCAACGACTTATAGGAGTTTTAAGTTCTGATTGCTGTTCCATTTTTTTTAATTTAAATCTGTCGTTTTAAGACAACATTCAGCAATTTTGATGGTTTATTAAATAAAGGAAAAAGGTCTTAAGGTCACCCAGTGGTGATCCGTTTTGATGTTGGATATGTTTATAGCTTATAGATGTAGTCCTGATGTGAAAATATTTAATTAAGCCTAGGAGTAATTTATACAAATTATAGGATTACTAAACGATATCAAAAATGGGCCGTTTTCTTCTGAGCCGTTCGATGCCATGGGTTTTTATTACATTTTTGGCCATGATGTTTGGGTGGTTCTGTATTCTATCCTTGTATCTCAGACTGAATTTTTCAATTTCTTCCATAACAGTGTTCATGTTCAAATCTGTATGAACCAACCTATTTGGGACATACTTGGGTGCTGTTCAAAATAATACGAAAAAAATAGTGTGAAAAAAATATTTAGACAAACATTCGACAAAAAAATTACTCAAAGCAAAAAGCTTAAATTATTTGATCGATAAATGTGTAGAAACATAGTTTTGCATAATCCCATAATCAAATCAAGCCACATTTACAATTCCCGACAATTAGATCAGAAATGTTTGGTAAATAATTATTTAGTCGATTTTATTGCTCTCTCGCAAATTAACAATAACAAAGAAACATAGATTAATAAATGCAATAAAATGGAAACGACAGATTCTGTTTGAGCAACCAATTTAAATTTACTTTATGCCGAAATGGTATAAATGATTAGCATATATTTATTTATTTATTTGCTTCTAAGACTTCTGCATTTTACATGTAACATGTAGAAATCATCTTGCACAACAAACGTTTCCGACATTTCAATTTGTGTATTTGATTCATCTGTTTCATTTACATGAAGTGTGAAATACTTTCACCTCTTTGTGAAGAATAATTGTGGATAGTTTCTTATGCGACGTTGATGATTTCGCAATTTAGCTTTAGATATTGACATTAACAAAATACAGGGCTAATCCAGAAAATTCGTAATAGAATAGAACTCATATATGTAAATTATTTAAAAAAAATTTCATTCATTTGTTGTCATTCCATAAAAAAATAAAATAAATGAATATTATATATATATATATATATATATATATATGCATATGAATATACCAGTGTATTGTGTGCACACATGTGGATATATTTGTATGTATTTATTTGTGTATCTAGAACACGAATGACCGCGTGGTGCTATTTCACTAATTTGAAAATGCTGTGATCCAAAAATTTATTATTCAACGTTGTTTTAAAGTTTGTTGCATGTTTCATTATCGTGTTCATTAAACTCTGAATATATAACAAAATTCATTTATTATATATGTATAAATAAATATATGTATATATATATATATATATATATATATATATATATTTAAATGTGTATAAACTAAAAAGAAGAAGTATGCAGTTTATCCATTACGAGTTAGTTTGAAAACGTAGAAAAAGCTGAGAGTTGTCTTTTATATCATGGACCTGGTCAGAGTACTTTTTGCTATATGTACCAATATATTTACGATTACAATGCGTTTATGCCAAAAATAAATTGTAAAGAGTTTTTTTATTTTTATTTATTTCCAATTATTTTTTACTTCAATAAAATGCTAATTATTTAGTCAATTTTCATTTCGATTAATATTTTTAAAATAAAAAAGATGACCACGGTTAAAACTGGAGCAATGGAACACTCACATGTGATCCATAGATAAGAGTATAATTTATGTGAAATATTATGATGTGATCATTGTCATTATCCTGCAATAACATAAAAGCTGAAATCATAGATCGACGTTCGATAAATAGACGTTTTATGTTTATACTAATGGATTTACATATCATGCGGTGCGTTTGCTTGAAAAAGTTGTCAACACAAGTAAAGGCACTATTTAGAAAGTAATTACTACCAAATATAGACATGATATACAATTAACGTTTGGAAGTATTGACAAACACTTAAAAATATTACTTACATGAATACATAATATAGCATGAACCATTTCGTTTTAATCAATTAATAACGATCACTTCACAAATGCACGATTTCTTTTGCAATCTATCTATTAACACTTTTAACATTGTACACAAATTTTTCACACGATTGAATTCACATTAGTAAAATGCAACAATTTAAAATGTAGTAAACTTTAAAAACAATTTCTGTCAACAGTCAACGTTCTGGTGCATGTAGCTTTGACATTGACTTTCAAACAATGATGAAATTAGGGTCTTCTTGTTCAGTTACCGTAAGAAAAAGTGTGTCCGTTTCTGGGTCATACGCAAGCTGGGGGTCTTCTTAGGTGGGGACTAAAATGGAGAAAGTAGTGGGAACACTCATTTAGCACATCAAACGCATCAATGATTCTTAACTTATTCATACTTCAACATTCTATATTATAATATTAAGAATTGTTTAAATTGTAATAATATGTTGAACTGCTGTTCGACAAGATATGCATTATCTAACTATATTAATTATAAAATTGACTGGCTTTCAGTACCAAATCTCTAGAGTTTACTTTTCAATTAGTACTATTATTATTGAGTTTCATTATTTCAGATTTGGAATCTATGGCGATATCTTACAGCTTCTACTTATAGGTCATACACTTATGGACTGGACCGATGCTCCTATTTAGTAAAATGCATATTATACGTGTATATATATATACATATATATATATATATATATTTAAATATATACATATATATATTTAAATACTAAAAATATGTGTCTCTATAAATTTACATATAAATATTTCCGTGTAAACAAAATACACACACAAATATCTTAGTTTAATTGTTAGAATGTAATTAATATTAAGTTTGTCTAAAATTCTGCCATAACCTTGTGAAGATTAGTGTCGTTTGAATATTGGAAAACGTCTATATTCTAGTTTTTCTTCGATTATTAATAAATAGATTATCATAAGTACTGTAAGCTTTTGTAAAGAAAATTCTTTCAATTAGTGCAATTGGTTACAAATCAGTTAACTACGGTATTGTTTTAAATTATCCTCATTTGTCCGTCAAATTCACGTGTTGTAAAGGAAAACTAAAAGTGCCGATTACGTTTGTTTCATCACGCTGTTTGGAGTACATTAAAATAGTCCAATTTCCGACGTATGCAAGTGAAATTATATAAGTAAGCATGTAGTTGCAAGTGGATTATGCTAAAACGCTCTATAATAATAATAAAAAGCAGTCTGCCCAAAGGCAGGTCCATGGAGTGAGAGCCATCACAAATCAATGATTCTCTTTCCCTTCCTTGTTTATCATTCCCGTTACCGTTAAACACTGTTTTGTTATTTTATGAATTTTTCTTTACGGACTTCTGCTTCAATGCTTCTTGGTCCCGTGCTTCGGCTTTCAGTTCCCTGTATTTTCTATTCTCGAGTAAGTAATCACTCATCTGCTTCTTCTTCTTGTGCAAAAGGCATTCTTTGTGCAGAATGGGTCCGAACCAGTTTCCTTTCCATTCCAGGATCATGATCAGTAGACTTTTTAAAACTCTCTAGTTTAATATTCACACAGCATCATTTTTTTCAAAAAAAATGATAAACACATTCTTAACTTAGAAAGCCTAAAACTTCGACATTAAAATGTCAATTTAATAACACACAACTTCAGAATCAATTTTACACAAATTTTCTAACATTATGTTGTGTCATTATTTATAATATTTATAATTATTTGTTTTCTAGGGCTTATATATAAAAAACTACATCAAATAAAAAGAAATTATGTCTATAAGATTTTATGTGATCATCAGAGAATATTGAACAATGGATTATCACATTATTACATGTGCTCTACAAACATAATTAGCACTAACATAGTACACCAAACTTGGTAGTAATTATAAATATTGTGATATTGTAATACATTGTAAACGATTCGTCATTAAATTATTTATCAAAAATAATGCATTATTCATAAATTATTAACAAGTTTAGTGAACTACATATTGCTGTTAATTATGTTTGTAGTGTACCAATAAATTATATAGTATTAACCAAAGACTTAAAAGAACAAATTGAATAAATAACCATGAAAAATTATACAAATATATATTTCATTATTTTCGATTACAATTATCACATTGTAAAAAATATCAAAAATCATTTATTGCCATGCATAATAGATTAAAGAAACAAAAAATAATTCATATCTCAAACAATTTTTTAAAAAATATCGTTAAAATATATTATTTCCCCTGAAACACACTACCAAAATAACTTAACAGCAAACTATGAAGCGCTTACGAACGCAAAAGCAGACAATTTGTAAGCTTCAACAATGAAATTTACGATTAGAAAAAATAACTAGTAGTGCACGGCATCATGCTTTGAGGCAATTTTCTACAACTTTCCGTACCAAAAAAAATCTCTTTTTTATATTTTGAACCATAGATAAACAAGTGTAGAACTCTGTTTCAAAGTAATCGAAGCGCGTAAGTGCCGCGTCGTAGTCTGATGGATGAACATTGGTATGGAACACGGAATCCATAGAAATATAAACAAAATTTGTTACTTACTATTAAAATATCTATAATCATATAAAATAAGACATAATTTGATGTGCATATGTCTAATGCTCATTTTTTTTGACTGCCAAATGGCATTTCTCTTACTTTTTTATTGGAACTCCAAAACCGCTGTATCTGCCTTCCCTAAAATTTAATCAGTTCCTCGTTTTGTCAATATAAATGAAATGTTTTTTGAATCATTAAAATCGAACGGTCCATTATCTCAAAACCTGAATTACCATTTTTGGAACTTTTGTCCTGTATCTTCAAAACAGCTGGACCTGCCTTTGCCAAAAACTAATCAGCACGTCTTCCCGTTAATACAAATCGAATATGAATTTAACTCTATCAATTAATATAATAAATTATTTTTGCACTTTTATATCAACCATATAAAATAGAGTTCAATACAAATAAATTGAAAAAAAAACAAAAAAAATCTAAACGCTACAATGTTATTAATTAATTAAACAACAAAGAGTTTCATACTATTACTTATTGTTAGAGTATTTTCTAGAAGGGCGGCTGAATTATTCAAACTTCAGTAAAATTTTAGAACTGAACCACATTCAGAAGAACTATAAAGTTTCATGATGCTCCTAACGATCAATTACTCAATTGCTATGCCAATTATTATTAAAATCTTCGAAATTTTTTTAACAACGATAACTGGCTGATTTTTGCTTTAAACTAATCAGTACCACCATTCCCAAATAATATCTTTTGAATAGTATTTGGATTTTCAAAATCGGATCAGAATTTTTAGCTAAAACGCTAAATTTTAGAAAAATTTTACACTTTTCTGCTGATTCTAAAGAAACGGCTTAGCCAATCGTATCAAAAACTAACCAACACGAGGTTATCAAGTTTCATGTCTTTTAAATTTTTGAAGTCGGTTCAGCCGTTTATCAGAAAACGTCGATGAAAGTCTAATTTTGACAAATGTCAATAAAGACCTGTTATAGAACCGTAATATTTTAGTATGTTCTATAAGATCGTCAAAAAACAGTTTCATAAAAATCGTCGAAAGTTCTTTTCAAGAATTAATTTTTTACAAGAAAACGGCCCAGCCATTCTTTACCAGCAAACTAATCAGCACGATTCCGAACAAATATCTTTTAAACGATTTTTGAATTTTCAAAATCAATTCAAGATTATGAGCTGAATCGTGGAGAATTTTTTTATACATTTTTGCTTATGTACAGAAAAACGGCTAGACCAATCATCGTGCAAAACTAATAAACGCTAATCCTCATCAAGATACATCAAATGGATTTAAAATTTTTGCAATCAGCCTAGCCATTTTTGAGAAAATGTCGACGTAAGGTCAAAAATTGACTCACATACACACACATACATTTTTCAAATGTGGTCTCATTGATTCATTATGGCTTGAAAACAAGCTTGTCGAGAAAAAACCTAAAATTAGCAAATCGGATTTTCTGCCAAAAACATAAACTTCTCCTTCTGGAAATTAATCATAAAAATGACAACTTTTGGCATCAAACCACGACCAAACGTCGAGATAAAAAACAATAAATAAAGAACTATTTATTTATACGTTTTGACACAGTTGTGTGCCATCATTCAGCAATTTTTTATAAGCAAATAGTTTTTATACGCCCTCCAAAAAATTAATCATATATATATATATATATATATATATATATATATATATCTTGAGGATTTTTTGTTCGACGTTGAAACATACTAAACAATATATATATATATATATATATATATATATATATATATATATATATATATATATAAGACTTAAAAATATGAACACACTGCATTATTTTTAGCACTATTTATTGAATAATATTATGTTACAAACGTTTCAAGACTAACCATAAGGTTCGTCTCGTCTTTAGTGTAATATAAATAAGTTTACATATGATCACATATTTTCTCATCATCTATATACAACTGGCGAGGTCAGTGTGTACATATATATACCAAAATATTAAGGAAAATATATAGAATACAAGTGGAAGTATTATATACCAACTTTATTATTTCCATATGATTCAGCATATGATCCTATGCCATCTTTAGTAGCATCAATTCGCCCAATTAATTTACTTATCTTTTATATTATAGATCTAATTTCAACATTACTTTTTTATACAGGTTCAAACATGTGGTGCAAAGCAATGAGACGATATTAAGACCTAAAGCCTTTTTGTATGTTTAAGCAATGCTTTCCATTGTTCCATTCCATATTTTTGTTTGGACAAACATTTTTCAAAGCACTTTTCAAAAAAATCAGATAGAACAATGTGAATACTTTGGAAATTCAAGTATAAAATCTATTAATGTTTAAGTTGTTCTATCTAAGTTTATTTAAAACTGTTTGGGTAACCAATAAAGGCTTTACACCCTAAACCGTAATCTGACCACCAATTGAAAGCATTGCTTCAAAAGGCAGAATGACTTTAGGTCTTCATATCATGTAATTACTTTGGTCCCACATGCTCGAGGCTGGATAAATTGTATCTACAATACAGAAGAGAAGTAAAATAAATGGAAAAATATGACATAAGATTATAAATCCATAAGTCGAAACTCTTCCATTTTTAATTCACATATTGCCCTGAATATTTTGATTCACATAATTCAAAACTAAAATTAATATAAAAAACCTTAATATATATATATATATATATATATATATTGAATACACCTAAACAAAATACTAAAATCACATTTTGGAGTAATGAATGTTGATTATAAACTTCTAGGCACTTTATTGACAAAATCAATAAAATTTATTAGCTACCTTATATCTTGCAAAAATAACCAGGTAGAATACATTAAATTATTAAAGAAGTTCCCAACATTTGCACTTCTTTGATTCAAAAATATTGATTGTGCAATAAACAAAATTAAAGCAGTTTGATATTTGATATCAACGTAAAATTTGATTATTTAATAATATTTCATTTATACATGTAAAAAGAATTATTTATAGCAGTTATAAAATTAATTACAATTTGAACATATATCGCAGTACTGAAAATTCAAATATATATATATATATATATATATATATTATTTATTAATATTACCTATTTATTATCAGAATCTTCATTATCCAATTCAAAAGATATTCGTTCTACGGACAATGAAAAAACAGAATGGTTCGCTATAAGGTTTCTATGCAATCTTATAGCATCATATACTTGGTCTACTGTTATCTGTTTTCTATCTTCTTTTTTCGGTTTAGAACTAGAAATAGCATAGTTCTTCAATTGATCAAGTTTATCAGGGTTTGGAAACGTCACTGCAACTTCTGGAGGAATCCGGAACAAAGGATCTGGTATATCAATACCAACATCATATTTGACATTGTTATTTATTGTCTTGTAGGCTTTATATTTTGAAAGTATCCCAGACAATACATTTTTCAAAAAGATGTGAGAGGCTTGCACAATCATTTCTGCTGCACCCTCTGTAGCGTCTTCAATTTCATCTCCCATAGCCACCAATAATCTGCCCAGGACCATAGCCTTATCAGGTAAGAATAGTTCTTGCGCAGAATATGTTTGGACATGCACTGATCCATTAGCATATAAAAAATGATTGGTTTGATTTTGTTTCAATGGGGCATAGTCCTGAATCTGGGCAGGCTCAAATAAAGGTTTCTTCTTAGGATGTTTCTTACTTCTTCGTTTAGAAGTTTTATGACGAGAAGGAGCTGTATTTGTAACTTGGGGTAATAATAATTTAGTTTTTAAAGCTACCATAAAGTTTATATGGAGATAAATATCCTCTGCTTTATCAAATAATAATCTGTTTTTTGTAGTTAACTCTTCCTCTGTATAAATATGTTTAAGCCATTTTTTAATATTAGACCAGTATTCTGTAGATTTGTTGCCGAGAGTTTTATTTATATTATTTTTACAAATATAAACTTGATTGGCCATATCGAAAATATACAGAAAATTTATTTCAATATAAAAAGTGGCAACTTCTATATAACAAAATTCTCATTTATTTATTTGATTTGCAAAATTGAAGATTTTTCACTAACGACAAACAAACATTTTAACCTATAATTGATGCTAAATAAGGTTAAGCATACACATTTATCGTACAGGGGTACCAACAGACAAAAATGCTTTCTGTCATTCTGAACGCTTTGAATTTGTCCGCGAAGCTTTGCTAAAATAATTCAAATTCAATAACTTTGGTACTGATACGCCTTTTAAAATTATAAAAAAGTGACATTTAAAAAATACCTAATCGATTCATAATGTGTAAGCCATGCCTGCCAAAATCATCTAGAAAACTAGTTGGTATTGGTATTGGTATTTTGCTTTGAGGCAAGTTACATGAACTTCCCGATATGTGTAAATAATCGACTTAATCAATAAAAAATAAATTAATTTATGAGTGATTAAAAATATTCTGAGTGGATTCATTACACATAATTGAAAACGAACGAACATGTTAACTCGGAATATTTTCTGAAAGCAAATTTTCACAATATTTCAGTAAGTTCTATAAGACCATGATATATAACAGGGGTCGGCAAGCTTTTAACTGTAGTGTGCCAAGCCACTCTACCAATATGATTTAGAGTGCCACCTTAATTTTGAAATATATAGTTAGGTTCTAGGGGAGAAGAATTATAACCAAATTTATCTTTTAAACATTTTTATTAACAAATAACATGAATTTCTAATATAAAAAGTGCTGGATTACCCCATAGGCCCGGGCCTGAGACGGCATAATTTAGGGCGCGGCAAGTTTTTCAAAATGTAAATATTTTAAACTCGATGAAATGACACGACAATTCATTTTAAGGATAGATCCTGATTTTTTTTTTTTTGTAAATTTAGAGATCATTTTCTATGAAATAGAACGTTATGCGTTTTCTAATCAAATTTATTATTCGTGGGTGCCGCATTGATATTTTCTTGATGTATCATATTTAATATAATAATTATCAAACTGATAAGATTTTTTGAAGAAATATTGAAAACTGTTCGTTTTTTGTAATTTTGTTCAGGTGAATCTTATAATTAAAACGCTTTAAAAACTGTTCGATTGTTTCTAGTTTTATTTTCGGTATTAAATCAAACAATGGCGAATTAACACAATATATTCATTGTTGTTAATTAATTTATGTAATTTGTTTTGTATGTGAAAATATATTTTTTTAAATATGCCTGTAGTATAAAATTAAATCTTAAACTAAAATATCTGACAATTTGGTATGCTTCCTCCAATTGGCTTTTTTTTCAACTTCAGGAAGGCTAAGTTATAATAATCCTAAAAAATCATAAATAAAATTGTTTATATAACTCTACGCTTCAAGTTCTCCTGAACATTTTGACATGCTTTAGAAAAAATTGATGTATGCATGTGTTTATGCGGTTACAATTTTTTGCCAATTGGCATTCGGAAAGACGTGCTGATTAGTGTTTTGTAAAGACAGTTCCATCCATTTCGGAATAGGGAGCAAAGAGTGAAAAAAGTGCTAATTCAATTTTTCAAAAATGGAGCGTCCTATTTGAATAATTCAAGACACTTTTTACTTGTATGACGAAATAAGAACTACTGAAAATTTTGCGAGAGCATGGTCAGCGTTTTTGGTGACCCAAAAAGGTGTCATTTGGTGATAAAAAATGATCATTGACATCAAATTATTAGATTGTTTATAAAAAAATTATTAATTATTACAAATTTTGTCTTCATTATTTTGAATCATTCCGTACCAAGATTTTTGATTTTCAAAGTTTACTTCTTAGATAGTTTAATTGTCCTTTGCAAGGATCAGTCACCATGAATGATTCAAAAAATATTCACTCGGCTTTGAATGAGAGGCGTACTGTTTATGCCAAAGGCAGGTTTAGCATTTTTGGAGATACAGAGCGCAGAAGGTGCAAAAGTGGTTATGAAGGTTTTGAGAGTACAGATCATCCGATTGGAATGACTCAAAAAATATTTTGTTCGTGGTATTTTAGTGATATGAAGAAATGATTAGTTTTCCGAAACGGCAAGTCAACTGGTTTTAAAATTTTGAGAAATTTAAAATATCTAAAATTTTAAAATAATCGAATTAATTTAGAATTAAAAAAAAAAACTCGAAATTTTTGAATATCTCGGTTCTATTTATCGAGTTTAGTCCAATGTCTTTTTAATTTGTGAAATCAGTTCAGGCGTTTTTGAAAATTAAATTTTGATTTATCACATCACAAAAGCGCCTTTTAACACAAATATTGATTATGAAGTTTTATCACACTTTGATGAATTTTTAAAATCGTCAAATATTTTGACTCCTAATTGATATCTTTCAGAAATCTTTTTTCAATTTTAAAAATCGGTTTTTGGCTTTATTCCAAAAACGTAATATTTTTGCTTTTTTATGCTAATTTCAAACAACCGGCTCGTCCAATCGTCCCGCAAACCTAATCTGTCCGGCAGGTTTTTACCAAAAATTAATGAATACAATTCCCAACCAATATCTTTCGAACGGTTTTTAAATTTTCGAAATCGATTTAGAATCGCGGGCTAATTTCACTTTTTTGCTAATTATAAAGAAATGGCTTGGCCGATCGTCGCACAAAACTGATAAAGAATAGTTCTCATCGAGATACATCGAATGACTTTTAAATTTTTGAAATCGGTCCAGCCGTTTTTAGAGAAAACGTCGATTTGCAGCAAAAAATCTGTTCACATACACACACACATACTTTTTCCAAATTTGGTCTCATTCTATTCAGAATGGCTTGAAACGTCGAGTAAACATAAAATAAGCAAATCGGATATTTTGATGAAAACATAAACTTCTCATTCGGGAAGTTAATAATATATGAACGTGTTCATGATCTCATTTGAACTTTATTGCCCTAGACAATATAATAATATAATAATAAGCTTTATTGCTTTATTGTATTGAATCAAAAATCTTTAAACATTTTAAATTGATAGTTTAATAAAAAGTATTAATTCTTGAAAATTCGGGGTAATTGTGTTATTAACATCCCGTAGCGTATGTTATATTAATCTTTACGTTTCAAAGTCTACTGAACATTTCTACTACTGAACAGACTGATCTTTCGTCTGAGCATGTCGGACTCAATGGGTATAATATATGAACCGAGGGAAGTTAATAATATATGAACGTGTTCATGATCTCATTTGAACTTTATTGCCCTAGACAATATAATAATATAATAATAAGCTTTATTGCTTTATTGTATTGAATCAAAAATCTTTAAACATTTTAAATTGATAGTTTAATAAATAATATAATACCGACTAAAACCTGCGCTTTGCCCTTACCTCTGGTACCCATAGAAACCGCCGTTAGGCATTAATTAGTGGGGGAGGATCTAGAATGTTGTTATTCTTACACTGAAATTATACTCACTATTATCTTTTAAATGAGCGAAGTCCCATTCGCTCTTTCCTTTCAATCGTGTGTGTATGAATGTATGTGCGGTTACAATTTTTCGTTGACGATTTCGAGAACAATGATCAACCGATTTGAATAATTCAGCAAACATTTGATTCCTACTGATAAGGAGACGGTGCTGACTAGTTATTGGCAGAGCTGTTTCGAAGGCACTGGACAAAAAGTGCCAAAAATTGTAATTCAGTTTTTGAGAGAACAGGAGCGTCCGACTTCAATAATTCAAAAAACATTTTATTTGTATTGGGTAATTGAAGAATTGATCAAATTTTTGGGACGGCAGGCTTAGCGGTTTCGGATATCGAATGAAAACAGTAATAAAAAATGTTATTTGGTGGTCAAAAGGATCCACATTTAACGCGGCGCTTACGCATATATACAAATTCATACATATACATATACATACATATACATATTAAAGATAAAATGAATGTTCAATCGGCATTTTGTCAATTAGTTTATTATTTTTATAAATATTCAATATAAAAAATACGACTAAAAATGGTAATCGAATGATAAAAAATAGTCTATAATTATATTTTTACTAGAGTTATGAAAAATAAAATGCTAACACTGATCTATTATTGTCAGTAAATTGTCCATTATAATTATCTTATTCACATCTAATTTCTTCACGATTTGTTATCACAAATACTCATAATTTTGAGACCCACTAGTAACGTTTCGCATCTTTTTCTAGCATATCACTAAGAGCAGATCTTATACTACTAAATGTTGGCCTCTGATTTGGTTTAAAATTCCAACACGCCAGCATTATGCTATATCTGAAAAATTCATTTTCACTGTCATGCTAATTCATTTTTCTAAATTGATAGATATAGTAGTTAATTTTTGTGAAGCAAAATAAATAGTTTTGTGAATAAAACGATTAAATAGTTAATATTCTTCTTAGCTTGAGGGAGACTATTTTGATTTTAATTTAGAATTAAATCGACTTTTAACTTTATAAAATATTTATTATACTTACAGTTCTATAGAGCATTTTATTGGACGTCCCATTCGATAACCCGAGCACAAAATTTCGAGTAAAGTCGCGGTAGGTATAGCCGGATAAGGAGTTGCACCTAAGGTCATGATTTCCCATAAAAGTATTCCAAATGACCAACTGTAAAAATGAATTACTTAAATAATATTATAAATAAAAAAGTGAGATATCATAGTTATTCATATTATTCAGATTTTATTCATCGTATCAAATGTAAAATCGTAAGATTCCTATAGGGCGTAAAGATTCCTATAAGTCTAATCCAATGATTTCTACATTAGAAAACAAACTTTTTAATAATTATGGAATGGAAAAAATTGATCCTTATTTGTTTAATTTCTGGTGACTTTAAATTGTACATATTATGTATGAAGTCCCTTCTACTATTTTTTGTATAAACTTATAAGAAACTCCATATATCTATAAATTTTATTACTGCATATGTTCGTGTATGATTTACAAATGATTTACTGCATAATTTATTAAAGGAAGAATGATTTGGCGTATAAAATGCAATCAGGTCGTATTTCGCCAGAAGTCGTAATAGAATATATTCAGCAAAACTATCTCAACTTTTAATTGTAGCTCTTTATCATTGCGATGTTTGAAAAAAATAACCAAACTAGCTGTAAGTGGAATTCTGTCTTAAGGCAATTAAGGCATCGTGCCTTAAGGCAAATTGCTGGAACTTCCCGTACCAAAAATTATTATTTTTTTAAAAACGATTGACATTTTTAAAAAAAATTTACTTCGAAAAAATACGATTTTTAAGAAACTATAAATTGGACAAAAAATTACTTTTTTTTGAAAAAAAATTTTTTTAAAAAAATTTTTTTTTTTAATTTTTTTTTTGTTTTTTTTTTTTGAAAAAAAATTTTTTTTTATTTTGACATATTGTGGAAGATCTGAACTTTCTTTTCAAAGCAATCGTACTGCTTTAACTGCATAGGGGCAAAATATAAAGCGCGTAAGCGCCGCGTCGCTGTCTAACGCATAAGCATTGGTACGGAACCCATAGGAATGTTAACAAAATGTAAACTTATTGTTAAAATCTCTATAAAATATCTGATAATTTGATGAGCATATGTCTAATGATCATTTTTGACCGCCAAATGGCTTATTTTTTTACTTTTTCCTCCATATCTCCGAAACCGCTAGAGCTACCTTCATGAAAATTTTATCGATTCTTAACCTTGTTAATACAAGTGAAATGTTTTTTGAATTATTCAAATCGGACGCTCCGTTCTCTCAAAAACTGAGTTACCGTTTTCGGCACTTTTTGCCCCGTATCTTCGGAACGGCTAGACCTGCCTTCGCCAAAAACTAATCAGCACGTCTCCTTATCAATACGAATCGAATGTTTTTTGAATTATTCAAATCGGTTGACCCGTGTTCCCGAAATCGTCGACGAAAATTTGTATCCGCACATACATACACACACATACATACATACATACACACACACACACACACATACACACACACACACACCCACACACACATACATCCATTTTTTCTAAGGTATGCCAAAATGTTCAGAAACCTCTGAAACGTAAAGATATATAAAAATTTTCATTTTCGATTTTTTTGCGATTACTATAACTTACCCTACGGGAAGTTAAATATTCATCTGACAATGAGTTAAATAATAATGCTACTTACACATCACTGCTGCTAGTATATATTTGATGCTTCAACGATTCTGGTGCCATCCATTTTACAGGCAATTTGCCAGTACCAAATTTTTTATACAATTTTTGGTGATAAATATCTTTACTAAGACCAAAATCTGCGATTTTCACCGTATTGTCACTGCACACTAATATGTTTCGAGCAGCTAAATCCCGATGAACCACACTTTTTGCCGAAAGAAATTCCTAAAATATAATATCAATATTTATATATTTAATATTCTATAATTCAAAGGATTTTAAACCAGATTGATATCTAATCATTTACCATGCCAGAAGCTATACTTTTAGCATACGTCAATAAATCTTTGGTCGTAATTTTGAATTCTGCTACAGCAAGCTCCAAATCATAATTTAGATTTTCAGCAAAATTGATCGGTAATTCATTTTCAACAAACTGCATGTACTCATGTTTAAAATCATCTACATAAGTATTGGCATATTGTTGAACGTAGTGATTTAAATTAGTGGTTTTCGATGTAGGAGTATTCGAATAAACAATTTCGTTCCACGTTTTTCTGGAAATATATGATGCAAAATTATATGATATTTACTAGAAAAGCTTGATATTTATGCTTATGATATTTTTTACCGTAAATAATTCTGTAAGTCTCCCTTGGTACAATACTCGGAAACAAAAAAAATTGTTTTGCTATTCAAGGAACTGTATCCTATTATAGATACAATATTGGGATGAGATCCTACTTTACACATAACATCAATTTCTTCCCAGAAACGACGAATATCATCTTTGCACATGCTGCCTGAGTCAAAATCAATATATATTGTATATATGGTAAATAAATATAATATATATATATATATATATATATATATATATATGTGTATATTGTTGAGCTTCGAACACAATCTAGAAAGTAACAAAAAAAAATAGTTTTTTTTTAAAAAACTATTTCTTTATTTATTTACTGTTGACGTTTTGGAACTAGGTGCGTTCCATCTTCAGGACAATTTGTCAAGGAATATGATATTGATAAGATTTAAGCAAATAATATATTCAAGAAACGCAGAAGATGGATTTTTTAGTTAATAAAATTGTTGAAATTGTTTCGCTCACGTGATTAATGAACGCCCCCTAAGATCATATATCAAAATATATGTAATAATAAATGGTAACTAAAAATTTTTATTTGATTTAATGCCTTTGAGGATTTTATATATATTATATGTTTCAGAATCAAAATTCATCAATCTGAACTATATATATTAAAATTATGTTAGTATCTGCATGCATACCTTTTTTTAAGTAGTAAATTAATAATTTTTAGTATTTCATTTCGCTTTCAATACTTACTATAATGTTTTGGTAAAATATAACAATCCACAAAATTTTTGCATTTTCTAGAAAAATATTATGTATAATATATGATACTTGCTATGTAAAAACTAGGTTGTCGACGTCTTTTATTTATATATTTTATGTTTGTAACTATCAAAAACTTAATAATAAAAGAATAACATTGGAATTTCAAATTGTTCGATTTTCCATGATTTTATTTCGTAAAATAATATTTATTATACTCACTTATCAACATTTTTACAGCAACAATTTTTGATGGCTGACCATTAAAATTCAAGAGCTTTGCCTTACGCACAATTCCGAATTCGCCCTGCCCTAACTTCTCGTACAAGACCAATTGTTTAATATCAATTTCATAAAAATCTCCAGGTGCTTGCAGAGAATTCTGTAAAAATAGGGATTGTCTATATTTAATAATAATTTTCATTTTGACGAATAAAAAATAATTATTTATCAATGAGTATTTCCTTATAAAGTGTTTAGTATTTCGGTAGAAGTACATAATTCGTTTCTGAGCGTTATTTTCTAACTAAATAAAATAAAATAATTTTGGAAAAAATATCGACAGAAGATAAAGCTCATTTGTACTCAATTATATATACTCACATTATGGCATATGACCTTATTATTTCTTTATTATATTTGTGGGGAATAGTAAAGATAATTATTTTTTTCTTAGTCTATTACGCAATTTTACAGAAAAAAATTCTAGCCTAATTTTGAATTTTTGAAATTATCCAAAGCCATGATAATTTTGTTCCTTACTTTGAACTTGAGTATTATATAATACTGAAAATGTTATAATTTCATAACATAAATCGAGCTATAGTAAATAACCTAAAAAGTAGTTGTTTTTATGGTGATTCTTGTAGTTATTTTATAACGATATAATGAATGTTCTATTAGTAGTTTCTTATTAGAATCATGTTTTTTTTTAAGTCGGCTAACAAATATCATCGTTTATTGTGTATATTTGGAAAAGAATAGTTTTATAATTTGCTTACATTAGAACTGCTTAAAGCTGAAAGCTAAAATAATGTTTACCTCATTTGATTCAACGGTTTTCATCCATAGTTTTCTTTTTTGTAATTGGCGAGTGATGAACCATACAGTCAGCAAAATAAGCACAAATGTGATTGAAAATGTGTAGGCGGTTGTCCGAATTATTGCAGATCCATTCCATAATGTCTCATCTGCTGAAAATAAATTATTATTAACGTCAAAAAGTGAGTTTGAAAAAAGGGACAATTCTGCATATTTTCAATGATATCTCGGGCATAAGGTGAGATACAAAGTTGAAAATTAGTATATCGCATTTTTTTCAAGAAGACTTTCAAAATATATTTTACTATTACTAATACACTATAGTGTATAAATACCAGGGTGGGGCCGACTGGCAAACCCTTGCAGCCGTCAGAATGTTCTGGCTGTTTATATATACTTTCAGAACAGTTAAACGAATACATCCTCAAAGTTTGCCCCATTTTAAAGCAGGTTGAAAAAACTTTTTTTTACATTTAAGGTTAATGACGCAACCGCAAGATGCCTGCCAGAATGGAACTTTCTTAATGGACCGATAATGAATATCATTTAAAAATTTTTAGCTTTGTGCAAAGAGGTCAGTCGAATAGTTCGCTGGCTCTTCTACTAGTAATAGTTTTTGTAGAATATAATATGTGATTACTTGTACCCAGTGGCATCGGAAACAAATTTTTGATGGATGGGCTTGTTTTATTTTTTTAGGCAGCCAGTGCGAGCTTGTTCTTTTTTTTTATAGACATTTCAGACAATATCATATTTTTCATGGGTCGGCTCAAGACCACATAGCCCACTCGATTCCGACGCCACTGCTTGTACCTGATTGTAAATGATTATTACAAACTTTGATTTGAATACCAAAATAAAATATATTTCTCCTATACCTAATTTTGATCATGAATCATAAATTTAAAGTAAATAATGTAAAAATATTTAGGTGTTGTTTCAAAAATATTTACCTATAGCAGAAATTTCTCGTGCTACGATATCCCAAACTAATTCATTCTTGTACACGGCTTGACCTTTAACACTGTATATATTTGCTAATTGGACTGCATGAAATAGTATTGTTTTCGCATTCTAAAATCAACAGTAACATTGATAAAACAATGTATTAGATATTTTACAAAAATTGTAAGCAAAGTTCCGACGCAATTTCAAACATTTTAATGAATATTTTTATATATACTTCTTTATGAAATATTACCGAAGGAGCAGTTAGAGATACGTTCTCGTGCCGGTCTTTAATTATTGCTCCAACAAGTGTAAAGTTATAATATTCTGGAATAGCAGCAGGTGGTTCCCATGTTACAAACACGTCAAATTTGCTTGCTCCAAGGTATACTTCTGTTACATTTATCTGCAGAGTGTTCGGGGGCTCTTGAAATAAAATTGACGTTTTATACCGATGGTATACTAATTGCATTCTGTTCTTATATATAAGTATAAATTTAACACTTACTGCATACTGTTTCGTCATATAACTCTATACAAGTCGGCGTGGTAAATGTAAGGCCAATTCTATCACTTTCGGAGTACCATTCACTGTCTTTGCTGCAAATTTCTACTTTATATATTGTACCAAATTTCAAATTGTTCAAAGTATATTTAAAAGGATGAAAGGGCTGAAATAAATATTATAATATAGCTTTTATAGAACGAATCAAAGCTCATTTGAATGTTTGCATGGCCACCACCATTAACGTCACCCATGCTCTTCCTATTTTTGTTTGTCAAGAAAAAGATACAAGCAATGTAAAGTAATAAAATAAAACCAACTATCAAAAAACAATCAAAATACATAATCAATAGTAATTATATGTTTGTATAGAATTATATTTCTAATTTATACATACGACTAACAGTTCTTTAGTGTGGATACCATCAAAATGATCCCACCAAATCAGTTCGTAATCACAGGTTCGATCTGCAAAAAAACATAAAAAAAATGGATACTATTAGCGTATTTTATTTCTTTGTACAGAATGCAATACTTAATAAAAATATATTGATGAAAAAAAAATTAAGCTATTAACGAACTATATTGATTGCAAGGTCTTGCGTTTAAAGATAACAAGAACAGTACAAATATGTCACAATTTCTATATAAAATTTAAAAATATAACTAGCTGTAAGTGGAATTCTGTCTTGAGGCAATTGAGGCATCGTGCCTTAAGGCAAATTGCTGGAACTTCCCGTACCAAAAATTATTATTTTTTTAAAAACGATTTACATTTTTGAAAAAAAAATTACTTTGAAAAAATAAGATTTTTGAGAAACTATAAATTTTTTTTAATGTTTTTTTTTTTTTGAAAAAAAAATTTTTCTTTATTTTGACATATTGTGGAAGATCTAAACTTTTTTTCAAAGCAATCGTACTGCTTTAACTGCATAGGGACAAAATATAAAGCGCGTAAGCGCCGCGTCGCTGTCTAACGCATAAGCATTGGTACGGAACCCATAGGAATGTTAACAAAATGTATACTTATTGTTAAAATCTCTATAAAATATATGATAATTTGATGTGCATATGTCTAATGATCATTTTTGACCGCCAAATGGCTCATTTTTTTACTTTTTCCTCCATATCTCCGAAACCGCTAGACCTACCTTCATGAAAATTTTATCGATTCTTCATCTTGTCAATACAAGTGAAATGTTTTTTGAATTATTCAAATCGGACGCTTCGTTCTCTTAAAAACTGAGTTACCGTTTTCGGCACTTTTTGCCCCGTATCTTCGGAACGGCTAGACCTGCCTTCGCCAAAAACTAATCAGCACGTCTCCTTATCAATACGAATCGAATGTTTTTTAAATTATTCAAATCGGTTGATCCGTGTTCCCGAAATCGTCGACGAAAATTTGTATCCGCACATACATACACACACGTACATACACACACACACACACACACACATACATCCATTTTTTCTAAGGTATGCCAAAATGTTCAGAAACCTTTGAAACGTAAAGATATATAAAAAATTTCATTTTCGATTTTTTTGCGATTACTATAACTTGCCCTACGGGAAGTTAAAAAGTTAAATTTTGGCTTTAACTTATCTTAGTATTAATAAATCCATTGAATATTATTTTTTAACGGTTTGATATAGTTAAATATGTATACTTGGTTCTTCATTAGAAACACTTTTTTAATGGTGTAGCGAGCAGAAACGAATTTTAGCAACATTTTATTATATTGGCGACTTCTCAAAATTTGAATCCAATTAGTTGGTTCTAATTTGAATCCAATTTAAATCCAACTGAAAGGTTTATGATATCATTACTTTTTGTCTTTTTTTTTTAAAAAAAAAAACAAGTATTTTAAACAATATCCATGGAATACTACGTTAAAATTAACGATTGACGATTTATCTCATGTGCTTGAAACTGTAAAACATGTTTATAAGTTTTTGAAAGCCCACACAAACTTGTTTTGTTGTTTTTAGATATAATGAAATTTAATTAAAAATGTTTTAATAAATTATTATATTATAACATTTTCATGGATCATTCTGAATAGACGTGGTATATTTTGCGGTATGAAATAATAGCAATACTCGTCAAAATATGCAAATAAAAACAATTATTCAGGTCTTTCGCATACGTTATTTAAATAGGCAACCACAAGGTTTAAGTTCAAATTCCGCGCCAAGTTAATCTGTGGTGATCTGTTTTACTTGCAAACATATAAATAATACAAATATGTTTCTAAGTGTAAAGAGCCTTTTAGGGCATAGCTGAAACATACCACATCACAATTTCTCTGAAAAACAAAGAAAAACTTTGTCTTCTAATAAAGCTACGCAGTAAAAGATACATTACTATAGCTCATACTCGTAGACTGAAAATAGTTCTCATTGCTTTATTATTTATATAATTATTATTTCATTCACTTCCGATTTTTTTTATCTTACCCGGGCCTGGAATCCAACTGATTAAAGCTTCAACAGTATTATTGACTGGAACAAAAGCTTCTAGTTCAAGTGACCTAACTGGTTTTGGTTTAAAATTTGTCGATAAGGTGTTGAACACTTTTGAATAGAAATATCTGATTCCAAGTTCATCTACTGCCCAGGTTTTAAATGTGTAACTATTATTAGCTACTAGTTTATCGTACATCACGCTGCTTTCATTCTGGAAATATAAAATTAATTCAATTAATTAATTACAAATTATTTCACCAAAAAATCGTATCAATGTGTTGGAAAAATTATAGGCTTCCTTGAATGTCATTTTAGTCTGCGATAAGTTTCCATATCGACATTGCTAATTTACTATATTTTTTTAGTATATTTTTTCTTTGAAATTTCAAGATTAAAATATATATTTGAATATTTTAAGTATGACTAACTAACATTAAGGTTGTATTTATTTCAAATAATAATAAAGTTATGACTGCGCGAAATGAGCTAAAATTGCAAAAATTGATCATAACGTAACCATTATGATAACTACATTTCTCGAAATTTTTAAATATATATATATATATATATATATATGTGCGTGTGTAAATTTATAAAGTATGTTAGAAATGCCTATTATTACAATACTCATCATCAAAATTTGACTTACCATAACAATTTTGGATTGTGTTTCGTTAAGGAGGTCATAAATTGCTGTGACAAGTACTACGTTCCATTTGTCTTTAGTTGGTAATCCAACAAATAGTTTATGATCCGACCTGCATATCAATTTCAAATCTTCACTTTTGCTTTCAACAAAGCCAAACTTCAATAAATTATTTGTATCTCTCATGCAAGTGCAGAATCTATCGCAGCATTTGATTCCAGTAATCTATTTTAAAGGAAATAAGGGGCTGATATTATATTTCATTATTCATAATAGAATTCCTCTGAATTTAGATACAATGCAATAATCTATTCAAAAAATAAACTTAAGCTCCTTTAGAAATAATCGATTAGATGAGATGCTCCAAATATAAGTTGAGTTATACGAAGAAGCATAAATATTTTGCTGTATCAGACCGTTATGATTAATATTAAATTTCGCGAATGATTTATTAATATCAAGATGATATATGTTACATGTTTTATGTACAATAGTGGCGTATAATTATTTTGCTATCGCTTTTGCTAAGTGATTAAATTTTTGGAGGTAATAAAAATTGACTAACTAAATAACTGCTGACCAAAGAGCTAAACCACCAAATCAAATTAATTTTTTTAGATATGCATATGGGGCGCCAATTATGATTAGCATTTGTCTTATTTACAGTGATTAAAGAGTAACTTATTTTCGATGATTGATTAACTATTCAAAATATATAAAAATTTTATGAAGTCCTTTACCGACAACACTTCTGAAGTAGTTACAGTTACAAATGCAATATATTTTTATTTGTTATTATATTTACTTACATTTTTAGCGTGGCATCTATAGCCAGGTTGGTAACAATCGACTTCAAGAATGTTCATCAATGAACACTGAAACAATTTTAATATTGTTAGTTCCATCAAGTATAAAGTTTTACATGAAAGTTAAACATATACGTATGGTGTCTTAAACTCATACACTTATGTCATCTAGAAACTACTTCTACCTAAACCTAATAAAATATATAAGTGCCACACTCATGATTAACAATTTTACAATCTAGTCCAAGTGTATATTTTACTCACAATTAGCTATAATAATTTTACTTCACGAAGGATTTAGTAGTATAAAATAACATACTAAATATTATAGGCCTATGATAAGCGGTTGAATTAAAAAAAAATTATTAACTCTTAGAATTTTGCCGTGCGCCTAAGCGATTCTAATCGGATTCTACACCGATCTATTGATGTTCCTGTTTCGTAGGTAGCTACTGATACCTGTTTAAAACATGAAATACATAAAATAAAAATATTTAATTAATATAATAACATATATTATAAGAATGTTGCAAATACATCAATTAAAATCGGAATTATTCATTTTTAGTGAATGCGAAAGTTTTATATTTGAAATAATTACTTGAGTAATTGAGTAAATTAAGTTTTTAATGTATTCGTATCGGGAATTTCATGCAATTTGCATTTAAAGCAAAATGCTACCAACAACTAGTAACTAGTTACTAGTTGATTTACTTGTTTGTACATCCACTCTAGTACCCAAATCCACCAAATCAAGAACTCATATACCATATACATATTAATACTACTGAACACTGCAAATACGAAAATGAGTACAAAATTAAATCTAAACCAATAAAGCAAATAATTCTTAGTGGCGTCCATTGGATCACGGTATCAATTTTTAACGATTTTTGGACCCCTTTCCCCCTTGGTTATACAATGTGATACTTAAAATCCCCACTTAACCTAGTGTATTTTTAGTACTTATATCATTTTAAATGTTAAATTATTATAATACTCTTGAAAATAACTTGATTTTCCCGTAGGATAAGTTATAGTAATCTCAAAAGAGTGAAAATGAAAATATTTATATATTTTTACGTTTCAGAGGTTTTTGAACATTTTGGCATACCTTAGGAAAAATGGATGTATGTGTGTGTGTTTGTGTGGATACAAATTTTCCTCGACGACTTCGCGAACACGGATTAACCGATTTGAATAATTCGATTCCTACTGATAAGGAGACGTGCTGATTAGTTTTTGGCAAAGGTAGGTCAAGCCGTTTCGGAGATATAGGGCAAAAAATGTCAAAAATGGTATTTCAGTTTTTGAGATAACGGAGCGCCTCCGGAGATCCAATAAAAAAGTGAAAAATAATTCGGCAGTCAAAAATAAACATTAGACATATTATGTACATCGTATATCAGATATTTTATAAAGTTTATAATAATAAATACAAATTTTGTGTACATTTATATGGGTTCCGTATCAATGTTTACTCGTTAGACGATTACGCGCTTTGATATTTCGACTTTAAATTAGCCATGCAGCGCGATTGCTTAAAAAAATTTCAAAATTTTCAAAATCAAAATACAAAAAAAATCAAAACTTTTCAAAAAAGTCAAATTTTTTCAAAAGTTTCAAAACTTCTCAAAAATCTGAAAGTTCCAGCAATTTGCTTTAAGTCACGATGCCACGCACCACTTGTTTAAATTTAAGCAAAAAAATAAATACACGTGATATTTTTTGTAACCCCTGCCTTTTCAGCCTCACGTGATTAATAGACGCTCCTTTATAGAATCCGCGAAAGTTTTATTATAGTCTATGCGAAAACATAATTTTTTACTTAAATTCATAATATTTTGAAAAATGTTATTAAGTATTTATTTTGACTCGTGATTATAATTAATTTTCTTTGTTTTTTTTTTTTTTAATTTAACTACCTCAACCTCATTGTTTGATATACTAAAAAAGTAGCTGAATCAGATAGTTCAATAAAATACTGTGAAGCATTTAACTTTAAAATCATTACATTATATTTGTAATGATAACATTTTTGAAAAAGTCATAGAAAAGTAATTTTTGGGCAAATAACATATTCAAAAATAAATAATTAATAAAAACTCAACTAATTTGATTATACAACGTCCGATAAATACAGACGGACGTTAGGATATGTTTGTCTACTCTGCCAAAATCCTGGCTATGTATATACAAATATAACATTTTATACAACACTATATATATATATATATATATATATATATATATATATACTATACATGTAAATTTGAATTTACAATAAACAATGAACTCCTTACATCTGTTTCCATTTGTATTAATGCTTGACATTTTGCTTGCATAATTATATCATTTACACTATAGGCAGGCGCAATTTGTTTCAAATAAAACAACAAGACGATGCATAATTGAATTACAAAAGAGTAAGTTATTAACATTTTAGTTTAATACAATAAAATTCATGATTAAGAAATGATCTAAAATACTATCAATCTTCAACAGAAACATCAAAATTAAAATAAAGTTAACATTGATATTTAAAAACACAACACAACAAAGACTCCGTCTCGTCGTACAGCCTAGTTAATACTGACTGTAAGGTATACCGATAAACTCATCTGAAAACATCAAAATATTCAAAATGTCATCGAAAAAAAGTATTGCCGAATGGGAGTTTGACTCATTAATAATCAACCACAAATCTGGATATTTGAATGAATTAAAATGCGAATCTCATACATGCGAAAATAGGTTATTGCTAATAAACAATATTTCTAATCAGTACAAATAAATAAATTATAATAATTTTAGAATTTTATTAATTTAATAATAAACATAAAAACAATATTATAAAAGCAAAAAAATGTTTTTGTCCGATCAATTTGATTAATTTTTTATTATAGTACGAAAATTTTATATGGATTGATATTAGTATAGAAATTACACAGAAATTTGAGAAATCTAAATTTTTGTTTTTAACTAAACCAACCAACTAAGATGTTATTAAACATTTGGACTCATTTGTAGATTTATCTACCATCATAGAACGGTTCACCACTCGACAGTGTTAGTTCCAGCCACAGTTTATGTTATAAGATTATTATTTCAATATTTTGTAATTTTATATTGTTAATATTTTGTTTATTATTTACATTTATATTTTTGTATTTAGGTTTAATTTTTTGTTTTTTTTAAACCTCAACAACTTTGTATTATAAAACTTTAATAAAGTTTTGATTGAAAAAAAATATATGTACATTTATATCATACATTATTTTCAAACATGGCTGTTTATGCATGAAACCATAATGCTTCATGATTCTCGTAGAAGATTACGTTCGACAATTTATATATATATATATATATATATATATTTTAATTTTTTTTTATTAATTACAATCTGTCTTTATACAAAAAAGACATTCAGTAATTTTAAGGATACATGAATAATTAACATCTAAATTTATATAATATAATACCAAAAATTAATTGATATTCGAATATCGTGTTATAAAACCAACAGATATCCATGCACACACTACTTAATCCTACTTTAAATAGTAGTCTTTTCATTTCAAACCTGTATAGCATTTTATATTTACGTAACGTTTTTTTTTAAAATCAAGAAATTATCCGACTTTTACAATACGGTTTTTTAAGACAATAGATATTAGGGACATCAATCAATTAATTATATTTCAAAAGTCGCTTAATTTTATTCAAAGAAAGATAAGATGTATGTATGTGTATGTACAATAGTTAATTTTGAGAATTTTTGGTTTATCAAAGGTTCATATTGTCCTGCAAGTGTTATCCATCTGTCTGCAATTTTATCAGGGGAATTAAACGAGATAAGAAGTAAAAATCTTCGCACTATATTTAAATTATATTTGAACTTTCTTCAATACACATAGAAACACAAATTATTAAAGCCATCCTTATTAGCACAATGGTTTTTCTGTGTTAGAATTACTGCTGTTGTATATATTAAAGACTGAAAAAATCGGTAGAAATATTTAACTAAAACTAAAAATATAAAAAAACATGGGCAATTCCTAGTCCTGCATTTTATTCGAATCTTACCCACCTCGGTATTAAGCAGTGTGATACCAGATTTTTACATATTATCAATTTTATATTATCTCAAATATGAACTCAAGTAAAAATAGAATTTTGGAGGCAATGCTGTTACATACTCATGTAGCTATTATATATATATATATATATATATATATATATATATATATATATATATTTAATCTTCGGAGATTTTTTACTAAATATTTTTTCTTAAAACATTTAAAAAATCTTGAATTGAGAAAATCCGTGAATAAATTAACATCAAACAAGCGTTTCATAATTAGTTTGGCATCTACTTCAATTTTATAACAGCATTTTTATTACAAGAAATTTACCATTGACCAGAAATATAAAATTATATAAATTCATAAACAACAAAAAAAAGAGATATAAACTATAAAAATTGGAAAAATAATCATTAAACAGAAACAGCAAATTGTATATAATAATAATAATATATTAAGTAGTTCATCACACATTCGTATTTACAAATATAATATAGTTAATAATAAGAACCATATCACTATTCCTAAATGAAACTATTAATAAATATGAATTATAAATAAAATTAATAAAGCTTGAACATAAAGCACGATAAATATGAATATATTAATTCAAAACTTTGATATTTAAAGTAAATTAAGTAAAATGTAATTATTCGACATATATCTTGCATCCTATAAAACTCTATGCAATATAAAAAACATTAACAAAATATGTAATTGAAACAGTTTCGAATAAAAATTCATATTTTAAATCAAAATCATGCAAAATCAACAATTTTGTATCCTATGATATCGTATGCAAATTTTGAAAAATATTAATTTTATTCTGCAGTTTGAAATTATTGAATATATGACCGATTATTCTACATTTTGTTGAATACTGGTATATTTAAAATTCACTAATACAAAATATTGAATAAATCCGTTCTGCCAAGGTAATTTATTATTGGTAGAAGTTTGTTGATCTGGTGCTCATAAAAATATAATTTTATACATGTAAGTATACATCAAAAATGATTAAAAAATGGTCCAATAAATTATAAAAATTATTCCATTCATATGAACAACAAATACAACGATGAAACAACACTCATAAATATACCTTTATATTATGAATTTCAAAATTTGTACCAAACATATTCTGCCAATACTCTACCAAAACATTAACAAGGCAAAGCCGATTTAATCAATCAACAAAATTCTATTATAATTACCTAATATATACTTAAGCCTACAAATCTGCTCCATTATTCTTCTTTCTCATGTAGCGAGTGAAATAATCTGGTCTCCAGCATTTACATGATCCAGGAATCAAAAACCAGTCGTAATATAATCTAACCTGAAATTAATATGTTCAAGTTCTTAAAATGTTATAATTCATAATAAAAAATTTATTTGAAATATATATATATATATATATATATATATATGTATATAATTTATTGTTTCATAGTCATTTTCATCTCGAATAAAACCGATGAGTTTTTTAAAAAGGCAGTTATAAAAATAATAATAATTTTGTGGTTTAATAATTAAATATACCCATAAGTCACGTTAGTTTATATCGATAATTTAAAACATGATTAACATTGTTTAAATAAGTAACAAATTAATTGTGATTTGAAAATTGAATTAATTATGCCATAAATATAACGTGAATTATTTCTAGTTTTATTCATTATGTACTTAATTAGGGTCAAGTAATTGCATGTAAAAAAAAACGAAAATATTTTTTTTTATATATCTTTACGTTTCAAAGGTTGCTGAATATTCTGGCATACCTTAAAAAAAATGGATGTATGTGTGCGTGTGTGTACGTGTGTGTGCGTGTGTGTGTGCGGATACAAATTTTCGTCGACGAAATCGAGAACACCGATCAACCGATTTGAATAATTAAAAAAACATTCGAATTGTATTGATAAGGAGACGTGCTGATTAGTTTTTGGCAAAGGCAGGTCTAGCCGTTCCGAAGATACGTGGCAAAAAGTTCCAAAAACGGTAACTCAGTTTTTAAGAGAACTGAGCGTCCGATTTTAATAATTCAAAAAACATTTTACTTGTATTGACGCAATGAACAACTGGTCAAATTTTTGGAAAGGCAGGTCTAGCGGTTATGGACTCTCAATAAAAATTAGTTAAAAAATTGCCATTTGGCGGTCAAAAATGTTTATTGGACATATACACATCAAATTATCAGATATTTTAATAATGTGTACCCATTTTGTGTGAACTTTTTTGGGTTCCGCACCAAGATTTTTAATTTTGAAGTTTTTTTATATGGTTCAAACAAATGTCCTCGACATTTAACAAAAAAATTTAATAACAAAAAAATCTAATTTAAAAAAATGGGCTCTTGTAAACGTACACATAACTTTATAAAATACGCTCATCGCCCAATTTAAAAAGCACTTATAAATTTACAGTAGGTATTTACAATAAATAATCTATTTGAAAATCTTCAAAACAATCAATGATTATTTTCATTCCTCGAATGTATAATTACGGTACGGGAAGTTTCAGCAATTTGCCTTAAGGCACGATGCCATGCGCCCCACTAGTTTAGTTTTAGAATCCCAAGGTGCATCAAAAAGATGTCCGGCAAACAACGGGTGCAAGCTAAACAAGTTAAACAACGTCCATTAAGGATTTGCAGTTGTCACGTATGTATATATACATATGTATATTAGGATGGCAACTTAGTAAGAGTGGTCTCCAATCTAGATGGTTTCAATTGAATTTTTAGGTTTGCTGACGTCCAAATGTGAAAGTCCAAATGTAAAATACCTTTGTTAATGGTTAGTAGCCAATTTAGATGTCTACAAGTAAAAAAAAGCTTTTTGATCGCTTACGGCATCTTAAACTCACAAAAAATATAAGCTGTTTATGATGACGAAACCATAAAAAAACTGCAGTGTCAAATATGGTTTGCCAAATTTTGTTCTGATGATTTTTCTCTCAAAAATGAAAAATGCTCAGAATTGAAGTTGCTTCCATTGAATACAAAGGAATTCTACTCTTACCAGGCAAACGAATGATCAATTCTTTTACATGGAAAAACTAACAAAATTAAACAACGCAATTGGTAAATTATTTCTTTATTGGCACAACACATATCTTTCGATGCTCGGCAAAAAGTATTGGAGCTTGGTTGGGATGTTTTCCCACATTCACCAGTCCTGATCTTGCACCTTCTGACTACTTTTTGTTTTGATCTTTACAAGACTCCTTGAATGGGTAAAAATGAAATGCTAATAAAAACCAGAAGTTTTATGAAACTGGGATAATGATGCTGCTTGAAAGATAAATCAAAAAATGTTTTTGATTATCTAACAAAACTTCGCGCTTACTTAGTTGCCAACCTAATATGCGCACACACACACACACACACATATATATATATATATATATGTGTGTGTGAGTATGTGTTGTATAGCAATTGTTATATAATTTGTTAACATTCGAAAAATTGTATTAAGTTTTTGAATAGTATTTGAATAAAGACATTATCAATTATGACTTGATTATCTCATGACTGAAAATCGCGTATAGCTCAACAGCACAGCATACTATAGATGTCTTATATTTTTCTAAATAATAAAATAAAATAATAACTATCGATTACTTGAAAGCATCCAATTTCATCTTGGCCATCGCAATGAGTTTGCTTTGCATTAGCACTCTCTTGATTTCCTACTGCCCGTTTCTGCAGATATTGTTGGTAGGCTTGGAAGTCTTGAACTGGCGGAGTAGACGTGGTCGCACTTAAAGGTTCTTCATTTTGGGGATAGAAGATTTCCGCAACTAGCAAACTGACCCAGCGCGGAGAGCTCAAACATCCTCCGTCTAAATAGTGACACCTAAGTGGGAAAACAATAAGAATTAATAAAACTAATGCACGAACAAAGATATATACATCAAACTAGCAGAAAATATGACCTTTTTAGCTTATTTTTTAGAAAACAGTTTGGATGGTTTTTACGCAATTTTATCAACTTCATTCAATCATATAAAATTGTTTAAATTTAGTACTTCACATTTGTATCAATAAATAGAATATATCGATTCATTTGACATTTACAAAAAGCAGCAACAAGCTACTTCTGAATACATTACTAATTCAAAGTTTGCAATACAAATAGTTATACATACATTACATTGTTAACGCATGCATAAGACACATATTATTTTGTATAAGAGTTAAGAACAGGGGCGTAACTACCGCCGTATCAGCCGAGCCAAGGGGGCCCCCAACGAGCGCAAGCAGAAAGCAAAACTACAATTTTTCAAAAAATTTAATCTATAAAACTAATTTAGATTATACATTCTTCGTCAAAAATTGGAATTTAGAATTTCTATATTTATATTTATATAGTTTTTTCTTTGTTGTTGTTACTACTTGGATTGTCTGCATGACGCGTCAGTTTAATAGTTAGATTTTAATAAATATGATCAACTAAATCATTTTTAGATTTCTTTCTTCACTGTTTTAAAATATAAGTTTCTGTTCTGAAACTTTACAACTCGCCAGTAATGACTTACAAAAAACTAGTAATTTATTAAGTAATCTTTTGAATAGACTGTGCGAATTAACATATGAAAATTTATTGAAATAGTTTGTTGAAGATGTACAAATATTTTGCAAAATAGATGTATTGCAATAACTATTTTAAAGAACAAAGTACAAAAGATTATGACGCGTTATTATCACACGATGAGAGAATTTTAGACCCGTAGTCTTATTTTAATTGCTGTTTGCTTATATTAATTTCACAAACCAAACAAAGATTTTAAAACCTTTGCGACGTAAATAGTAACATTTGTCTTTTTGAAATCGAGAAGTAATAAACGTTTGAAGAAAGTGAAAATATATCTGAAATCATTTGTGAAAAATTCACAAAATTAGAGAAAGTTAGATAGATAAATAATTAAAATGATAAATAAATATTCTTTTAATATTATGTATTTCTATATTTTGTGAAAAAAAAATTTCTTCTTGAGGGAGCCCCCAAACAAATTTCGATACGAGGCCCCGCCAAAGCACGCTACGCCCCTGGTTAAGAAGCGCAGTATTATTATTATTTTAATTTATTATTGACGGATCTATATGCGGTACGTAAATATTAATAATAAAAAAATAATAAAAATGTATTGAATTCTTTTCTTCAAGCAATCAGAACTTATGTCCTATGAGCATTTTAGGCCAGCAACAATTTTTAATTCACCAGCAAGCTGGGAGAAAAATAAATTAAATGTTAATTTGAACATTTATCTACAAAAAAAACTAAAAAAATGTCCTTAAATACGATGTCATAAAATCAAATGACGTAAGAGAAGGGCGAGTGTCACAACCGTACACGCCCGAGAGGCGGAAAATAGTTTAAAAAACAATAGCTATATACACCAAAAACTCTTATTACGACTATTGTCAGAAATATGTAACACAACACAACATACTTGTTTAAACAAAGTTTATGAATACAACAAAAAATAAAACATATTTTTTTAAACAAGAAATCTTTGTGAAATCTTTTGTTTTCTTGTATTGAATTTTTCTTTTCCTTTCTCTTTCGTATTTTGTTTTAGTTACGTTATAGTTTTTTAATTCTGTTTAAATTTTACCCAATTTCAAGGGTAAAAATACATGTCTCAACGTATACATGTCTGGTAATTAACTACTAATGTTCAACTTATAGCAAAATAACAAACAAAGTGATCTATCTGTACACGAATAATAGTTAATATTAAGAGAAATCGGATACGAAAATTTACTTTTGGCTCTTTAAAAGTAATTCGGTCTACAGATCATGTTAATGTAAGTCGCTGACTCAATGCAATAATGTAAACTTGTTCGAACAAACATACTTGATCTTTCTCTCTTTGGACCCTATCTTAAAATCAGTATAGTTTATCTGTTATGACGACTGTCACTACCGTGACCTGGAAAAACCGTACTCAGTCTCCTCTACTATGTCATTTTGTCTGTATCGCTTAATCAATAAAAAAATATCAAAGTTTTATTTCTGACCTTGCTTGTAGGCATTTAGTAATTTCAACAGTTTGAGTGAAATAACCCTCGTATGGTATCTGCACAACATATCGCCAAGCGCCCTGGTAGTTTTTGGCAAAAACAGGTGTAGCGTATTCGACCTTGGCCGGGCAGGGCGTCGGAGGACCCTCGTATCGCACCGAAGCTCCGGCACCACTTGCAGCGTCATGTACTGGTTCATCGCGCCGTTCGACCAGTATGGATCCTCTGGAGGCCGGTTCACCTTGGATTGCACGGTATAAGGCACAGAATCTGTAATAATGGATTAGATTAAAATAATGCAGACGACCATATTTTTAATCAGTTAATTGGGTCGATTGACAAGTATATTTCTTATTAATGAAAAATGTAGGTTTACTTTACACGATCGAAAAATATTACTACATTTAACTTCTTTGTTAATATATGCATATTTTAGATAGGTATTAAACTAAAAACGTATTAAGTTCAAAGAAATATTATACATGTAGGTGTAACTAAGCAAGAATAGTTTTCGATGAAAAGTAAACACATTTTTCGGAATATACAGTAGAAATTATTATATAAATAGCCAAATCTTAATTTTTATTAAGTATGTTCATGCAAGTTCATGCAACTAGCCTTGGGGTAACACCACTGTAGCAGCCAAAAAACGTATATTTTTGCGATTTCTTTTTAGGCGAAAGAAAATGTAATAAAATCATATATTTGGGACAAAGACTAAAACAAAATGCAGTAAAAAGGGTTAAACATTTATATACTATAAAATTGAAACGAAAGCTCAATTAAAACACTGAAATTTGAAACTTGTCAAATAAAATACTAAATTTATCAATATCTACATATTTTATAAAATACATAAAGGCATATTGAAAATATTCTTATTACTTATTTTATAATTATTGATGTGTCTAATAAGATAACTTACACTCCGCCACCATCGCAGAATTTTTTTGGTTCTCGTATGTTTTTCGCTGAACGATTTATTGGTCCATGCGTGATTCTGTGAATATCAAGAACTATTAGTTTAATAAAATAATGTATATATATATATATATATATATATATATATCATTTATTTAAAAAATAATATTCCTAGAATTACTGCTAGTTCTTAGATACTTTGTTGTTCCATACTTAATTAAGACTAAGTAACACGATCCCTTGCGTTTACCCTTTGTTTAAGGACATTTCATAATAATAAAATTCCAAAATCAAATAATTTTATTAATTTGCATAATCACAATTCTCTTTAATATTGCTACTATTGGCATTCAAAATCATTTTATGTTGAGATTTGATGTTGAGATTTAGAACAAAAATAAAGTTTATTCAATATATTTAAAACTATTGTGAAAACTAATTGTGGAATAAAATAATTTTATTATATATAAAGTAGTATGTAAATAGGTATATTCACTCATTATCATACTCAGGTTCCAGTGGCTCTTCAGATTCTTGCATTTGCGTTATCTTGGGTAGTAACTCATCTGCTTTCAAAATTGGCAAAGTTCGCGAGAGAAATCTCAGCGTTTGGTTTCTTATTAACTCGCTGAAAACATATATATATATATTTAAAATTTATTCGGAGTTGGTTTTGTTATATTTTTTTGTTTTCCTTAATTAATAAAGCAACCAAATAATTGTCTTTATGTTTGATATTTTTTACCAGAAAACAAACCGACGATTTTCTTTTTTAACTTTCCGTAGGGTGAGTCAGAGATAAATAAGTACGGGGTGAGTTATATTATAGTAATCGCAAAAAAACTAAAATAAAATTTTTGCATATCTTTACGTTTCCAAGTCTTCTGAACATGGATGTATGTGCGTGGGTGTGTGTCTATAAGAGAGAGAGAGTAGTATGTATGTATGTATGTGCGGATACAAATTTTTTTCGATTATTTTGAGAGCACAGATCAACCGATTTGAATGATTACAAAAACATTCGATTCTTATTGATAGGTAGACGTGCTTGGTGAAGACAAGTACAGCCGTTTTGGCAAAAAGTGTCAAAAATGGCAATTCAGTGTTGAGAAAGAATGAAGCGTTCGATTTGAATAATTCAAAAACATTTTACTTCTATTGACGTACTGAGCAATCGATCAAATTTTTGAGAAGGTGGGTCTAGCGGTTTTGGAGTTTCAATAAAAAAGTTAACTAGTGGGGTGTATGGCATCGTGCCTTAAGGCAAATTGCTGGAACTTCCCGTGCCGTAACAAAATGTTCGAGAAATTTTGAATGTTTTCAAATAGATTATTAATAATATATATTAATAATAAATATTATTAATTATTAATAATATTGTAACATTGCCTTATATTTATAAGAATTATATAAACTGAATTGCAAAGTTGAAATTATTTGTTTAAAGTATATTAGAACTATAGTCAGAATTAAAAATAAAATATGAATTATTTTCGATATACAAAAAAATTGTTTTTTGTGCCACTGCATTTGCCAAAAACTAATCAGCTCATCTCCCTTTCAATAGGAATCGAATGTTTTTTGAACCATTGCAATCGGTTGATCCGTGCGCCCGAAATCGTGACTGGAAACTTGTATCCATACATACATACACACACACACATCCATTTTTTTGAGGTATGCCAAAATGTTCAGAAACCTTCAAAACGTCGAGAAATGTAAAAATTTTCAATTTCGATTTTCGGCCCATTACAACAACAATTACAATAAAATTACAATACAATAATACAATAAAATTACAAATTACAATAAAATTTCGCCGTCATTTGGCGGCGAAAAATGATCATTAGACATATGCGCATAAAATTATCAGATATTTTATAGAACTTTTAATTTTAAGCACAAATTTTGTTTATATTTTTATGGGTTCTGTATCAAGAAGTTAATGTTCAACCGTTAGACTGCTTCGATATGCCGTCTCTAAAATAGCTTCGCAGCGCAATCGCTTTTAAAAAATTCAAATGTTTTCAAAATTTTTTAGAAATCAAAAAAAAAATTTTAAATCATAGTCTTAACTTAAGGCAAATTGCTGAAAAAAGTGATACATTGCATCGTGCTTTAAGACACATAAGACCCAAATTCCATTTAAACATTTTTCATCCAGCGAATGAATTATGCGTTCCAATGTGAATGTGTATGTATTTGTCGGAAAGATTAGAATGAAATAAAAATTGATACATTATTGGAAAAACAAGAATTCATTTTTTTAAATGTGTGAGATACATCGGTACAGTTAGTGGTGTCCGCTATGATCAGTTCAATGGCCTCTTGGCAACGGTATATTCCACACAAAGAGATGGTCAGGTATACGACTGTTATGCTCAAAGCAAATATGTCATCTGAATCGATTTACTTGAATCGCTCGACTTGATAAATATGGGATTGTCGAGGATTTAAACAATTACACCAATGCACGCACACACACCCACATTCATACATATATAGTGATTTCAGGAATTTGAAAAGTTGAACAAAAATTACACAAGGAATTATTATATCGCTCAGCCAAAAACGCTAGGGGTACTCGGTTCGAATCCAGGCATCGGCATAAAAAATTTGAACTGTTAAATTAAAAATTACAGAATTCGAATAGTTGAGTTGAATTAGGAATAAGAAACAAAAGTATTAGAACACTCAAAAATAAAAGATGAATGAGGAAAAATTAGAAGTTAGAAGAATGATAATGAAGAAGAGTCAGTCAAAAAGAAAAATTATATAGTACGAGTATAGTAAAGAATGAAATGAAGATGTAAAGATGAAATATGTATATGTATATGTATATATAGTCCACTGCCACTTCTGACAATTTATCCGTCCTCTTTACAGCTATTATTATTATCTTAAATCTGTTATATTCATAAAAATTCCACGACCAACTAGGCCAATGTAATTTATATGAGAACAAATTCTTAAATGAGCCTCGTGTCATTAAAATTATCATAATACAAAAATGTTGTTGAAGTGAATAGTAATAACAAGTAAAAAATGCTGTTGAAGTGAATACCTAATAGCTGGTTGTACAATTTGTACAACATTCAAATACCGCACAGATTTACAGTTTCATAATAATAATATCTATAAAAAATAATATGCACAAGTAATCAGCGTTCCTGTTGAATTACTTTAAAATAATTTAACTTAGAATGAGTAAAAATTGTAATTAAAAAATTAACAATTATGATAAAAAGTTCTGCTTTAATAATTATTTGAATTTATCCTGCTTTACATAATTATTTGCCAATCAGGACCTTGATAGAATCCAGCTTGCAATTAGATAAAATTTGACGAAACGATAATAAGATTCGTTGATACGATATTGTTTTTTTTCTTCTAACTATAAGACAAAAGAGAATATTTGATATGCTAGAATAATTTCTGAAATTTCGTTTTCAGATTAATTTAGCAAATAATCGTCTTGCAGTTTTAAGTTTGGAGTTATCTGCTTACATATGAGAGAAAAGAAAAGTCTTCTAGAGACTATTTAGATTAGATGTTTCCAGCAATCATCCTATTTAAAAATCACTTTTTAAGTTAAATGAAGCTAATAAAAAATAAAACTGATGATCCAGGGCATCGTGATTTAGGCAAATTGCTGGTGCTGTACCAAAAATTAAAAGTTTCAGAAGATCTTTAAATTTTCTTGAAATTTTGAAAAATTTATCAATACAAGTAAAATGATTTTTAATTATTGAAATCGGACGATCCGTTCTCTCAAAAATGGAGTTACTATTATAGGCACTTTTTGCTCCGTATCTTCGCAACTTCTGCACCTGCCTTTGCCAAAAAAATCAGCACGTCTCCTTATCAATAGAAATCGAATGTTTTTTGAATCATTCAAATCGGTTGATCCGTATTCTCGAAATCGTCGACAAAAATTTGTATCCGCACACACACACGCACATGCACATACACATACATCCATCTTTCTAAGGTATACCAGAATGTTTAGAAAATTTTGAAAAATAAAGAATTATGAAAATGTTCATTTTCAACTGTTTTTGCGATTACTATAACTTAACTACGGGAAGTCGGAGTGGTCTGGCCAGACTTTTTTCGACTTCAATTTAAAAAAAAAATACTTTAAGTAAGCCTATTGACTTGAAATTTCTGGACTTTTCTTAAAATGTCATAAACTGTCGATCAATGAAAAAATCAGGACGAACAAATGTGTGGTTCAGCCAGACTACTCCGACCGTTCGAAGGTAAATATATATCCGACCGACGGAGGGTTAAATACTGCCAATTTTTGTAATAAAAAAGTAAATCAACTTCTAAAGTCTTACAATGGATAAGGATCCCCCATAACGTTCTTGTGCATAGGATTCCTCGGAATGACGCCCTTGTTCAGGTCCCCGCATAGATTGTGGGCGCTGACGAAGGGCTTCGTGTTGCCCGCGTCCCGGCAGTCTTCGTCGGCGTGAGTGTAGGGCGGCGGCCGAACGCCCGGAGGCTGCGCTTGGGGCGACTCGACGAACGCATAGTAGCCGGCAGGGGGTTCGTTATCGTCGTCCACTTTTGTGCAAAAGCCGGAGCAGAGGCATAGTGCAAAAACAACCTGAAGACAAAATTCATATATGACATTGAAGTATGAATCAAACTAAATTCAATTGGATAATGAATTTATGCAATTTTACTCCTGTTCAAATTGTTGATGCACAATATTTCAACACTTGTTATAAAATTATGCTGGAGTTATGTGACAATAACATTTTAAATTCATTGTTGTATTATATTATACATTTGCATTTTTTAATTATATCAAAAATTGACGCTTTTATTTAAATTATAATAACGTTATCAATAAATTTAAGTTTTATATTTTTAAGTTATAATTAAAAACATTCACAAAAGTCAGAAAAGTGAACTGTGCGAATGTTAAAATATTACAATACATAGACCAATATAGCAGTTTGAAATTATTACACGGTCCAAAACCATCCTCTTAATAGAAACAAGGCTAATTTTTTACACCAAATATTATTATACTAAAAATATATTTTGCAAGTGTATTTTTCCTGCGTCGAAGTAAAGTGAAACCGCCGTCGATTCTAACGCGATTAAAATAATTAGATTTAGAGTGTATTCTGCTCTAGAATAAGAAAGAAATCGAATTCGTTTGTTTTATATTTCCAAAGTTTAACTATTCAAGAATATGCGTACTAGAGGATTTTTCAAAAGCTGAATTATTTTCACAGATAGCTATTTGACCATGATAATCCTTCTCTACTCCCTTTCTCCGCAAAACTTTTAAAGACTTTTATTAGAAACTGTCTTTTTCGATACAATACCCATGATTTCTCAACTTGTACTGGAACGATTTACTTGGACATTTTACATTCCAATTTTTGCGTCTTCTCCATAGACTTCTTTCAGACTTTATAGACTTTTACTTTAAAGACTCGGTATGAACTATGCTTATTCCCAAATTCTGATTTTTACTACTTTTATTAAAAAAATCTAGGATATCAAAAAAATTGCAAAAAAATTTTCAGACAGTCGATATTTTGTATAAAACATTTTTATTAACTTGTCCGTAATTCATACGATAGCGACATTATTCTGGATATTTTTTTTCTTCAGATTATTGGGAGTGCTATATAATCATGGGTATGATCAGGTGGCCATTTTTTGAGACCCCCATTTTCACACCCACTAGAATTAAAACTTTTTGACTATTTTTTTATGTATTATCAAAACATTATTTAACAACTTGTAAAAAATAATTAAAATAAAAATATTTTAACGCGCAAAATTTATGCCTCTAGCCCAGATTACCCTTTTGAGTCAAATGATGTTAAAATCGCATATTCTGCTTTATCCTAGAAAATTATTAATTATTTTACAAATATTACACCTATTTTATTCCACTACTTGAAATTATTTTCCTCTGAAATAATGACGCTATCATAAAAATGCGGGACGAATTTATTCGCTGAAGATTTAGCATAAACAATTTTCTTAAAAGGTTAGTGTTCTTTATAAATTTATATATTTATAATATAGTGATTAATTTGGAGCTAAAGAGAGTTGATGAATGTGTCGTATTATGGACAAATTGACATATTTTTGACAAAACCGTAAAAGCAAATTTGCAGCAATTGATTTAACTCTCGGCACTCGTCTTCCATTTGAACAATTATTTAAGAATAACAGAGACAACAATTTATATATCCAAATTTTCACACCAGGTAAATAAAAATTCTAATATTTTTAATGCTGAGAAAATACTCATCTGAAATGAAATCCAATCTCCTTCATCGAATGAACTCGGTTTGTTATAATGCATTAAACAACGAAAACAGTATCAACTGCATCGTAATTTAGAATAAAGATAACATTTATGTGAAAAATATTTGGAACAATATACAGTTATTCCTTTTGATTGATAATGGCCAACACACAGAGGCACATCGCAAATATCTATGTGGTGCAGCCTTTTTGTTATACAAAAATTATTACTTATGCACGGTGTTATAACAAAACCTTCAACTTGCAGTCAGTTCCGTATTTACCAATAACATATATGAACAAACAATAGGTGTGGAGGTCTATTTTTGGCAAGCCTTATAAAAATTAACTGGGTTAACAATTGCCATATATATATTTATTGGACTGCAACGGTATTTGTCTTAATGTTAGACAAATTGTTAATTGTATTTGAATTTTCACAAACCATATAAATCAGTTACCATCCGTTAAGGACGAAAAATCTAGCTAAACTACGAAATACTCACAAAAATATTTAAAATATAAATATAGTATAAATAATTATTGATAGTAAAAAAATATCAAATTCATTAAAAAACGATGATTATGAAGCCAAAAATTGTCTAAAATTTTGTCAGCAATATTTGTAACTGGACGGACGCCCAATCGATGGATTGGACATGGATTAGCATTTGAATGAAACATTTTTAATTGCGACTAAAAATTTGTCGATGTTCAGGATAGAATAGGTCTATATATATATATATATATATATATATATATATATATATATATATATATATATATAAATTTGTAACTATGAGAAAGTGCTTTACTGAAATTTTACACAACATTGACAAACATTAAAAAAATGGGTAAGAAATATTTCAAATTTCACAATTTTTTTTACATTTGGCTCTTTCTTGACATTTTTTATGATATAAAATTACATTTTCATACTTTTCGCAATTTTCTTACTGATATGTGTTAAAATGTGAAAATGTATTATTTTTTTCAAAATATTTAAGGGGGTATTCTGGTGTAAAGGAATAAATTTTAAGTCATTTTGGCAATAAATTTAAAAAATCAGGAAAAAGGCAATAAATTATTTTTACTTTTATTTTTTTATAATTTATTTATCAACATTACAAGAGTACATGAAAAAGTAAAAAAAATGTTAATAATTTTAAAAATTATCAGTTTTTGAAGTGGATGATCACAAACATTGGCCAAAAATGAAAATAAAAGATTATTAATCTAGAATCTAGAATGATGTCGTAATGGCATATACTAGAATTAAGTAAAAATATCTTTTTTTTAGTTTTTCGAATTATTTAAAAATAGTAAAAATTGAAATGTTGGGTTGACATCCTGTGAGAATTTCAAGTGAATCGGCCTAGAAAAATTCAAGATTTCGTAGACATCTTATTGAAAAATACAGTTTTGAGAAAAGTGCGGTTAAAGTTTCGTTTATGTCAAAAAGAAGGAAGCATCTCCAAAACTAATTGATTAATTGGCTTTGCACAAATGAAAACAAAACGAAACAACGATTTTTTTGGAATTTCTATACGGGAATACGCCCTTAATATTCATAATTTTATCCCAAATAGTAATATTCAAATTTATTATATAAATATAGTGATATAAAAATATATATCAATATATATATATATATATATATATATTTATATTATAAAAAGCTATTGACAACACTCATAAGATGACTTATGCAGCGAAGTAGGTGAGGCATAACAGTACACCTCATTTTAAGTAACACTAGGGCATGGTTTCAATAGATCATCATCGTGAAAACTATTCTTCAAGATCGTAAAATTGTGCATCAAAAGTTGAACAAAATTTTAAATATCATCATCACTAAATATTTTGGAATTGATTTCGATATCTAGTTTTTCGATATCTATTTTTAAATATATTCTGAATTTACTCAATATATATATATATATATATATATATATATATATATATATCTACACGTATATATTATGTATTTATAATTAATATCTCAAATCTCACAAATTTAAATTTGAAATCCATCACAAGAATAACGCATGTACACTAAAGCACTGATTTGTATGTTACACAACTTGATTCTTCGGACTTTTGATTGATACTGCCAACACGCAACATATCGTATGAATCGCCTCTGTGAATGCGTATGAACCGGTATCTTTGTAACGAATACATCTTGTACTCTTTAGTCTAATCTTTCTGACATGAATCCTGCAATTTATAGAAAAATTTCGAGTAATCACCCTATGAAAATACTAAATTTGAATTTGAAAATTTTAATATTTTTAATGATTTTTTTTTAAAGAATTGTAGCGATAACAAAATAAATGAATTTTATTTAATTTTTTGTCTCTTTTTGATTTATTTTTGAATATTTTGAAATATATCATACGAAAACATATTATTATTATTTTTATTATTATAATTTAATTAATTATTTATTTAATAATGCTTATTATTTATTTTATACCTTTAGTAATATGTATTAGTAAATATACATAAATTTTTCACAAGAGTTTTTTTTTCCATTATTTTTTATACTCCTTTAAGATAAATAAATAAACAATCTAGTGGTGCGTGGCATCGTGCCTTAAAGAAAATTGTTGGAACTCCCCGTACCGACAAATATTTTTTTTAAAAAGTTTTAGAATTTTATGAAAACTTTGAAAAAAATAGATTTTTGAGAATTTCGACATTTTTGAAAAAATTGATTTCTTGTTTTCAGAATTCTTCAAATTACGTCCTATTAAGCACTGAATTGCAATTTTTGGTACTAATCAGCATTAATGAGGAGACATCAATACAAATCGAATGTATTGAGATGATTGTAATCGAATATTTTGAGTTATTCAAATTGCTTAATCCGTGTTTCCGAAATTTGTATCCGCACACACCTAAATATTTCTATTCTGAATATTTATTCAGAAATCTTTGAAACGTAAATATATATAAAAATATTCATTCTAGATTTTTTTGCTATTACTATAACTTATCCTACGGGAAGTTAATTATAATAATAAAAAAACTAATAATATATTTTTGTATGATATACTAGTAAGATATAAATAAATAGTAGTAGTTTAGGTTAAAATCAATTAAATAGAATAATTTGCGGACTTAATTGAATTTAATCTAGTACAGGACTAGTAAACCTTAATAAAAAAACCAAAACCAAAATCTAGTATTAAAAAAATTAAATTAATAAAACAAATTCATTATTACTTATTCGATACTGTGTAAAAATAATGTAATCATAAAGGTAGTGGAAACTATCAAGAAGGTACTCAATATTATAATACATTTTGTGAATTTTTTACAAAACGAAAATGTATCAGAAACGCATAATACAGAAACTAATTTTTTTAATCCTTTCCACTCGCGAATTGCGAGGTCTATATGAATTTTCCTGCCGCAGCGGCGGCATCCGAGTCGAAAGAGTTAAATTTGAATTTTTTGAAATTAATTCTGAAAAAAACTGAAATTTTGGGTCGCTTTTTACGAATGAAAACTCGATCGTTAAGTGGTTAATAAAAACATTTTTTTTTAGTTCATTGACTGCATACTGTTACATAATGCATTATAATAATTCTACGTTTAATTTTTAATCTTTCTTATTTATATAAATATAAATATAAATTTGTTCAAACTTACGTATATAATATTTTTTTGTAATTGTTTGAACAGCAATCAGAACTCTTATATATTCTATAAGCTGTTTGTTAAAGACTTATGACTACTTATTTCATGAGAGGCAATCCATCGATTTACCATTCTCTTATATGTGGGATAACTTTGATATTAGCTCTTACGTCCAATAGTTAACATGTGATTGGATGTTGCAGCTATGTCCATGAAGGACGATTTCCACTTGGAATTATATTATGATCTATAACCCCACGTGGAAATTTGACATCAAAGCTGCCTGATATCGGGCTACGGCGGTAGCGGGAATCGATCCAGCGAACCTGGAACTAGTTGCTGCTAGCCCACGCTCTAACCGATATCGCCACCGCTGGCCCACGTATAAAAAATGAACAAATTTTGCAATAGGATTATGATATAGTATTATATTATATATTTATAATAAACGATTTATAATATATGTACATTGGACTCGTTTATGCGGCCCTCAGTTATACGGATTTGCGATTATCCGGACTAGCAACACTGACCAATTTTTATGTCTGTACATACCTACAAGCTACAAGTCAAATTTTTGCATGACTAATGCTGCAGTTTAGTATATGTATGTGATGTAAAAAGGAAATATGTATGTATATAAATACATACATAAAAAAGTGTTAATTTTTAAATAAACACTGTTTTTCCAGTTGTATGTAAGGATTTGTTATTTTTTACATATACAACACTATTCTTCATGCATTCGATTATCCGGATTTTCGAATACCCGAATGCCTATCGACAACAATTAGTCCTGTTAATCGAGTTTCTACTGTACCAAGTGTTATTCCTTAATGCTGCGCTGCACTGAAGCGTTCCCAGTTCGATGCTGGAATGCATATCCGTGCTTAGAATTTGGATCTCACAGGTCTCATTGTACAGCGCAAGGCGAAGGGACCTGAAGAGCGATGTTGTACCATTCAAAAAAAAAAAAAAAAATAACGTTGATTACCTAGCGAAAGATGAGTTAATGGCTGGTAAACAAAAAACGAAGTTATGTAAGGAAGACATTTGCTTGCTAGGATTTTTAGTTGGGGATCGTTCAAGTATTACGTAAGCAGATTTATTACAAATATTTACCCCCCCCCCTCCCCTTTGTCAGCAAAAGTAAGCAAAAGTTCTTACCCAAAATAAGCAAATCAATAACCCTCCCGCCCCCTATAGTGCTTACGTAATACTTGAACGGCCCCTTAAGCATTTAGCTATCTATATTATTTTTATATCGTACACAATTCGATATATTGATTTTCCACATAAATTATTTTTATCACCATCCTAGTCTATTCAATTTTGAAAACAAAATTGCTTTTTTTTCGCAGCTGTTCAAAAAAACAATTTTCACTTGTAAATGCATTTCTTGATCTTTTCTTAAAAAAAACGAATATCACTGCTGCATGAAGCGCGGAATTTTACCGAGGCCGCGGCTCTCAACAACTTGCTGTATGAGTGTATGTACATAATTGTTGTTGGTGTAGTTTGAGCTTGTTGGTTCAAATTACTATATAGGTAGGGAAATACGGACAAAATAACATGGTGTTTTGCTTTTTAACGCCTTGAAGACCGCACCAAAAATCGTGCTTTCGTGGGTACCGCATGAAAAATGGTCTATTCCTGGATAATACATATCCTGCGTCACCGGTTGCCATGCGATCTTGTAATGTTAGTCCTAGACAATATAATGATAATACTAATAGTCCTAGACAATATAATGTGGTAGCGTTGTGTACCGCAGGTGGACCTGCGGTCTTCTACGTGTTGATGATATTTATTTATTTAATGGTATTATAACGAATATCAATCGTTTTTACTTATATTTTCTACTTTTACTTATATTTGGTTCATTGACTATCAGTAACACAACTATAATAAAATATTTATTAAAGAAAAATGCAACCTATTACCAAAACTGCTTTGTCCATTTAAAAGGTAAAACCTGTATATATAGTTAAGGTAAGATAATTTTTAAGACGGCAGTTTACAAATAAATCGTTCGGTTCTCTTGGAAATGCATGTCGACAATTTGTTTGGTCTGTTTTGAGAAGAAGTTAAAAGCCAATCACCTTTGACAGCATTTAATTTTTCTTGCATTAAATGAACGTGCTTGCGAAGTACTAATACATCATTTTATCCATTAAGTGATCTTGGCCCAATTTTATACCTTATTTTTACAGCCGATTTTCCACAAACTTGCAAAACCACCATCGCAACGTATGCAGACGATACAACTGTTCCGTCACAAGACCCAGTACAAGCCACAGCTCACCTCCAATCACATCTATTAAAGGTTGAACACTAGTTCAAACTTTGGAGATTCAATATTACCAGCTCTAAATCACAACACTTCACTTTCACACTTAAAAGAAACATTTGTCCATCTGTAATATTGTTTAACCAAAGGTTGCAACACACAAATGTAGTTGAATACTTGGGCTCGCACCTTGATTGAAAATTAACATGGAAATAACACATTCAAAAAAACGTCAACAGCCAAAAGCCATGAGAAGGAAACTGTACTGGTTGTTGAACAGAAGATCTCAACTAAGTTCATAAAATAAACTTCTGTTATAACTAAAATTAATTTGGACCTATGGACTACAGCTTTGGAGAATGGCATGCAAATCCAACATCCACATAACTCAACGATTTCAAAACAAGATTTTGAAAAAAATTGTGAACGTTCCCAATTATTACATTTTTTATCACAACATATTACATTTTTATGTTATTCTGAATTTTCGCAAAAGTACTACTATTAATTCACTATTATAAGTTTCATCACGGATTACCACTGGGTGACCTTTCGACCTTCTTCCCTAATATAATTAAAGACCAATATTACTGAATGTTTTTTCTTCTTTATAACGACAGATTGTAATTTTTAAAAGCAAATTAAAAAAATTAATTATATAAGTATATGTTATTCTATTCGAAAGTTAACAAAAAAGAATAATTAATCAAAATTCCATCAAACACTTGATTATTGCAATATAAGTAATTGATTAGTACTAAGGTGACCATACGCCTCGGTTTGGCCGGGACAGTCTCGGATTTCCACCTTGTGTCCCGTTTTTTTTAAAAGCATTATTTGTACTGGATTTAGTTATTTCGTTTTGGATTGTCCCAGTTTTTCGAAAATTAACAGACGAACAAACGAACAAGTGCTATTTTTTTCAAATTATTTATGAATAAAAATTAACAGAATATTATACAAAAGGCTCATAAGCGGGAACAATATAAGATAAAGCATAAAATAACATTTTATCACATAGATAGAAAATATTGCATATAATCGAATAATAAAGTTCTTACTAAAAGTCCGCAATTCTTACAAAAAAAAGGTTTATAAAAAAAACTGTTGTTATATACTCCCGTCCCGGATTAGCATAACTAAAAATTGCCGTCCCGGTTTGGACTTATCGTTAGAAAAATAAAGTTACCTTATTAGTATGGGCATAAGTTTATCGAAAAGTCTCCAGAAAACATGGAAAAACCACCCTCAAAATAAACTGCTGAAGGCACGATACACAGTAGACTGATTACTGCGGGACAGAATTGTGATTTTGGCTTTCTTCATATTATACAGTCCTGGAAACATTACTATAACTAGCTCATTTTTAAATATGGTTATTGTGTCATTTGGTCCATACCATTTCGAGTGTTTTCTCTACTTGGTGTTTTATATAAATTGATTACCTCAAAATATAAGTAAAAAATGCCTGCTTGTTAAAAAAAAGTCCATAAAGGATGTATTGGATATTCATAACATTTTATTTGTGCATTAAATAACTTTATAGCAAAGGCTGATTTCACAATAAATATGTTATCCAAATTAAAGTGTAATTACTTTAATCTGTCCGTGCTTTAAATATTATGAACTAAAAAGTTAGATTATAATAAACCACACACAAAAATTCTTTTTTTTTTAAATATATATTGATCAGCATAAAATAACATTTTAGTAATTACATACATGTTATAACATCATATGAAAAGGATACACAGATTTCCAAAATTATAATTTATGGTTAAAATATTTGTTTTTTTTACAATAGATTGCTTTCAATTTAAATACTCATTTATCATAATTGGGCATTGAGTTAAATTTATTACCACATATAAAACCACAATATTCAAATAACAACTCTATTCTATTTAATCACTTTTTTGTGTCTTCCAAGACGCGCTTAAGCATACGCTTACCTTTGGATATACTTTGTTATCTCTAACCATGTCATTTAACAATATATATTAATGGAAATAAATTACAAATAAAATTATTTAGTTTAGTAACAACAATTTGATTGAAAAATATATAATATAATATATTATATTTATATATAATATAATATTATATATATAAATCAACATACACATCTGAAATAATATTCAAATTAAACTTATTACTATATAAATAATTATGATAGCCAAGATTATATTTATTTATATTATATTCACAACAGTATTTGGAAATAAATTAATTTAATATTGTTTTTACTGTTCAAATTTTTGGTTTTATCATTTCACCTACGAGAACAGAAAATTAATTCTATAAAAATCAATATATTATTTTGTAACTTCAGCAACGCCATTAAGAATTAAACAATTTCGCGAGTATGTTCCGCGTTCACATAAGTAAGTTCTACGATCTATTGGGATAAAAAGTAGTTAATATCAGGTAACATTTTGCTGAAAGCACATTTAACAATGAAAGCTGAGTTGCGCAGCACTTTACAATCAACATTTTACTTCTATATACAAATGTATAAATTACTTATTCACATAATTTGCTCTTGATAACACAGTCATGGAATATTCCGCTAAACATAATGCAAGCGAATTGATTCATTCTTATTTAAATCTGAAAATAATCCAACTTGATATTTCATTTTGCCAATGGGACAACATGGTCAACATGGTACAATTTTCAAGGAGAACGCTGTTGTGACTGGTTTCGTTTACGGGTGAATACTAATGCAAAAATGTTTCTTAAGCGCCGCCATCTGCTATGGCATTTATTGTGAGTCTTTTCAGATGTATTTCCATGAGGATTCAACGCCTATAAAACAAACAAAATTGCAAAATGTTTATAATAAGGAACAGAAAACATTCTCGTAATGTACAAATGTAAAATCCAACAAATTATTCATGTGGTATAAAAAATATTGTTACTATTATTGATTGTTTAATATAAGATAAATAGTACTTTTAATTATGATAAACATGTGGAGTACGAGAAAATATAATACACAAATTACATAGTGTATAATTGCTTCAAAAATGATTAACTACAAGCGATATAACAGATACTAGTAAGTAAGTACGTAGTAGTAGTAAAATGTTATTTTTAATTATATTATTTAGTTATGTTAAATTTTTGTTTGTTAAATAAATTATATCAATTAAAGAAATAAACATACATATAAACATAACATAAATATGTAGGGAACAAAATGACACAGTATTAGTAAAATTTTCATGACTTTCTAATGAGACAAAAGCCATAACAATAATCCTGTCAGACATTGAGCGTCATTGTCACAGTCTTGTCGCAATTATTTTAAGAGTGGTTTTCCCATGTTTATTGTGGAATTATTTTAATTATTATTAATAAAACCAATGAACCTATGCCAGTACTAGCGATTTCGATCAAATTTTGATTGTTTATTCAATTTTGTTGACATACTTATACAGTGAACAAAATGACATAGCACTATTTCGCAAGAACTACAGAGTAGTTTATAATGGATCAAGTAAAAAAAAAAATTGAATGCTGTAAAAAGTGATTGGCTTATGATCTGCTCCAACTATTTCTAAACATCGACCAAAAAAACCACTGGTAATAAAGACTTGTATTTATTGCAAAAACCTCTTTTCAAGTTCTGAGCATGAAAAGCAAAAGTTGGTTACGATATTGTAACGACAATAGGCATTGTCGCCAAAAGGTTACACAACCCTCAGTGCAAAAGACATCCCCCACCCACCTCTACTAGTGTTCCTGCAATATAAGGTCCAAGTCCACAGTTAAAAATAGTCATTAACAAATTAGAACAAATAGAGTCCAGGCGCGAGCCCCTTGCACTTGTTTAGTGTATAGTGGTGTGTGTGTTGTGCTAGGAGAAAAGAACCGTTCCAGCAAAGGTCAAATTGTATCATTTATTAGCTATTCCCTCTGTCGCTCCGCCACTTATAATTAAAGATTTTTGTCAGTATGTTAGAGTTTAACCATTGGACATGACTGCACACAGTCATGCCCTCACACCTATAATCATAATTAGGTAAATTAAATAAGATAAAAGTACATTCTGTTTCATTCGTGAAGTTAGTGATGTTAGTTCCACAGGTAATTACAGGGCATTCATAGAAGTAGGGTTAAGAAGTTGAAGTAAACCCTTTCGTAATGGCACTCCCCATTGCTAAATATAATAAATGGCAGTCATTGCAATACCCCAGAAAGGGGCTTCAATCCCTTTTATCCATAACAATATATAATTTGTTTTGCTTGAGCTCATGTGTCATATGCTGATATTCCAAAGACGACCAAATGATTTATTTATAAACTGACTTGTCGATACAATATGGAAAAAATGGTTTCGTAATTAGTTGCATTTTTTCTCAATAAATATGTTATTGTAGTTCCTACCTAATTAAAAGACTATGTTACTGGTAGTCAATAAATCTAAAATTAGTAAGTATGATTGAGACTGATTATAATATCATTAAATAGATAAACACCATAGAATCTTGTCAGTATTTCACCTGCATCTTGTGACTAGTTATTAAAATTTTCAATGCTAACACTTTTCTACATACAAAAATACAAGAACAAAATAATTATAATAAAATGACATTTTCCACATTTTCAGTAAATTTCTTGGATCTTCAAAAATAAATAGTATGATTAGATAGTGAAAAATTTATTATTTTACAAACCTTTAAAGCTTCTTTGCGTCGTATCTCTCTCACGAGAGCATAGAATGCATCATCTATGTTGTGTCTTAGAGCTGCAGATGTTTCATAAAATGGACAACCAAATTGTTGACCCAATGCTTTACCTTCCTCTGTTAGTACCTAAGGTAAATAATCATGAAATCAATACATTACCTAATAATGATAATTAACATGTATAATGCAATTATATTAAAATATGCATACTTACTTTTCTTTGGTTTTGCAAATCAAATTTATTTCCTATCAATACTAATGGAATATCTTCAGACAGTCGGACTCTTGCTATTAACTTTTTATATTCTACAGCTTCTTGAAAACTGTTTTTATCTGTCACAGAATAACAAATCATAAAACCTTCTCCGCACCGCATATACTGATCTCTCATTGCAGTAAATTCAACCTGAAAGATTAAAAAAAAATACTAACACGTAAAAAAAAATGAGATAAACAAGTTAATAGTAGTAGTAGTAACACTGCGTAGTGCATTTTTCTCTATATGATTCTCAGAACATAAAAAACCCAGACTTTTAATTATCATGACTATTAAAAATTGTTAGTTAAACACATTATGCATTTGAACTAAAGAAACAGTATGAGAGCTTTATTCAAGTAAAATCCTATTCTTACACTGTCATTATCTTAATCATCTCTTTTTTACACATGCGAGCTTTATATAACCCAATTATAAACCCCATTACTTTTAAACTAATGCAGGGTGTGTCATGAATTAGTTAAAGTAATAATGAATGATGGTTTAAAAAGTTAATTCATGATTCACCCTGCAACAACAAAAAAATATGTTTTTGATTAAAAACCATGCTTAAAAATTTATAACAATTATCATGGTTAAAAAATATAGTACATCATTTGTATGTATGATGTCAACTTTTAATACAAAATGTACATCATTTGACACATTCCAAATATATTTTTTTAATTTAAATGGAAATCCGTTCGGAGTAACTATGCCCCGTAATATGTTTTGGATTATTGAAACCATAACATTTAAACACAAATCACCAATAATATTGCTTAAATTTCTTACTTTTATTATATACATTAACACATGCAGTAAAAAGGAATTTATCTTGCTTTATTGACTCTGAGAATTTTATTCGATATTATTTGTTATAGGTATTACGATCATATAACATGAAGAAATTGTTTGTGTCAGGTAATTTAAATTAAAATTCTATATACATACTAACAAATTAAACTAAAAAACTAATACTTTAGAGTACGTAGAATAACTAGTATTGAGTGCAACCTAAAATAAATTTTCTACAATTTGATTGTAAGTATTCAATATTACAAAATGATCTGTAATCACCAACACCTAATAGGGATTAGGATCTGAATAGTTATATTTGAAAATATTTTACATACATTAAACCCAATTTCCAACATTCACCAAGAATCGTAAATTAGAGCATGCTTATAAATATGTTAAGTAGTTGCTAACCTGCCCTGCAGTATCTAAAATATCTAACAAGGCAGCTTCACCATCAATGACAGCTTGCTGCTGATATGAATCCTCTAATTTTTAATTAAATAAGAATCATTATTTTAAATAGATGCAGTAATAATCATGATTACTTACTTACCTATCGTAGGGTCATGGTAATCCAGGAAACTATGACTGACAAACTGCAAGGTAACAGCTGAAACAGAAATGATAATGGTTAATATTTGTGTCATTAACTGAAAACTCTTTAAAATTGGAATATTGGAATTACAAATAATACTAGTTAAAGCAACAGTAGTAAGAAATACTAATACCAATTATTTATTTTTGGAAACCTTTGATCAAAACTGTGTCATCAAATTTGATTTTCAGTAAAATGCTGTAAATTAGTATTTTATTCTTCACATGTATCTAGATAAAATACAAAAGTCAGTGCATTTAAGTCAGCTCATAAAAATAACACTAGCAAAATGAAATTTGGAAAATTAACAGACGACAGATATTCAACCATATTAGCTTTTTTAATATTCTATCATATTTTTGATATTATATAATACAGTTTAAGCAAATAATATAAAAATGTATTCTTAAAGGTAAATTAATGCATTATTATGTTAGAAATTCATATCCGCTGTATGTAAAAAATTATTATTTTTATTGTTTATTATAAACATTTACCTGATTTTCCAACACCTCCATCTCCTAGTACAACAATTTTATAAACACGTAGACCACCTCTAGTTGTTGGAGTTAAGGAGGGTTTTGGATTATCAATTGTGGCTGCATTATGTGAATCTTTCTTATTACTTTTTTTCTTATTTTTTCCCAGAACATTTGATAAAGTCATTTCGCACGCCATAACTATTATCTAAAATTATTACATTATGAATAACAGATAACATTTTCTATGCAAAAAAGCAAGTTTTGTGGCTATAATAGATTGTTTTTACAATTACACTGTATTTAAGTATTAATAGATAATAAATCTGGTGAAATAAAAATTTACACAAATAAAAAAAAGTTGTCTGTATTGGGTGTGCAACATATGTTTTCCAATGCACTTTTTAATGCCGAATACAATTCTTGTTTCAAATGTTTTTTCCATATTTATCGAATTTCTTTGCATAGAATCGAGCAACAACCTGCAAACCTATTTATTTCCTATTGCACCTGTGCAATCTGCAATCATATTTGCCCCCATTTGAAAATATGTTTGCAGAAACTTAAAAAAGATGAAAAAATCCCTTAGTCATTTAGGGTGAAAAGGGCCACAAATTGACAGAAATTATACGATTTTAATCATCATGCAGGAGAATTACTAGATCGGAGATTTTGTCATTTTTGAAGTAAAACTTCTTTAGGCGCAACTAGGATGTAAATCCGTACAAATGCAACGGAAGTTCGTTACGCCCGAATTGCTCGTCATTCGCTCTCGATGAGATCATTTCTATACAGGTTGATTGTGATTAGCCGTAGTGTATGTGAATAGATTTGTGTTGTTGTATGCGTACTGATACAAATCTTGATTTAATGAAAAATGCTTGAATCAAAAAAATATTTTACCCTGTTCTTTGAAAATAATAAAACAAATTAAACATTTGGGCCGTGCACTGAACGTAAGTTTATTGATTAGAAATTATTTCTATATTATTCGTAGTTTCTATAAACCTTTGAAGTTATTAAAATAGAAAATATTTTTTAGGCAAGACAAATAAAACAGCTGTTCAAAGAATTAGATTATATGGCCAGCGAAAAAGGTAAAAAATATAAGCAGTCAATGAATGTATGTTGATTTTAACTGCATGAAGTTCTTCAAACACAATTACATGACGAGTGAAGTTGCAAAAACAATATTTGTTTAGGCATTGTTTAACATAATTCACTGTGTGAACGAATATTATAGAATTTATTAATCAGCAATTACTTCAATTCTCTAATGAAGATTCAAGTCGTAAATGCTAATTACAATGACAAACCGATCATGTCATATTTGAAGTATGGCTGTTATTATTTTAATGCTATTATAAATATATAATTAATAATTTGTCATTATATAAATGTCTATAATGGTTGACACTAATAAATGTGTGTAAATAAAATAAATAAAATAAAGTAAAAGTAAATAAATGTGCATCACGAGTGTTATCATATTACTAATGAACATTATTCTTCATTATTATTGTTATATGATGTATTTATTTTTACTTAAATGCCATCTTGTACAGTAGCAAATAAGTTTTACTTCAATCAAGTGTAAACCTTACGCGCACTCTTTTTATTTCACTTTGTTTATTTAAATTTAACACCCAATTTTGATTTTAGACTCGTGTTTAGCATTAAAAAGTACATTGGAAAACATACAACACACACCCAATGCAGACAACTTTTTTATTTTGTGGACCTGTGTAAAACAGCAGTGGTTTTAATGTATATATTCAATATATTTATAAATCATTATTTTTTAAAAACTTTGAGCTCAACATATATAGCAGCTCATCATGTCAGTAAAGGTAAATGACAAATTTATAAATAAGAATTAATATAATTACTCACATTAAACAATTAATATAATTATTCACATTGGACATATAAGAAAGACTGAAGACAAATACTTTATACTAATAATGATAGTTACCTCTACATCGTCTTATGCATATAAATAAATAAATGGTTGTGCAATTCCAACAACAATAACATTCCAATTTATTGAGTCATATAAGACAATGGTTGCATTATAAATGACTAATACTATGTCGATTATTCAGCCCACTTTGCAAATTCGGAGACATTTTGCTTGTGTTGAAAAAATATTCATTAGCGTTTACCTGTCAAAACATAATAAATTATTATAAAAGACATGTTATATTTTAAAGACGATTACGCATATTGGAACGTACCGACTATTTTGTTTATAAACAAATGTGTTTGTTGAAGCTTAATGAAAATCATGATTACATATTTCTTACATGGGCGATATGTCAACGTCAACCATAGGAGCCACTAAATTTTGATAACATGGCAGATGGGTTTTGACGTTTGAAAAGCACCTACGCTCTGAAGTTGGCTCCGGGATAGAGCATAAACCATATACTCTTCTTTTATCTATGCATATACTCTTCTTTTATCAATGGCATAACCTGTCATTTCGTGGAATATTTAGTCCCGCGTTCTTTTCTCATTTTTGTGAGAGTATAGCATAGCGTCGCGTCGGTTTCGTTTCAAGTGAGCGTTTTACTATGTTTTCTGCTTTTTCTTTTCGTGTAATTAGAATTCTTTCGTTCTGTTGCTATTTCTAATTCTATTCTTTTTTTTTATTTGTTTATAACAGTTTTTTTCACATATTTCGGTTCGGTTTTTCGTTTTTTTGCTCTGGATCGCTTTCCTTGCGTTGCTTTTTTTGCTCTAGTAAGCTTTTTATTATAATTCATGCTTATTTTTCATATTTCATAGTTACAATAAGTGTTTTTTAGGATTTTTTACTTAGATTGCGTAAGTTTCTTTTTAGTTTAGTTACGTGTTTTTTTAGATTTTTACTTAGCTTGCGTAAGTTTATTTTTCGTTTCATATTTTTACTATTTAGATACTTACTTTTATTTCACTTTAGGTTACATTCTATTTAATAAGCTTATTTTTAGATTTTGCTCATTTACATTAGGTTACATTCTATTTCATAAGCTTATTTTTAGATTTTGCTCATTTAAGTTTATATTTAGTTTAGAATTAATATCATTTAGATACTCACTTTATATATTTACTTTTTAGCTTCTAATTTTCTTTACATTTATTACGATACGTTTTATTACCTTCATTACTTTTATTTTATATTTCACTTTATTACTTTGCTTATGTGGCAACATGGACAGCGACTTTTTCTGTACCGAGTGTCAGATTCCATTCACAGCTCGTAGCTCCTTGTATCGCCACATGAGGCAAAAACATGACAAAGAGCCAAGAGCTGTTTATCCCAATGCGTGTGCTTCCTGCCTTAAAATTTTAAATTTAAATATTTATTAACTCGTCATGTGAGCCAAGTTCATAATAACATCCCTAACCCTTCACCTGCCCAATCTTCTTCGGTATCTTTTGAAGACATTACACACCTTTCCTCCTCCACTAAAACAAATATAAAGCATCCTTTTCTTTATGTTTAATTTCAATGTTTATATTTATTCTATATTATTTATATTTATTCTATATTATTTATTACATGTTTCCTGTGACATGCTTTATATTGTAAATAGTATGTGTATATATTTTGAATAAAAATATTTGATGAAATAGATGGTTTTAATTGTGTTTCTTATTACCTATGTTAATCATTGTTAGAAAAAGTAATCAGATCACTTAAAGATAAAAATAGGCAAAAATATCGGACTGAACTTAAGTTTATTACATTACTATACATATGCTAGCCTTTAATATATATATATATATATATATATATATATATATATATACATGCATATATATGAGTTAAGTTCTAATAATCAGATGTTACATGCTACAAGACTCTTGTAGCTATTTTGATGTTCAGGCTGAAGTCCTAATCTTAATTCAGTGAACCCTACAATAGAATTAAAACACACTAAGCAAACAAAAACAACCTGAATAACATTTACCTGGGTGAATAAAATAACTATACTAAAACACTCTGCAAAGCCCTAATTAAAAATTTCCTAATAATTTCTAACAAAACTGTACTAGGTTTTGAATAACTATATGTTTGGTTTCCTGAAATAATATTAGTTGTGAAGAGACAATGTATGACCATGTAAATGTAAAAGAACCGCCTTCGTAAATAATTATATACTTACAATTGGGATTTCTATTTAACTGTCTAAAAGGTGTCTAAATGTGAAAGGTGAGAGACAATATAACAATGGGTGTACTATTTTGACGTTTGACAGTTTTGTTTTTTTGTTTGACAGTTTTGTTTGACGCACATAGGTTTTTTGTCTTTCAATGTTGTTACACTTTCTTTATTCTCGGTTGAGCGTCGTATGTTGGTATGACAAAGAAATGAGATATTATCATAAATTAGCTTCGTGTGTCAACCATACGTCAACTTGACAATATGACAATATACAGCGAACACAATTTGCACTAAAAATGTCGCTTAATTCTGCACAAGCGCCACTCGCGGATATTTCAGCAACTAGTATTTTTTCAGCGCACCAATGTGGAAATTGGATAAACTATAGAATTTGTAATTTATTATATTATATTTGAGGGTTTAATGGTTTGATAAAATAAATATTGTTTTGTACAATTATATATACTATATACTATCTATATTTTTATATTTTGCTAATATTTCTTTCACGTTAGCAACGGACCATGTGCTCTGATTGGCCGGATATCCATTTTGTGACCCTAAAATCATTTTTTTATTTCTTTTTATTTTATAGTAATTTTACACCTGTCTTGCAATGAACAATAAATAAAGCTGTAGAATTAAAAAACTTTAACTTTAACTTTAACTAATGGTGTATGGCATCGTGCCTTAAGGCAAATTGCTGAAACTTCTAGTACCATAATGAAATTCTCAAAGAGAAAAAAAAATGAAACAAAAAAAATATTTTCCCCAAAAGCAATCTCTTCGTCAACATAAGCATAAAGTTTTTTAAATCATTCAAATCGCAAACTTAGTTTTCTCAAAAACTGCTATTTTTTGCATATTTAGCTCCGTATCTCCGAAACGGTTGAACCTGTCTTTGCCAAAATCTAATCACCACTTCTACCGATCATTACAAATTGAATGTTCACTGGATCATTTAAATCAGATTGCTCCGTTCTCTTAGAAACTCGATTTCTATTTTCTTCACTTTTTGTTCCGTATCTCCAGAGCGGCTGAGCCTGCCTTTGCCAAAAATTAATCAGCATATCTTTCTATCAATAGAAATCGAATGTTTTTTAACCATTCAAATCGGTTTTCCCATGCACCCGAAAACGTAGACGAAAAGTTGTATCCATGTATTCATACATACATACACACACCAACATTTATTTTTTCTATGCCAAAATTTTCAGAAACCTTCAAAACATGAACATATGCAAAAATTTTCAGTTTCGATTTTTGGACGATTACAATAACATGATAATAACTTACCCTACGTTAAAAAAAGGAAAGAAAGTTAAAAATGCAAAATCTTCTGACCATTATCAAGGATTTTAGAAACAATATTTGCTCCGGATACAGGTTTTTAGTCCCAATTGTTCCAATTTTTTGCTAAGATTCTAATTATTATGTTTAGTATAGTTTTAGTTATGATTATGTTTCACACGCTAAGGGAGCTAGTCAGTAATTGTGATAAAAAAAGTTATTATATACTTAATCATATGATCACCCTGGATAAAAAACAATATTATTTGTATGATTATTAATAGGGCATCATACTAAACATATACAATCATACCTATAGTAATTCATCATCAGTACAAATATATAAAATATTTTTGATAAATCACAACTTTAGAATTCCATGACAACTTATTATTATATCTCAAATATTTTCTTTATTAATCATAATTAATTTATGGGCCTGCATATACATTTTATATCGATTTTTTAAATAAAATCTAAATATAATCAAATAATAAGCATAGCAATCTGGTAAAAACATTTTTTTTTATTTAATAAATATTTCATGAAAAACCTATCACATAAAACATTATTTAACATTTAATTTGTATTTAGTAATAAACAAACTCCATGTAAAATCCATGTGGACAATGGCGCAGTAGTTCTTAAATGTGCTTCAAACACAATATCATCCTCCATACTGTTTCTGCGCTGAGATGTTATATACACTGGTGTACGCAACATGTTCTAAATTTAAACAATTTTTAATAATTTTATATCTTAATTAAAAAAATACTCAATGACAAGATTGAAATGAATAATTCTGCGCAACAAGTATATAAGTACCTGCAGATGCAATCGTTGTTGAAGTGTAGGAATTACAATAATTATAGGAATTTCTTCTACAAGTACATTTGGTGATGACATTTTTAAACACATACTTTTTATATCCCATTGGCATCCTTCCAAGTAAAGTCCAATAACATAACATCCCTAGGTGATTGTACATTTTAAGCGTTATTAAAACAGTATGTATTGTTATAAAGTGATGTGGTAAATCAGATATGTTTATTAGTTTAAACAGTAGATATTGACTTAACAAAAAGAGATCATACAAGCAATAATATTAATAGCAAATTGTAACAAAAATCGCATGATAAATAAAAAATAGTTATTAACACATTATTGTCGTAATTAGAATGAAATATTGATGCAATTTTCATGCACACGGCTACTTTCAGTGGGATTATATTTAATTTGACTCACCTTCTCCGGTCGTCCTGATATCTCATCATAACTAGTATAAGGGGTTACAGTGGTGTAGAATGTAGACCTCTCCAAAGGCCAAAAGTGTTTTTGGCATTCCATTTGCACTACTGCTGCTAGATAGGATTCCGGAATAGTCAAGCCGGATAACCACATAATAGAAGGTTCACCTACTGTGCACTTCATTTACAAATCATGATTAATTTTTATATACAAATTAATTTATATCGATCATCACGTAATTATACATATTTTATAGTTTAGTGATCGCCATGAAATCACAAATAATTCAAACTAAATTGGTCAAAATTTGACCAGGGCTTTTTCTATTTAACCCGGGACCCTTTGGGATAGGAGATACAATTGTATGAGTATAAATACCTGTAACTTATAATAATAAGAGAGACTAGCAAATGTAACGAGAAAAGAAGGCCGTAGAGTAAAGTTCAATATATATCATAAACTAAATAGTGGATTTATTCACATATCTTATGGTGATGGAATATTTATAATTTACAGTCCGCTTATATCTAATTAGTCACAGTGATCCTCACCATAAATTATATAATATGCTACAAAAATCCTATTTTATCTTTTTGATTTATAAATTTAGCTCATCGCAAAGGTGTCTTTGTCTATTAAACACTAAATGAAATTAATTTTATGGAAAATACTGAATACTGAAAGTAAGTATTTGTATACATACATCATAATATAATAAGTTCGTATTTATATGGTTATTCTGAAGTATTTTATTCTTATTATTTACACTGATTATTTAATTTGTTTCCCAAATAATATCAATTCGACAGATATTTTATGGCTTTTGAGGCGACTGCATTTTTATTTTCGCTTGAAGATACAAGCACGTCCGAAAGAAAAATGTTTGTAGATTTGAGTAAATATATAAAGTAATATTTAAAATATATTAAATATATAATTAGATTTTATATGCAATAGTAAATATTATACACATCGTACTATAATTTGAAATTGTTTCGAATATTTACCCAATAATTGTATTGACTGATTCTTCTTTCAAAATGTTCCATCCAACTCCCAAGAGTTTTGCAGGTTTTTGGAGCAAGTTTTTTCCAACAAAGAGGAAGCTGGCCAATAAATAGACATTCTACTATACACTCCAAATCTGGATCCAAGCTTATTTCTCCATTAAGTGCCTAATTAAATAAATTATTAATATATATGCTTTGAATATAAATTAAATATATATATAATATATATATATATATATATATATATATATATATATATATAAATTATTTTTCAATTCCTACATTTAGTAGCAAGTTCAATGATGAAGACATTCTGTCCAACAGCTTATTAAACATTTTTAGTTCTTGAATTAAAATTAGTTTAGTTGGAGCTGTGTTAATGTCAAATGTTTCACGAATTTTCTCCAATTCATATAGTTTTGGTACTCTTTCTAATACATTCTGAGCAGTAGATTGGACAGTTTGGTATTTTATATTTTTGTCAAAAACCTCACCTATGGAAACATGGTAAATAATAAACATATTAATGTTTATTAAAATAAACATATTAATGTTTTATGTTTGTATATTTACTCGTTTGTGTCTGAAGATCCATCAAATATCGCCATATGTCCCTTGAGGCTTTCGTCGAATATTTAATTTCGGCATTAACATGTAAGCCAATAACTTCAGATGTATTTATTTTAAGCGGTAGGGAGTCTATATAATCTATAAATATGTATATAAATAAAATATATAAATGTGTGCATATTTTTATATGTGAGTGAAATTAAAAGTAATATGGAAATTGCCAAAATACCTAAATAAAATTCTCTATTTCCATTATGTGGTATTGTATATTTCACATTCTTGTCATTATAAAAATTAAATGGTTGAAAAGGATCAAATATAAATTCGCCCATGTATTCGTTCAAATAAGTTTTCACGACACGATTATCAAAACCATCCAGCACACGTCCCCCATATATAATCTGCGGTAAAAAAATATTAAAACAAACTAGGTATTTAATAATCAAATATGTTGGGTGCTATTTCACAATTTTGTTTTCACAAACCTCTCCTATTAGATATTTTAAACATTTCCAATTTATATTATTATCTTGCAATTTGTGTATTTGTGCGAGATAAGAATCGATAATTTGTACGCTTATATTAAAATCCGATTCACTAAAATCGTAATTTATATTCCATCCTATTTTGTCATATCGTTTTCTTTCCTATAATTCAAATTAAGATTGAAAATTAATTGATCTGTAGTTTTATTGTTTTTATATATGATTCGAATGTGTTCACAAAAATGGATAAATAGATGAATACTTCTAGCGTGCATTTTCTGTAAATTCAAGAACACGGATTTGATACTGGTTCAATATTGATATTCCTGGATAAATTTGATGAAAAGTTAATATTTTGAAATTTATTTTAAATGTACAAAAATCACGTCGCGAAGTCATGTAAATTAATAAAGTGTTATTTACCTGAATAACTGCATGAAAAAATGCTAACACATAAACTAAGCTTTTGAAAGCAGCATGAGGGCATTTATCTAATATGCTTTGCGATAAATCATGGTAAGAATTTCTTAAATTGTATCTTATTCCACTTGAGAGATCCGTTGCAACTGGAATCATAGGTAAAAAAATATTAATGTATTATTATTACATTGATTAAAACTATTGAAGTTGCAAATGTTTTATCTTAAATATTTGTTATGCAAAAATGAATAATTATTGCTAGTAATATATATATTTGTTCGATCGAATAAATAAATAATTTTTTAAATATATATTTTCACCTGTAAAACACCTTTGTAAAATTTCTATGGGTATAGCGCCCGCTGTATCAGTTGTAATCCACAAACGGAAATCCCGATGCGGATTTTCCATAATACTCAACAATTTTTCCATTTTATCTTTAATTGGATTAAACAAATGACAATTTTGTAGTAAAATCCAACTTCCTTGTTCAGCGGCAGTGACCACCAAGTCCATAGCCAACTGGGTTACAAATACATGTTTATTTACAAAAATAAATAATTTACTTAATTTCTTACTTCTTCTTGGCCTCTACTCAGTGAGATTTCTCTACATTTGAAGCGATCACTTCCTAACTCATCAGCTAATTTTATGAGTTTATTCGTTGGATCAAATCCAGATGTTAGCATAAAAATTATAGGAATATGCGCCAAAGTTTTATTGAAAATATCATTAAAACACACATTTGGAGGCTTTATGTATCTTTCTCCCAAAGACGAAACTAAATCAAATAGAAATATATGCTTTTATATAATAAATGTTAAATATTAGTTTGAATTTGAATATTACCTATGAAATCTATAACACCATGAAAAACTCTATCCGTGCGGAAACATCGCAATATCATAAGTCGCCTAAAAGGCGTCAGCGACTTATCATAATTCATTGGTAATGGGATGCTTTCAGGTGTATCAACATCATTCCACTAAAATTAATAACAATTAAACTTACAATATATTGAAGAGTTACGATATATTGAAGATTTAAATACTTACACTTTTCCACACATCATTATTTCTGACAATATCTTTTAGAAGACTTTGGAAATGAGGAAGAAAGTCCTTGCTCAAGTTTAGAATATTATTCCAAATCTGTAATACTAGAATATTACATATCGAAAATTGTGATATGATTTGCAATGGATTATGAAGTAAAAACCTCAGTTGTAATCCAGTTCGGACACGAAACAGGCAAATTTTCAGTCATTTTCGAACCTTGAATAAAAAATCTTAATTCTTGCTCTGATATTAATTTTATGTTCTGTTCTATTTTAATTGCCAACAGAAACGAGAAAAAAATTCTGTGTTTTTCAAAAATACCTAAAAAACCGTATGTATACATTCACACATTATATATATATATATATATATATATATCTGTGTGTGTATGTGTGTACGTATACCTGTACATGCATAACAGTAAATGTTTTCAGTAAGTGTATGAATAATTTTCTTCAATTTGCTAGAGATAGAATTATCTGCAGTTGTTTGTCGTAATGAAAATCTAAAAACTTCTATGTATGTTGTAAGACTAAACTGATATACTTTATTAACAATACTCATGTCGGATATGGCAAAAAATAATGTAGAACCGTGTATTGCAATTTGACGATGTTTATTTCGGACTTCATTGATATCCTTCAAATTATTCATAGATGCTGCTAAATTGCTTTTGGCCTATCAAAATAAATAAGAAATAGTATATATATTTAAGCTATCCGTTTATCCTCCCCGATACCTACATCGGAAATTTTCTTCTTTATATTTTCCAAACAAGAAACAAACTCTGCGTTGTGTATTATATTTTCTGTAGGAGTCAACATCTCCTGTAAAAGCGTATTTTCGAGTTTTTCGAGCAGAGTTGTATTTAAACTTATTTCCTTCACAAGCAAACTGAAATCATTTTCAACATCACAGTGCTCTTCCTGAATTGCAATACTTATTAATTTTTCTTCTAAACTCTTGAAATATACATAATTTTATTAGTTAGTTTTTTATTAATATTTATACACATTTAGCTTACATTTTCTGATATACTGAAATTAATAACTGATAACTTTGCATACACGTTTGTGTTTAGATTTGGATTTCCAAGCTGTGTTGTAAAATAGAGTCTAAATCCATCATCACCAATGTTTTTTTCATTTTCGAATAAGTCATTCAATTTAGGATTTGAAACTAAAATGAATAAATAATATGCAATAAAAATATATGTATATGTAATAAATAATAAGCAATAAAAATATATGTAGTGTAAATTCTACAATACTAATTCCAGTCTTCTCAATTCATTACCTGAAGTGCTTTCTTCTAATATCGAATATATTACTGGGTCAACATAATCACCAATATTGATGAATATGATAGGATATCCATATTTAATGGCTTGCTTTAATTGATCTATGTAGTCAGGTTGAACAAACGTAACTGTTCTCAAATTATTCTGTTGTTCCATTTTTTTAATCCAAGATATTGCCTGCTGATGAGGATCAATGCAAAGAGGATAACGCAATGCATAAATGGTCAATATTCCATTCTGAAGAGATAATTCATCGCTCGGCAAACCTTCCAAATTCCATCTATACAATATTATATAAAAAGGTGATAGTATTCATAGTAACTATCATAAAAAAATATAAAAAAAATCTTCCTATGTAGTTTGAAAATTAACCACACCCAAAAATAGTTGCAATTTGACCAAAGCTCTGCTTTGCGCTTGGAAGCTACAAAAAAAACAAAGCTTACAAGTGAAGTCCAGAGGTTTAGTCAAATTGAGACCATTTTTGTGTTATTGTGGTTAATTATTATTTTTTTGGAATCATAACGACGAATAACATTTCTAGGACCACAATCAAAAATATTGAAACAATTGCCCCAGGCCTTCAAGAATTAAGACTTTTTGATGAACTAAAAATTGAAAATTTTCAAAATTGGACTTTGAAACACCCAATAAAAGTATTAAAGTGTGTTTGCAAGTTCCATTAAAAGTTGACGCTTGTAAAATGTAAATTACTTAATAGTTCAAAAAAAAAATCGAGTAAAATAATATAAAAGCTAAAGATGATGTGATTTTTACTAGTTACATTTTGCTCACAATCAGTTCAAATGCTTGTTGTACGTGTAAGCTCATTATGCTTGAATTACTGATTTTGACAAAAATGCACTAGCAAAAATTGTTTTATCTTCAGATTTTTATTTTTTTACTCAATTCAATTTAATTCATAATAAATTTATTTATAATCGTACTTTGACAACTTTATCATAATTTATAAAAATAAAATGCATATAATAAAAATCGATTGATGTTAGACTCGATAATTCATGCTGTGATCAATTTGAATAAAAAATACAAATCCTAAATCTAAGAATTTAATCAACCTTACCTTCTGGTGTGAACTTCATTTACTAACTGCTGGTGAATGACATATGATTCAATTACAGGAATATTTCGATTTATGATATCTTTTAACAAATTGTCATACATCATTTTCAATCTGAATTCTAGATTGAATGGACCAGCGTAGGACAGAAAGGCAGCCGTCAATAAACATGATCCAATATGAGTTTTCTCGTTTTGCCTCAGAGTGTTTAGTTCTTCTTGCCATCTATTTGTTAAAGTATATAGTTTTAACACATGTGTTTTAAGAGTTATTTGGTATGAAAAGAATAACATTATAGGAACATACTAATTTTAACTCATATAGAAATTAAAAACCATAAAGGATGAAACATCATAAATACTAAAAATTTGTAGGCGTCGTCATTCAGGTTTTGTAACAATAAGTCACTGAAAGTATTAAGTAAATAATCTCTTGGATTTCAAAATATTACTTAATTTTATAAAAAGCATAAATATAGAATTAGAGCAAATGACAAATATTAAATGATTGGCTAAATTGTGAAAATAGATTATGATAAATTGGTATGTTTGTGATATTAGGAATTAATTAATATCTGACCGAATATGCTATTGAAAATAAATAAATTTAGTGTTTGGTACGATATTACGAATAAGAATCCAGAAACACAAGAAATTTTTGATCTATCAAATATCAATACATTAACCGCCACAGCAGACATATGTGTCTGACGCTAAGAAGTTCTACATTAGCCTCTGACAAAAGCAAAACAACGTCAATCACACATGTTCGACGCAAACGATACGTTTGCAGTAAGTTTAGAAAGATTGTCCTTTAAGGAACCTATAAGGAATACCAGATTTTTTTTTGGCTTAGATATAAGACTGACACGGCTGGTAGAAAAAAATAAAGCCATGTCAGTCATATATGCGTGTCATAGAAAAGAGTTTTTCTTGGAAATTTGTCAAACTAAATTTTTCTTTGATACATTATTTTTCCTTGATACTTTTTTAACTAAATTATCCAACAAAGTTACCATGACCCATTTCTCTGATATTATCGTGGCGATTAACGTGTTAAACTATTAACGTGACCATATTTTTCAAAGTCAAAACCAGGACGCAACTTCAACCAACCGTTAAAATCGGGACCCCTCGGAGTGGGGGGGGGGTGGTATTATATAAGTGTTGAATATCTTGAATATGATTTTAATACTGATTTAATTTTCCTTTTTTGACTATAATGTTTTATTTCGATCAGCATAACTGACTCTTAATAGGACTTTATTTTCTTATATGCTATATTATATCATTTTTTTTTATAATTGACTTTAGTAAAAATTAGCACGTGTACAAGGTGTTCAAAAAGTTTGTTTTCATCATTTTTGGTAATTTTGGTAAAATTAAAGTACATAATTATTACTGTGAGGGGCTATTTTCATCGACTTTTGGAATTTTAATTTGGCAATTTTCTCCTTCATAACGTATTGTTTCATACAAGCATACTCGTTGTATATAACATTATCAAATATTTAATGGATTGTTGTAATTTTGTTATCTGATAATTCGAAATCCGGGACAATCCTAGACAAAAGAACTAAATCTGAGACAAATATTGCTTTCAAAAAAACCCGGGACACAAGGTGAAAATCCGGGACTGTCCCTGCCAAACCGGAACGTGTGGTCACCTTAGTTAAACTGTTTTTTTTTTAATGATTATGATATTATGAAATCTTTAAAATGAATTAGAAGCTTAGAAAGCTCAGAAAGTTGGTTTCACATAAAAATATAAATTTAATTTTAATTTTAAAAATTACGCTTTATTTTACTTGCATAAATACGTAGAGAAATGTCTAATAATATATTTATTAACTTGACAAGAGCCTGAAATAATATCTATTATTATTGATTACGGCTTGCTTATGAATAAATAAATAAATAAATAAATAACTCGCTTACGACAATTTCTAGACATTCTGTTGTAAATTCCAAAGATAACAGTCAACTTAATTTAATTATAATATGCATCAAACTTTCCCATTATAGAAAATATTATATATGAACGTTTGAAGAGCATTTTAGTGAAAAAGTGATTTTGAGCAAAAACTATTGGTAATACTAGAATACTGAAATTTTCTTAAGATAAAAATAATTTGATAATTTCATATTATTTTTGTTCTTTGTATAAAGTTACGTCAATTTGGCAAACAAACAACTATAATATGAATACTCCCAATAACAACAAGTGAGTGAACATAAGCAATCGTACCTTTTCTGCTCTATTCTTAACCCAGAGATTAATCTATCTGCGACAGTCAGTTGCTCTATTATGACATCCACATCTTCCTGCAGTTGCAGTTTGTGGGCAACTACATCATTGTATCGTTTATCCATTGCATTTATATCAGTTTCTAGATTCTCTATTTCAGCGTTTAGATTGCACAGATTGCTTATGGCGACATTGTGCTCCGAGACCAGACTGTTGATATGTTCCTTTTTTGGTTTCATCTCTTTGGCAACAGCAAAATATGATAACACTGCGCGCACAAAACGCAACAAACAGTATCCTGTTTTACTGCCCATTTGCGTTTCGTCCAGCATTTTAGATATCTAGGAATATAAATTACAAGTAACTGCAAGTTGAAACTTCAAAAAATAATGCGTAGTTCTGAAGGTAGTACAGATAAATGCGCACAGTACGAGGATATCTCGTACATATAAGGATATCTAGCCAAAATGTGTTTAAACTATTTTTTTGTTATTAACGATATATGTGATTTTCAAGTCACAGCGGCCAATAATGGTGGCACTTCTGTGTATCAAAATATTATTAGTTATTTCAGGTTGAACAGCTTAGCAAAGGTCATTAATCTTAATATTGGTCGTCTCTGGTCAACGTTATAAAATAAAGATTTATGCATAATCTCATGCAAAAAGCCATAGTTATTCTGTAAAATATAGAAAAAAATGGAAAGTGACCTGAAGGTTATACGGGCCCATAGAGGGTTAAATTGGTCTAGTCCGTTTTCAATATTATCATATGAGTATAAGTAATTTATGTAATGTTATGAGTATAATTAACATAAAAACAATAACAATGAAGTGATGCTCACATACATCTTTATGAATGAAATAACATTTTTGAAATGACGTATTTAAAAGATGATAAATGAATCTCTAAAATTTCACGTTAGTTAAACTTAAAAATTAATCTTTTACTACCATTATTGCTAAATTTTCATAAAAAGTCAACGATTTATGTCCTTAGTAATTTTTCACATATACTTTATAATCCAAACCTTCAAATGCGCCTTGATCATTCCAACTTGTTTTTGAGAAACATCATCACAATTTAATTTTTGTAAGGACACTAAAAAATTTGGATCATTCATCATTGTCCTTACGGATTTCCAAGATACTTCCTTCAGACCTTTTAAAATGACAACACATTCGCACACGCATTGCACTATGTCCGGTGGCGTTGTCATTGAACTAAAATTAACATTACATTAGTATTATAATAAATATTTTATAATATAAAAATATCACACACAATCAAGTTTTGAAGTCATAAACTTGGAAAATTACACTGCGCGACAAAAAAGAAACTTTTCTTTTCTTGAACTTTTTTAATATACCTAGAATTGCACGCTGATTTAAAATATACCTTCCATTTTTTCGTTTTTGAGTTTTAGGGGACTACCCCAATTAGTCATTTTGGCTATGATTATTGCAGTTTAACGAATAAATAAGAGTTTTATCTGCTATTTTCGGTATGGTATTGACTCTTAGACGTTGTGTGTATAATTCAGATAGTTTTTGTTACATCTGTGATTAATATGTTTCTGACAAATACCGGAAACCTACGTCGAACTGTGTGAAGACATCGTATTTCAACCACTTTAAGACTAAATTAAACAAACTACTTAAAAAGAAATGATAATACATCACGACGATTGTTTCTTCTGTATGGTAAATACCCCTACACCCCATATCCATGATAATAATGAACAACCTAGAACATAAACATCTTCTGTCTACTAAATAATGGATGCAGAAACCAACGTTAAGAGAAAAGATCGGAAGAATTAAAAACTGATATATTTGATGTAATTGGTTTGAATTTATCACCCGTACTCTTATTCAGAACGGTTTTTGGAAAATTTTGGGATCATCAGGACGTTGGAGGAGCAATATCAAGGAAGATGGGACATCCACACGATGGCTGACAATTGTTGGAGCTTGTGACGAAATCGGTCAGGCCTTGCCCATGCTCGAAAATCATATATAAAGACTTTTGAAGGCATAAAATGAATTATGTTGTATTTTTTATTGTAATTTTAGGCAAAACTAGCATGATGGCATATCTCAAAAACTAGAGCTGTTAGCAAATTTCTGTTACTGTTTTCGGAATCAGCGTCCTCGAATTACTGAGAAACCATCATAACATCTCAGGAACAATTTTAGTGTCGCGCAGTTGTTATCAATTCTCAATTCAATTATAAAAACATTATATAAAATATAAATATATTTAATATTTTCTTCACGAATACTAGAGATGAATATTATAGTTTTAGTAATATTGAACTATTACCTTATTTTAGAGATGTCTTCAATATCCAAATTTCCTAGAGCATCTTTTGCTAAATTTAGTGTTTGCAAAGCTTTAGAAAGAGCTGAACCTGCTTCCGCTTTTTCTACACCAATAAGTTTAGCTTGATTTGCTATCTCCAGACTTTTTGCCGTAGCCAAACGTTTTTTATCTGCAGCTTTCAGTTTTTCTGCAAAAAAAAATTAGTTTTCATATAATATAGTTTCTACATTATATTATATTCCATATTATATTCCATATAATATAGTTTCTACAACATATTAGTAAGTAATTTTGCAAATAAATTAAACCTTGTATTGAAAGTGAAATTTGTATATAAGTGCTGGCGTGCAATCGAAATAAATGAAAGACAAGAAACAAAATTACATTGACCTAAAATCTGTCCGTTAAACTCCAAAATAATAAGTAAGATATTAAAATGCTTTTTTTAAAATAATAATATAAAGCTTGCAAATATGCCCTTTTTTGAAGTGCGTAATAGTTACCCGCGGATAACTCTGCTAGTAATGTTTGAGAAATTTCTGTTTGCTTGTTCACAACAATACTTTGTTTTTCTAATTTTTCGTTTAGATTTTTTAGTTCTAAAGCTGCCAATTCAATTCTGTTAATGCCTCCAGCTAATCTAACGCACTTATGACAATATAATATTCATTATTATAATACTATTATTATTATATGAAATTATTATTAGAATCCGTACAATTATTATCGCAATAATCTGCATATATTTTATAAATAAGATTATACCTGTTCAGCAGTAAAATTATGTCTATCTTCCAGTAACAACAAATAAGATTGTATATAATCTAAGTAGTGCTTGAGTGTTACATAATTCCTTCTGTTAAATTTTGTAAAATATTCTTGAATAAATCTTTCCATACCGAAGTGTGCTTCAGCCACATGTTGGACCACTTCGCTTCTGTGTTCTTTTGGTATGATTAGATTCTTAATAAAAAATCATAATAAAAATTATTTAGAAATTACGTAGTATGTTTATATATTATCGTATAATATTATAATTTACTGCTGAAATTTATAAGCATATTATTATCTTGAATTCATTATAATGTAACTTACATTAGCGAAGAAAACATTTGCTACTGCAACCAAGGCTTCTTTAGGCCACATGAAGATCCAATCAATTACTGTATTATTAATAATTCCAGGAAAATCTTTGCAATATTTCCTTAACACGTTGTCTACAGGCGACATTGTTAGAATAACATGCAAATTATCAATACATTTTTTTGTAAAATAGGACCAAACTTCTTCTCTATATAAAAAAAAAAATATTTTTTACAATATGTCCAAATAAATTTTTCAACTACATTGTTGCACAGCAATTTGTTGGAAGAAAATAATTTATATTCGAACTTGTGTTGTATACAACTCGTATTATCAAAAAAATATTATTTTAAATTTGAATAATAATTTAATACGAATGTAATGTAAACATATTACATAGAAATATGAAACGATATGAAACATGCATATTAACTTTTGTGTAATTATGCGATATAAATAAAACAAATCAAAAGCATTTCTACTAATTTTATAATTTGAACAGAGTCTAGTATCTATTTGTTATATAAAATTTTTCATTAATTGTGTAACTATGAAAACTTTGAGTTAGTTCTGTAGATTCGCTAATAAAAATATTTCATGTAATTACGTTTCAGTTGAATATCCTTCCTTTTCAGCCGCAATTTTACATGCATTTAATAGAGTAACTTCGTCTTCTTTAGTAAACAACCCTGGAATCATTTCATTCGAAACTATAAAATTTATATGTTCGAAAAAATCCTCATCGGTAACCTGCAATATTATACTGCTCCTTTATCCGCATTTGACTGACTATTACTATTACTTTATAATACAATTATTAATATATATTTTATAACTAGCTGTAAGTGGAATTCTGTCTTAAGGAAATTAAGGCATCGTGCCTTAAGGCAAATTGCTGGAACTTCCCGTACCAAAAATTATTATTTTTTTAAAAACGATTAACATTTTTGAAAAAAACTTAATTTGAAAAAATAAGATTTTTGAGAAACTATAAATTGGACAAAAAATTACTTTTTTTTGAAAAAAAAAATTAAAAAAAAAATATTTTTTTTTAAATTTTTTTTTTTGAAATTTTTTTTTTTTTTATTTTGACATATTGTGGAAGATCTGAACTTTCTTTTCAAAGCAATCGTACTGCTTTAACTGCATAGGGACAAAATATAAAGCGCGTAAGCGCCGCGTCGCCGTCTAACGGATAAACATTGGTACGGAACCCATAGGAATGTTAACAAAATGTATACTTATTGTTAAAATCTCTATAAAATATCTGATAATTTGATGTGCATATGTCTAATGATCATTTTTGACCGCCAAATGGCTCATTTTTTTACTTTTTCCTCCATACCTCCGAAACCGCTAGACCTACCTTCATGAAAATTTTATCGATTCTTCATCTTGTCAATATAAGTGAAATGTTTTTTGAATTATTTAAATCGGACGCTCCGTTCTCTTAAAAACTGAGTTACCGTTTTCGGCACTTTTTGCCCCGTATCTTCGGAACGGCTAGACCTGCCTTCGCCAAAAACTAATCAGCACGTCTCCTTACCAATACGAATCGAATGTTTTTTGAATTATTCAAATCGGTTGATCCGTGTCCCCGAAATCGTCGACGAAAATTTGTATCCGCACATACATACACACACATACATACACACACACACACACACACACACACATACATCCATTTTTTCTAAGGTATGCCAAAATGTTTAGAAGGTTTTAAAACGTAAAGATATATAAAAATTTTCATTTTTGATTTTTTTGCGATTACTATAACTTGCCCTACGGGAAGTTAATAATTAAATATATTTCATAATTGATAATTATAGTAATAATGGAGTGTCATAGGATTCTTTGGACTCAAAATATGTTTATTTATTTATATTAGCTGATCAAGCAAAATAATGATTCAGAAACATTATATAAAGATGTTTGTAGCTTTCACAGTTTATCAATTGATTAAGAATAATAATTAACAGTGTTTATAAAATAGTATAAACTTTATCACAATTTACTTAAGGTTGTCAAATATCTCCCTTCCGCCTTTTTGTATTATAAACCAAGAGCAAAAAAGCGGAAGGGAGATATTTGACAACCTAATATAATAAAGCGCTAAATAAATTCTTGTATCCAAATTCTCATTGTTATGTATTCCAAATAAAACTCTAAATTACTCACGAAATTATTAAAAATTGGTGACATTTATTTATCAATTAGTAAATTTATTACCTTTCGTCTCTTTAATAGATATCATTAATCAATAAGAAGTAGTTAATGTTCTCTCAAATAGTAATAGAGTAGAGCGGGGCTTAAAGGTCAGCGGATAAAAAAGTCCACCGCCATTGTCGCAACAAGTATCATTTTTTTAACAATACTTTTTTAAAGTAGAAGGAAAAAGATGTATAACAAAACCGGCCATCACCTTAATTCTTATGAAGTCGGTATCAGGAGATAAACTACAATATATCAATGTTCACAACAAAAGTATTTCGTTTCGTTGGTAGTTTTTTTGAATATAATTTTGAAGTATACGGCATTTAATTGCTTTATAAGATGTAATGTTATTGAATTAAAAGAAACAATTTTCTATGAGATAAATTTAATTAATATCCATTCCAACTCTGCTGAAGAATATTTCTATAAATATCGAATAAAGATTATATACGTATAATATTTGTAAACAATGTGCCCATAACATTTTTATATCGCTTTGGTCAATTTTTTAAAATTTAGAATTATCTGGGAATATTACTGAACATACTTTGATTGCTAATTGTTTGATACGCGTTATTTGTTGCGATGTAGTTCATTTGGTAGAGACAGTATAAATACTGAAAATCAAACAGAACTTTTGTGCTCCGCGCTACCCTAAATACATTAAGAACATCAAAAACAATCATCACGTATAATTGTACATATTATGATTGAGTACCGATTTAATAAAATTTCCATGTTCACTTCTCTTTCAATTATAATTCCTATATAAATTGATTAATATTTATTTATTATTAATTATTTTTTTCTTTAAGGGTCTATTAAAATCTAACTGATATAATTCAACGTTTAATCATACATTAGTTAAAACTCAATATACATATAGTTCTACATACCTGGTCAGTTGTAAAGACAAACGCCAACTTTTTATTTTCAACACTTAATTGATAGAAAAGCATCTTAAGGTCTTTTCTAAAAGAAGTTATGTCAAATCCTGTGTCAATAATAATTTCGAATACTTGACAACCAGCGGTGTAAGATGCCAATTTTGCCAAGCTCTGTTTCCCAGTGCCATTGGCTCCTGCAATTAGCACATGCCCACAGTGCATTCTCAAAGTTCTGTGCAGCCGTGTCAAATGCTCCAGGGCATCTTCAAACAGAACCAGGTAAGGGTTCCCGACGAGTTTCATATAATTGTTTAGTATCTGGAAAGATTATGACATACCTTTGAGAAAAAGCTATCTTAATAAGTATAGTTCCGTTATTCATTAGCAATAGTAAATTCTAAATTCACGCTGGAAACTGTCTAAAATCTTTATTATCTGTGCAATATAGCTAACGCGTCATTATGATATATCGCCAAGTACAACTTTGTCAACCATTGCCAAATTAAATTTGAGATCAATATGATGTTAATGACTTTTTATAATAAGTATAGTACTAATAATCCGTAATCAAAACAAATAATGCAAATAAAATAAGTAAAATTATATATTGCAATTTATTGAAATGCTGTGCATCGAGATAGACATGGTTTTTAAAATCTAATACTGTATTGGAATATGTTAAACCATCGTAACGTTAGAATACAAAAATAGGTCTTGAAAATTAAATTTTATTATTGATTTCTAAACACCACTTAAATTATCATAAATAGTATAAAATGAACTTACTTCTTGGAATAAATAATAGACAGATGTGTAATCAAGGAGATCCTCATAGTACCTTTCCTCACCATCATTTAATGCATTTCGATAATCACCAAATAATATGGGGTCGCGCAAAACATATTCAGGCGTTGACATTTCCGATCTTTGTGGTTCTAAATAAATAAACACATGTTTATATATATATATATATATATATATATATATATATATACCAGCTGGCCCGATAAACGTGGCGAAAATAAATATTTCTAGGAAATATTTTACCGGTTTTACCGCTGGAGCGAATTAAGCTTTTGCATATGCTTAGAAAAATGTTTATAAAAATTCAGTGAAAAATGTACACAAAAAGCCGATAATTAATCTGTTATCGAAATTGATAAAAAAATTAAAAACTTCTAAAATGACTATTATAAAATAGGAATTTGTGGTAGAAGAGTGAAAAATCACAGCCGAGTATAGTTTATTATATATTTATATATATATATATATATATATATATATATATATATATATATATGTGTGTATCTGTAAATGTATGATACAAACAATTTATTTCATAAATGTAAGATAACTACCATCTGCGATTGTCGACAAGCAATTTTCTTGTATTTGTTCAGAAAAGTGTGTTTTCACTACAGATTCAATTGCATGCTGCATCACATTCCAATCCTAAAAACAAATAGAGTTGTAATTAAATATAATTTGAGTTGTTAAGTTAAATTTGAATATCAATAAAAGTGAAAATTAAAGAAAGGTTAGAGTATGAGAAGATATATTTAGAAGAAAAAACATAAAAAAATGTTGTAGGTAAAAAATGCTCTAAGTAAACGAGGTCCATAAATGAAAAAAATAAAAAATAATAATGCAATATATTATGTAATATATAAATCTTCAATAAAAATATAATTCTCACCTCTTTGTAGCTAAGTCTATCGCAAACAGTACGCAAAAATTCATTACGCCAAACACGAACAAACTCCCGTAGCGTTAAGAATTTGCTGGGCTTTGTCATCAAGAGTCCTGCCACAATTTTCGATAAATCTCTTATATTGAAGGTGTAGTGAAATTTATTTGGCGTTGGTCGCAATTGAACTATAATTTTCTGTAAGAAAGTAATCCAAGATCAAATTTAATTTCAGTAATGAATTTTAGAGAGTATTCTAGTGAAATTTTTTTAAAAAATTGTTTTTTTTTTCTTTTTTTCATATTTTCGAAGCTCAACTATTCAAGAATATGTGTACGAGAGAATTTTTTAAAATTCAAATTTTTTTCGGAGATACAGCTATTTGACGATGATAACCCTCTTGTTCCTTTCCTTTTGCGAAACTTTAAACACGTTTTACTCAAACCTGTCTTCATTTTTTGTAATCTTTTTCAACGCCATGTCCACAATTTGTCGAGTTCTACTGAAACGATTTACTTGAAATTTTCAGAGAATCTTCTTTATAGACTTTTCTCTAGCTTCATCTTAAAATTTTGAATGTTTCTGTTTTTACAAAATTCGAGAAACTCAAAAAAGTGGTAAGAAAATGTTTTTCTTTTTCAAACAGATTTGCTCTTATTTTTTGTTGTGCAATGAAGGGTAATCATTAAATCTTATGATCTAATATCCTGTGGCATTTCCATTCATATCAAATTAAATATTTTTACAATACTAATTACAATTATTAATTGTAATTATAGAGCAATTGTGTTTATTGCTATTTTCATAATTAATGGTGATGCCAGATTTTGCTTTGCTTTGCTAACTAAGCATAACTTAGTTTAGACCCCATGAGCAAAATAAAAAATAGTAAATAAGTCTCTCAGTTTATGTTTAATGTCACATAATTATCAAAATGTAATTATTTTTGATTTTAATAAATGATATTATTAATATAACTATATTTATAACCAAAGTATACTTACTTCGTATAAATCAAGAGTTGCCGAGACGATTAGTCCACCGATTGACTTAATTTCTTCGGAAAACATCTCAACATGTCCACAAATAATAGAAGAATAAATATGGTAGAGTACTTTTGAATCCGGAAGACTTATGTTATAAACCGCAAATTTTGAAATAAAACGATTGTCAACTTTATTCGTGCAGCCAGATCGAATTTCAGTAGCAGCTAAGAAATCTAGAGAATTATAGTAATATTAATAATAATATACAGTTATTAATAATTTAATAACTTAAATTAATATTAATTTAATAATTAATAATAATTTACATTTGATGTGTGTACAAAAACTTATTTTTTAACCCAATTTTGTTAAATATAACATCATCCTATAAATATTTGGTATCCGTGAAAATAACAATTAAAGATAGCCAATTATATTCGTTTAGTTAATTACACGTTATAGCTAATCGATTTTTTATCAAATAAACTACTGAATAAAATACTAATATAAAAGAATAAACATGTCAATAATAACTTACATATATCCTTGAGACATTTCCAATTAAATTGTTTATTCCGTACAAAATATCCATTTTTTTCAAAAATGAACTTCAAAAGTGCCAGTGGTTGCTGAGTTCCATACATATCTACTCGGGGCATGCTCAAGTTGTCGATAAATATTACAAGTTTTTTTCCTAACGGTGGCCCATAAACATTATTATTTCTCTTTGAAATTAATGAATCTATATGCCTTTGTACGTCAAGTGCAGAGGTTTTTAACGAGAAGAATATCTTTGACCAATTCTAAAATTAAAATTATAAGATTATTGATCAAATATTGCGAATATAATTTATGGATTTTTACATAAATATCAGGATTTAAGTTTTTTAAGAAGTTTAATATAATTGTTGATTTACAAGCTCCAGTCTTGCCTATCAGTAAACTAGGTCTTCTAACCTGAAAACATGAAAATAATTATAAAACAGGTTATTAATATAAGTATTACACATAAATCGAAAAAACAAAACTCGAAATTTGCAATATTATTACCGATTTCATAAGATTGAGAAACCAATTCGTTTTTAATGTATCTACAGTTTCAACAAAAAGACCATTAGAACTGCAAGTCGAATCATAAATATACTTTGGTACTAAGCTTTCCCAACTGTTCCAAACCTTGTTTTGTACATCGATAAAATAATCAAATAATAACGGATAAAAAGTAGGTATCATATCTGCAAGAAATCAACTCATAATTATGTTAACGGTAGTTAAATGTTTTTGTTTTAATTTCTTACCAAGCGACACATTTTCAACAGTGGTTTCGTTTGAAAATGGCATTTCAGATAATTTTTTAGCGCATGTGTCAAAATATATTTTGTCCGGCGGCTCCAATGTTGCTCCAAGAGAAAAGTACAATGCCTAAAAATATACGAAAATTTTTAATATATATGTATATACCAAAGAAACCTGCACTATAGTTTGCAGCAGCAAAGTCTCTTATTGGTTTCAAGAAACACGGCGCCATAAAACAAAAAACAAAAATAGAATACAATAGAAATTAGGTTATTCACCATAAAAAATGTTGCGTTAATCAATTTTTCGTTCACATTGTGGTATTCTTCCTTTACATTTTGTAGTAATGAGTCAATCATAAAACATAACTGCACTATCTGAAATTTGAAATAAACATTATCAAATAAAAATAAAATTGGTATCCATTTCGCTCATTTATTAGTAAACAATTATGCGAAAATTTTAAAATAAATTTAACATGAAACTAGTTTTGCTATACTTGGTATTACTTTAGTGTAAAAAAATATACATGTACCATATTCAATTCAGTTTGTTTAACAACAGAATGGAGAGGTCTCATTTTTTGAGTGTCCATAGATCCTGAACTTATCAATTTTAGTAAAGAAGGAACGAATTTATCATATAAAGATATGAATAAGATTCGCTCGTTTTTGTTTGTATTTTTATCTAGCCAACGCATCCAATAAGGCTTGCATCCCAAATGTTCTGGATCCAAATAAATTATTCCGCATCTCGATACTGTTGCCGGGGAAGCGAATTCTAAACTGCCAACCTGTAAAATATTGTAATCATTTGCAGATAATTTATTTGTTCAAAGCAAAGTCATAACTATCAAAATACAATATAATTTTTAATAAGCACTTCAAAAATTAAATTCAAATTTTACAGCGATTTTGTATACATACCTCAAATATAAGAGCACTAGAATCTGCTAATTGTATTCGTTCTCCATTTGCCAACGTTAATATTTTGTTGTTATCCATAATAGAATTTATATTTTCAATCCAAAATGCATCGATATCTCCATCAAATAGTACATAGCGTTTTTCTGGATATTCTGATGGTTGGTTGATTTCTCGAAATATAGTAGAAAATAATCCATCAATCCAGTCGTCATTGATGGGATCGAACATTCCATATAATTCATTGATAGAATATGCCTGCAATATAAAAATTCTTAATGCACATTTCAGATAATGATATCAAATGATGAATAAAAATGTTTGAAAATCTTATTATTAAATAAAATGTTTTATATTTGTTTCTGCAATGTTTACATTCTTTTAGAGTCAATATCTGTGTACCTATAATAATTAATTTTGTTATTAAATTATTATGAAGTAAAAATTCATTAAATATTTGTTAAAGTGGTAATGAAAATTGAGAATGAAGAGAGACATACTTTTGGATTTATGGTTATAAGTTTAGTTGGCATGCCCTGGTAGATTTGCGCCTTCACAAAAGTTTGTATAACAACGCTTTTTCCACCACCTGTTGATCCCACAACCATTGCTGAATGTTTAGCCATCATGGCACGTTTCAACTGCTGTACTTTATTAACCTTTATTATAGATAGGTAAAAATAAATATAATGAGTATGTACAATGACCAAATTTAATAATGTAAATACTTGGATGTCTAGCAAAATCAAGTTATCTTCCTTCAATATTTTAGTAATAACATCAACAAATTCTTGATCAATTACTGGTGAACAGTCCAATCCAGGAAATAAACTTTTTATTAAGCTCTTGAATATTAGAATGTCATCATCGACCAGTTTTGAAAAATTTGCTTCGCTGGAATTATAAAACTTTGATATATTATAATATACTAATTGATATTGATATATTGGATGGTTTGTAAACATGGTGCACAGTGTTCGACTATCATTATTTATTTATTATTCTGTCGAATTTAAATAACTGTTTATTAACTTCCCGTAGGGTAAGTTATTGTAATCGTCCAAAAATCAAAATTGAAACTTTGTGCATGTCTTCACGTTTTGAAGGTTTCTAAACATTTTGGCATACTTCAGAAAAAATGGATGGGTGTGTATGTGTGTGTGTGTTTATGTAAGTATGAATACAATTTTTTGCTCACGTTCTTGGGTGCACGGATCAACCGATTTGAATGGTTCAAAAAACATTCGATACCTATTGACAGGGAGATGTGCTGATTAGTTTTTGTCAAAGGCAGGTCCAGTCATTTTGGAGATACGGGGCAAAGAGTGCAGAAAATAGAAATCGATTTTTTGAGATAAATAAGCATCCGATTTGAATGATCGAAAAAACATTCAATTCGTAATGACTGGGAAAAGTGGTGATTAGTTTTTGGCAAAAGCAGGTCAGGCAGCAAAAAATGGCAGTTTTTGAGTGAACTAAGCATCCGATTTGAATAATTCAAAATACTTTCTGCTTGTGTTGACGAAACGATTGCTTTTGAAAAAAAAATGATATTTTTTCCCAAAAAAATTTTTTTTTAATATCGAAAATAATTTGAATCTAACTATAGATATCTATATATATAAAATTATCTAACTATAATATAGTTAGATATATATATAGATATATAGATATCTATCTATATATATAGATATCTATCTATATATATATATATAAAATTATCTAACTATAATTTTAATTCTAACTATAGTTAGTTAATATCAAAAATAATTTGAATTTTAATTTTAATTTTAGCTATAGTTCTGAAGCTCACATATATACTTCAAATAAATAATTTTAACTTTGCAAATCAATTTATATAATTCTTATAAATATTAGACAATGCCGTTCATTTTAAATTCGGCTGATTTAATTTTGTTTATTTACCTTTCTGTATACATATATAAGTTACAGTATTTATAATAATCTATTTGAAAACATTTAATATTCCTCGAATATTTCGTTACGGTACGGTAAGTTCCAGCAATTTGACTTAAGGCGCGATGCCATACACCACTAGTTAGTTAAAAATATGTTACTTCCATAAATAATTTTAATGGACACACAAGTGTTTGTTGTCAAATTCTACATTATATTTGTAATTTCTGAGCCAGATGTTTCGCATCAACAAATTATTATTCACTAGCTATTGTGGCGATTGAAACAAACATTATACAACTGGCTACTTTTAAAAATACAAAAATCAATTACAATCCTCTTACGATAATATAGGAAAATAATACATGACGTGTCTTTCTAAGATTTGAGTAGTCTGTGTCTGTGCTTGATCAATAAATAGAATTAATAACATTTTTATTACCATAATGCTCTCATGATGACCACATTTTCAGGTGTATCAGGATACATTTTCTTCAACAAGCATGCCATGCGCAGAGCGGAAGACATACTGCAAAGACCCCAGTCATAGTGATGTGCCTTACTTAATTGTCTGGATGCCATATCGTAAAGCGCTGTCATTTTTGTTGCCAAAGCCTATAATTATAACATTTTTTGTAAAATTTTATTTATATTAGGGGAGGTATGGACAAATTGACATGGTGTTTTGTTTTTTAATAATGTTTATTTATTTCATAATATGATAACCAGTCTCAATCGTTTTTACTCATCTTTGGTGCATTGTAAAAACTATAATAACATATTTATTGAGAAAAAAGCAACCTATTACAAAAATCATTTTGTCAATATAATGGGACCAAAATGAAATATAGGATAAGGACATACTAAAATGATAATTTTTAAGAAAGCAGGTTACAAATAAATCGTTTCGTCCCTTTTGGGAGATTAGCACATAAACACAAGAACCTTAATCCGTAAAGAATTAATCTTACATCGTAACCAACCTTGGGTAAAAAGTCTTTTCTTTTTACCGTTGGATGTTTTAGTCTGTTTTTAGCAATTATTTCTTGCATACTTAGAGTAGAAGTTAAAAGTCAATCACCTTTGACAGGTTTTTTTGTCCGGTAATACTTGCGAAATAGTTCTACATTATTTTGTCCAGTGTATAAGCATGGTATTTTGTACGGAATTAAATAAAAATAAGTAATTATTCAAAATTTCACCAAACACCTGATTATTGCAATAAAGTAATCAAAATCACTACCATAAGTTAATTGACTTTAATTGAGATAATTGCGAACATGAATAAATAAGTCCCACAAAAACATGAGAAAAACACATTTAAAACAAACTTTTCAAGGTGTAAACACGTTTGAACTAATTATTGCGACAAGACTGTGACAATGCGCTCAACATCTGAGTTATTATGGCTTAAACATTAATAAAACTAGCCAATTTTTAATTAGGGCCACTGTGTCATTTTATCCATATATACCATTTTGTCCGTATTTCCCTGAGCAAAAAATTCTAGTTCTTCAATTTATTTAAATTTTTATTTAAAAATTAAATAATTAAATAGTAAATTCCAAAATATAATGACATAACATAGATTAAATTTTTGATTATTGAAAATGAATAAATAGTTAAAACTTATCGTGTTCAAAATTATTAATATATTAGTTTGTAAGTTTGTAATATTGTTAGAACAATATTATTAATCATATTTATTCTTACATAGGAGCAGAAAAATAGGGAAAGTAAGTACAAAATGGAATGGTGTTTCGCAATAAATGCAAGATAAATAATTGAAGTAAAGGTTTTCGCAATAAATGCAAGATTTTTTGGTATCTTCATTCACATTTCACAAGATTCAATTTGTTTTTTGGCCTCTAATGAACTAAAAATAGTACTATGACATTTTGTCCCAAAGTGAATAAAATTGAATAAACAATCAAAATTACATCAAACACCTGATTATTTCAATAAAATTGATCCTGATTTTAATAAAAATAACAATAAATACGTCTCCCAAAAACATGAGAAAACCGCTTCTAGAAAAAAACTTTTGAAGGCGCGACATAGGTTTAAACTGATTACTGCCAAAATACTGTGACAATGACGATCAACATCTGACAGAATTGTGATTATAGTTTTCTTTATATTATAAACGTTACTAAAACTAGCCAATTTTAAATAAGGGCACTGTGTCATTGACAATAATTTGTTTAAATAAATTAAACAAATAATTGAGTAAATAAATAAATAACTATATACATTTTTATGGTTAATAAAATTGATTTATATGCATGCATGTATTTTATACCTTGGCTTGAATAAATCCATCGGACATTAAATATATTTCACATATCATATTTACATCCGGGGTAATACACATTACTGGACGAAAATGAATCTTGATAGATTCGGGTAATTCCTTTCGACTAGCGTATCCAGGATTCAGTGTGATAAATATTCCAATTTTATTGTCAAAATTTATCTCTTTTTCGTTCAGCTAAAGTTATAAATTCATAGATAGAAGAATTTGTTAATGGTGTTCCAAGAAGAAGTGTAAAATTTATATATAACAAGTAATAAAATATATCAGTATCATGTGTACATCGTACTAACCATAATTTTTGTGGATTTCTTTATCAACGCGTTACGTATAATTTGCAATTTCATTGAAATAACCGACAACATAGATAATTCTATTCTATCAAATCCATCAAGGCAGCCCCAAGCACCACATTGCGAGATTCCGCACAATATTTGCGATATTGCGAAAAAATTGGTGCTTTCACTACAATTTAGAATAACACATAAATTCGCAAATTTTCTTGCTAAATCTTTCACTATTTCCGTTTTTCCTGTGCCAGCTGGGCCTGAGTAATATCAAAAACTTATTAACCATATATATATGTATATATATATGCATATATATATACATATACATATATATATACAGATATATATATACATATATACATATATATATATACATATATATATATATATATATACAATATATATATATACAATATACAATATATATACAATAACATATATACAATTTATATATATATATATATGTATATATATATAATATATATATATATATATATATATATATATTTTGATGAGTTATTTAGAATCGGGCAGTAACACCAAGTAAAGAAAAAAAACTAAAGTAGTTTTTAAATACTTTATTTATCCATACGTTTCGGTCTTCATCGAGACCGTCATTCAGTGGAAAACTAAAAGATTTTATATGATGTAGGAGGCAATAATATAAAGTTATAACTTATATATAAGTACTTACAGAATTAATTATACAAAAATACACTACACTATTACACTGTGATAACCAGGCTATTAATAATTGGAACATTTAAACTAATTAATTTTTTAGACAATTTTTGCTTACATTCTAGTGTGTACAATTTGACTAACGTCTAAAAACTGAATGAATTGTGTTTACAATTTTTTTGAGAAGTGTAAAAAAGACCGGCAGACATATGTTTTTTGTAAAATAATAAAATAATAAAAATACACGCTTCATTCAGATGTGGTGGTGTTTTTGAAAATAGTCGAGAGTTATTTTATAGTCATTGCAAAGCGAATTGTTGTCAGTTCTTAAATTTATGGCTGTATCCTTGTGTAAAGATATTAAGCAACCTTCGCTAAATCGTCTTTTAAATAAATTATTTTCGAAGTGTAGGATCGTGGGATTAGAAAAATCAATGCTATGTTTGAGTTCATTGATATGATCTGTTAATTGTGTTTTATACTGATTTTTATTTTTTGAATTGTTTTTGTGTTGAGATGTTCTTTTGTGCAGATTCTGACTAGTTTTACCTATGTAAACGCAATTACAATCTAGACAATTAAGCTTATAAACTAGATTACTTAAGATTCTTGGGTTAAATTTTGATTTTAATTTTGTAAAAAGAGTTGAAAAAGTATTTTCGGAAGTACAAACTACTCTAATATTATTTTTATTGAAAAGTTTTCTCCACGGGTAATATAATTCTTTGATGAAGGGTAAACTTATAGTTCCGACGTAGTTTTCAAGGTTTGGGTTATTAATTAAATTATTGTGACGGTTTTGGAGATATAAGATTCTATTTTTTGTTATGGATTGGATGAGGTGTTGTGGGTAGGAGTTTTTGGTTAGGATTTGTGAAATGAGAGAGAGATTCTTTCTTAAAAATTTACTGTGTGATAATAATAATGCGTGGTCAATTAAGTTTATGATTGTGCCTATTTTGATAGAGAGGGGGTGGTAAGAGTGGTAATTAAGATAACGGCCTGAGTATGTTGGTTTGTGATACCAATCAGTTATTATATTATTATTTTCGCGAAAGAGTTGTACATCTAAGAAACTGATAGATTTATTATTTTCTAATTCATAAGTGAATTGTAGATGTTGGTTGTGGGCATTAAAAGAATTTACCAGAGTTGTTGTGTCACTGTTTGGGATGCATGTTATGATGTCATCAACATATCGATAGTAAAAAATTTGTTTATTGTAGGAATTTAAAATTGTGTATTCTATGTGTTGAAGGGCTATTTCAGCTAAAGATGGGGAGGCTGGAGATCCCATTGGTGTACCAAATGTTTGGAAGTAGAATTTACTATCGAACTCAAAATATGTGTTAGAAATTAAAAATTTAATTGTTTCTCGAAACCAGTGTAGGGAAATTGTGGTGTGGAAGGATATGTCGTGCCATTTTTTAGTTATGGCTTCAAGGATAAGGTCTAATGGAACGTTTGTAAACAATGATACTACGTCTAAACTAATTAAAACATTATCATTTGGAACTGTAATTTGTTTAAGTTTTTCGACAAACTCGAAAGAATTTTTTATGTGAAATGGGGATTGTTTAGTGACAGGAGTTATGGATATAAAATATATATATATATATATATCTATATATATATATAAATTGTATATATGTTAATTATTATAAAAGCGTATCGTTTTATTTTTATAGAAGACTAAGAGGCTACTGTTAATTCAGTTTATTGGGCTGAAAAAAATGTTTTTGATATTTACCAGATATGGCACATCCTAATTTTAGTGTAAGAGCTTGAGTCATCGTTAGTATTATTCTTTCTGTCAATGGTGTGATAATAAGTCTATCACATAATCCCATATATTCGTATCCATATTCAAAGCTACCTACGATATCCGCAATACAAATATTAGGACATTATGTACTTACAAATTTTGACACGAAATAAGTAATTGTATGCCAAAAAAGTAAATCTAAATTTTTATTGCTTTATTCAAAATATGTTGATTTAAAATATTCTAATTAAATATTCTGTTAAACATATATATATATATTTACCTGTGCATTGTTTTGCTAATAAATTATCGATATCCCTTTTCCAATAAAACTTAAGTTGACTTTCCCATTCAAATTGCTGAGCACTTGAAATGTTGTCTCTAATGAATTGTTCTACAACATCACGTGCATGTATGTCATTAATAAGAATTGTCCTCAACTTCTTTTGATCATTTGATGTAAGATTTGTGCGAATTTTGGTTACAATTTCATCAACTTGCGTATTCTGATTTATTAAATATAGTTTCATAGCTTTTTCTTCAGATTTATATATTTTCTTAAATACGTTTTCTACTTCCGCTGTCCACCAAATTTGGATTGAAGCTAAACAGATCATACCTGGAAAATCCATTATCCAGTCCATTCTACCAAAAGAGAAAAGATATGTCTATGAAATAATAGAAGAGTAGTAAAATAATAATATAGGTTTTAGGCTTATTACAAATGAAACATGTGCCATATCATAGTGTAAGTGTCGATTTGTGTTTCTGGCAGTCTTTTTGTGATAGATAATTAGTATAAAAATAATATAAAAATATTACATTAGGGGAAAGTCCCCGAGTGGCGGACATCTAAAGTTATTTATAAATAAATCAAAAAATATTTTACGAAATGTTTATTAAATTATGACCTATGTTAGATAACAAAGTTAGAAATCAAACTAAATTAACAAAAACGCATCCTTTACTAAAAAATAATTAATACTATCAATCAAACTTTTGTAACAAAAAATATGATTTCACAAAGTAACACCTAGTACCGGACATTTCAAAATAACCAGCATCGAACATATATGTAGCCATCTCTACACTCTGGAATGTTTGCACATTTGTGTTTGACGAATATTCTTAGATATTGCAAAAAAATCACTAATTATCCACCCATTTATCTGGGCTACACCGATGCTCTCAACTGGAGCATTCATCGTAAGATTTTCATTCTTTGACTAGGAAATACGAAAAAGGGAGGTATGTAGTGACCGTTAACAAAATTAAATAATTAGAATAGATTATGTCAATTCTCACAAGAAATATCAATATGTTTACTGTCCGGCTCAGAGAAACAGACATTTTTAATGTCTGAGCAAATAATACACACCTGGATTTGTGTTCGGTACCATATACGTAAATAGCTTTTTTCGTCGTATATCTATTCGTAATCTGCATTTCCTTCACAACGGAATTCATCCAGTCACAAACACTGCCTTCAATTTTCACTTTATGACAGAAATGTAGCATCTCACCTTCACCAGATACCATAGCAGTAATATTTAATTCATTATTGTCAGTTAATTCCATATTTAAAGCTCTAACATTATGGAACATCTATAAATAACAGTTTTTTTTTTTTAAATCCTTCATGATAACTTAAGGGGCAAAGTAAACGTTTGAGATGTTTATCGATGCTGTCATTAGCGTTTAGAATGATCCTATTCTAACAAATGTACGCTTTGGTACCGAAGTGTCTGACCAGAAAGGTTCCCAAATAAATACTAAGAATCATTATATTATAAATATTGTAGTAGTTGAATAAATTTTTTAAAATAATCTGACAAAATCTAATACATGAACCAAATAGTTACATTCAAACCATTAAAAAATGCGTACTTCTTAATTTGCTTGCCAAATTACAGCTTACCTTCTTAATATGCCTTTGAATTTGAGCAGGATTATTGCTACATAATATAGATAACAGTTCATTCGTAGAAATAAAATAAAATCTAGAAAACATATTTCTTTTACTTTCCAAATGTTGATTTAAAGATTTTTGGCACTTATCTAAACTGAATTCTAGATATTGCAGTTTAATATGTATATTTGGCGTTGACGTCGTGTAGCTAATGGATGGATTTTGAAAAGCTTCATCCATTATCTAAAAAAAATACTTAGACTGAAAAAGGCAGATATAATGTATTTGCTTAATATTTATGTAAAACGTACATTCATGAATGCTTTATTTATAGCATTAAATACGCGTGTTTCTTCGGGCATTTCCGAACCAAATTGCTCATCAATAAATATTTGTTCTAAAAATACCCATTTCTTTTGCGTCGATATCCATTTATCTATTATCTTACAAGATAATAAGACACTATTTTCTATTTCTTGTATTGTCGAAATGAATGGTCCAATAAACCTGTAAGAAACAACTTGGTTGATAAGAAAGTAAATTCAGATTTTACGCGTATTTTATATATGTAGCATTATTTAAAGTAAATTTAAACTATATATTTTATATAGTGAGCATGACTTCAATTAACTCAGCATTCTGTATGTATTTGTGAAGCATATTGATTACAAGTATTGCCTCAAAAAATACTATATTTTTCTGAATACTTAGCCAATCATACAACACATACTGTGATGTTGCCATTATCTGAAGGGTCATTAAAATTCCATCAAATGTTTGCATCACGTCATCTGCACAATCAAGAATAAAACCGCGAAAATCATCTTCATTAGGATGTTTCTTGAATGTTAAATTTATAGATCTCCAAGTATTTTGTATCTCATTAACGCTTTCCTCTATTTCCAATTCTTTAACGGCGCTATTTATAATTGTCTTAACTTCATTTTCATGTTGATGCAATTCAATTTGAATCATATCATGTAATGTAAAATTTTCAGAAGACGTATCCAATTTTCTATCGATTTTTTCCATTAATAGTTCCCAATGACGAGTTCTCATTGCCTTGTTTTTCAATAAAGCCATCAGTGATATAATATTTTCAAACTGTTGAATGTGTAAATACACTGATTGCCCAACTGGATGTGATTGAAACTGCGGAGATAGCCTTTTATATTCTTGTACTTGCTTTTGTATTCCATCCATCTAAAGAGTAAAATACATATTAAATTTTCACTTTAATACATGTTTGATTGATATATGTTGAAAAACTTCATATGTGTTAAAAAAACTTTCTATGGTGTATTTGTGAGCCTTTGACAATCTGTAGGCATTTAAAGAAAATGAGATTTCTCTAATTGCTTTTAGGAATTCAAAAAAACTGATGAAAAAAAACTGATCTTAAACTAAAACTGATACTGGTTATTTAATTTGACGTTTCGACTAATAGTTTATATTTTATTAATAATATTTGGATAATGTGGTCTTAAGACATATTTCCATATATTCATATTCCATAGATAAAAAACCTGCTGGACTAACCATATTACTATTTGTAAAATACTAGTAACTATATTATCGAACATATTCAATATTTTTCTTATCAATCTATTTGTTAAATTTAATTTTCATAAACTTTATTTACAGTATTTAATTCACTTTTAACAGCATATTAAAATCAAATTTTACCAAAAACTTTGGATTAAAATTACTCCAAAGTGTTTTTCCCCAGCAAATCCGTTGCTCTTGTTGATCTTTGAATAGATTGTAAAGTATTCTTATTCCTTGATATTCTTGATATATTTCCACGAAAGCAGACAAATCATCAATTTTTATGTCCAGAAAGGATTCAGTGCTTATAAAATTAATTCGTTCCTCTTCTAGTTCAGCAAATTTTGTAGCATAAGACTAAAAAATATAAACATTAAAATATTAATTTTATTTTATAAAAGCATATTAATAATTTATATTATGAAGTATATTATATATTTAAAAACTGATGTTTTCATGTTTGAAGTAATTGTGAAGCAGGACGTTTAGGTGGTGTAGTGGACAAGGGCAATGTTGTGGTCCGAAACGTAGTAGTGATACCCATTTTTACATAAAAATGTATTTAAAACCTAATTGAAATTAAAGTCATTTACTTCCCGTAGGGTAAGTTAGAATAATCGCAAAATATCTTTAAAATACTTTTTTTATATAATGAATGTATGTATATGTATGTGCATGTATGTGCGGATACAATTTTTCGTCGACAATTTCGTCGAAAAACATTCGAAACCATTTAGTAAGGAGACGTGCTGATTAGTTTTTGGCCAAGGTCTAGCCGTTCCAAAGATATGCCAAATAAAATTTAGTTATAGCAATACTGGTAATTGGATGTACCAAAACTGGTTGGACATGTCAAAAATAGTAACTCCGTTCTTGAAAGAACGGAGCGTCCGATTTCAACAATTCAAAAAACATTAAACTTGTATTAACAAAGAACTGATTAAGTTTTTGGAAAGGCAGATGTAGTGGTTTTGAGATCATATGAAAAAAGTTAAAAACTGTTTTTTCAAAGTTTTCAAAAAAGTTTAAAGCTTTTCAAAATTTTAAATTACGGTACGATAAGTTCTAGCAATTTGCTTTAAGGCACGAGATGCCATGCACCACTAGTTGGAATCTGTTGAGAATTGTCTGAAGTATATAATCAGAATCTCTCTTTAAATATTTACGCACATAGTTTAACACATAAAGTTTATTACATAATATACGAGATAGATACTTACATTCATTAGCGAATATCTATTTTCCAAGTCTACTCCTGGTGCGCATAATCCACTTTCCTCATATTCTTCCACGAACTGATTGATTTTTATACAAAAATTATCTAATTCAGAAGAAGTTTTTTCAGCAAATATAAATTTCGTAATGTTAATAGCGCATTTACGTTCTAGAGCGTTCATATACAGCGAATTCCACTCTTTCTCTACTTGATGAGAAACTTCCTCATCATCAGATAAAAACTGAAAAAGTAAAGTCTTTAACGTAAAATCCAGATGAAAAAAGATAAATCATTTTGAACTTACTGGAATATCATGCGTGCGCAGAATAGCATAAATTTCTTGACAGGTTTTTATTTCGTATTCTGTACTGATTGTTAAGTTCTGAATTGTTTCAATGCAATCGAAAACGCTTTTGAAACATTCCAGGGTCTTGATCTTTTTTTGAACATCATTCTTGAGTTTCTGAAATAAATATCCATTATTTATCAAATTAATGCGTTATGTTTATTCAAATCGTTATAAAATCAAGCAGTTACGAGCTATTTTTTGTTAATAATAAAAAATATGCTAAATATAAATGATGAGAACACAATACGCATTGTTTGAAAATCCATAACAAAAGTATTTTCCCTCGTTGTTAGTTTTTTTGGCGGTGAGCATTTGGCTGTTGCTTAGGTTACAAGACTTTGATATAATTTTTAACTATATGTTATTTAATTGTTTTATGAGATGCATTGTTAATTTTGAGCTAGATTTAACTATTTTTTTATCTAACCTCTATAAAAACCCACACCTGAGTGGGGTAAAAAGGACCAACTAAACCTTTACCCTGAAAAAAAATCAAAATAGCAAATAAAAAAGAAAATTAAGTAAAAAAAAGCAATTTTGCAAGTGATAAATTAAATAAATAATTATTCCAATTCCGCTGATGATTATTTCTGTAGAAATACCAGATCTAAGTTATTTATAATGTTATCTCTGAAAAGAAATCACCTTTGAAATTTATATTTTGCATTGGTTGAATCATGTAGCTCTTTTTTTATAAAATCCCTTTAAAATTAACAGTCTTAATTTACCCCGCCTATGGGGTAAAAGGAATCAGGTTACAATTTATTGAAAAAAACAGCATATGAAACACATTTCTACAATGATAAATTAGCTGGTATTTTTATTGAATATAGTCAGATAGTTGTTTGTTTGATATGTGTTATTTGTTGTGAAATAATTGGTTTGGTTTTCACACAATACAATTGTTCAAAGTCAAATTGGACCTTAGTGACCCGCCTTACTCTATACCAAAGTAAACGCAATTCTGTAATTGAAAACCGCAAACAAATCATGTAACTTACCCCAATCAGTATCTCTATCGTTTTTATTTTATTATTCGTACTTTCAACGATACATTCTCCTAATATTAGTTTCCATTCCTTAGCATGTTCAATAATGGTCCCAATAACTGAACTTAAATCGATTTGAATGCAATTAACAATAACATACGGCTTGTGATCAGTCAAGTGCTTTATTATATTTTGGTAAAACATAAACTTTTCATCATATGTTGCTAATTTAGGACTAGGGCTTTTTGTTACAAAATTCTGACATACTTTTTGTTTATCATAAGACCAAAGAGTACAATATTTTTTCCATCTACAATAATATTTTTATTAATGCTAGTTTTAAATGTATAATCTGAATAACTAAAAGTAATTAACAATTATTTAATTTTCATTCGTAATGAATACAATAATTAATGTAAATAATCATAGTTGTCGTACTTACTTTGCCATGTAATTTTGCACTTTGACGACAAGCATAATAGCTGCGTTTTGAACAGAAAATATTAACTTATTAACAGATTTAACGCGTATAATATCATCATAATATGAAAATTTATAGTCCTCGTCTAAATCACTTGATATATGTTCTGGACATGGTATACAAGTGTTGTAAAGCCAACGGGGAAATGACTTTAACCTAGAATTTAAAAAAAGTTATATAAGTTATATAAAAGTTATATATAAGTTATATAATATATAATTAAATAATTGCTAGTAGTTGCAGTATAGTATAAAAATTAACATATGATGCATATGATTGTAGTTATTTGCCACAAACATAATATATACATACAATTTTCTTATTGTATGATGAAAAAAATAAATTGATACGCATGGTTATAAAAAAATATATTTCGAAATAGATTTCGAAGTTTTCTATTTGTCAGGTCCACACAGATAAATTTGTATTTGGTGTATTATTTAGTTAAAGTTATAATCCGATAAATTTGGAAAGCAATATTGATCTCACATTTGATTATATTATTGTTACTTTGCCAATGCATAATACGTGTATAAAATACATAAAAATTATGTTTTTATATTGAATACCTTTTTAAAAAATCCTCGACTGTGTCGCCAATGATATTAAATATTTCTATAGGTGTTGGCCGTATTTTAACTTCAGACGATTCCAAAAACGCTTTGATAGAATGCACCTTATAACTACTTTTTAAAAAATTATTAAAATAGGCCAAATTGAAATTAGTATACTTAACAAAACTTCTAAACATTTCTTTCTCCCATTGATCATAATAGTACTCCATTGCTTTTGAATTTCCAGTAGCTTGATTCAAAATAAAGCTTTCGAGCTTTATAATTGTAATACCAATTCCCTCATAAATATGTAACATTTGATTAATTTTAGATCTACGAGCTGTTTTAATGCAATCGTAATAATCCTAAAAATATAATGAGTAAAAATACATCGTAATTAAAATGCGGAATGAAGATTGATACCTCACAAGACTTGACTTCTTCTTCATTTTCCATTTGGATACAGAACATGTTGAATTCTTGTAATTCCGTAATGTCCCCTAATATTTCTGTTGAGATGTGATTCAGCTGGTTCACCGTTGACATCATACCTCTAATTTGCTGCATACACATAGTTATGTACTCTTGAATGGTAATGGAATCCCACGTGTATTGGCACAGTGCAGCGTTTATACATTTTTTCAAACTGAGCAAATGCACTTCCAAAAACTGCAGCTAATTGTAATATAGATATTTTAATATGACTTGTTTAAAAAATACCAATTTTTAATAGTTAAAGACTAACTTAATTCTTAAATAAATTCACCAACTTTTGATAAAATTTGCCAACATTTGCCCTCGAAGTCGAACGATTTTAAAAATTTTAATTTCTCGAAAAAGTCTTAAATTTTGAAAATTTGGGGCAATTGTGTTATTTTTTTTTACTGGTCTTAGAAATGTTATTCACGTTTACGGTTGCGAAGTTTAGATGAACAAAGTTAGTAAAAATTAACCACAATAACCAAAAAATGTAATATATATATATATATATATATTAAAATAAGTCGGGTTTTCCTTCCTGACAATATAACTCCAGAACGCTCGAACCGATTTCAACAATTTTGCAAAAGGTCTGGGGCTCCGCAAGGTTTATATATAAGAAAATTAGTATTGCATTAGTATGGCATCGTGCTTTAATGCAAATTGCGGAAACTTCACGCACCGTAATTAAAAATTCAAGTAATGACATTAGTGAGAATTATCATTATGCTTGGTTAAGTCAACGAGCAATTCTTGACGCAAAGAAAAATGATGTACACGCACTGAATTCCACCATTTAATCAAAAATTGCTGGCGATTTGGTGACATACCAAATATTCCGACTGGTCTTCCGTTTGACTTCAAACGATTGTAATTTCCAGTTCGTCTTGCGTTCGCAATGATAACCAACAAGTCGCAAAGCCAATCGCTTAGTGTTTGCGGGATAAATTTCAAATAGATTATTTAGAAAATTATTGTTTTTCACATGGGCAGTTATACGTTGCCTGTTCACGAGTTGGAAAACCATCCGCTTTGTTTGTGTTAACGTCAGACCAAAAAACAAAAAATGTGGTTTACCAAAGAGCACTTCAATGAAACGGATAATTTGCGGATTCACTTTCATTTACTTAGAGAAGTTCAACTAAAAAACTCTTCATTTTTGTAATCGAAATAAATTCATTACTGTTGTGTAATAAAGGCAAATTTTTTCTTTTTAAATATAAAACAAACAAAAAATGTCTTCATCTTTCTCACAAAACCATCTGGTGGCGAAACGGAGTTTATCGGGTTTGCTAGTATATATATATATATATATATATATATATATATTCTATGTATTATTTATACATATTAATACTATTACATGATACTTACTTCAGGCAGATCTGATGTATCTAGTATTTTGTTATTATTTGCCAACATAATTTTAACAGAAAAAAGGTTTAGATTCAATATGTCTTTAGTATTAACAGCGGTCCGAATTGAGAAAGGCAGCATAAAACCTAAACTTTGCATTATTTCTGCTTCGGTTATAACAGTAAATATTTCTGTAATGTAATACGATAGCTTGACTAATGAGATAATCTCGAAAGAATCGAGATTATCTCATTAATTGCGTAATAAACTACACAAATTCATAACAAGATCATTAAATTAACAGAGAAAATTTTAAACAAAATTATACGAATTACCTGCAGGAAAGTAAATTCTAAATGTTTGACCACTTCGTTTGAGTACATGAAAATGATCGATCTTATTTTCATCAGTCATTAAAATGTTTTGTGAAACTTTACGAATCTTGCTCGAATCTGCAACATTTTAATATCATATTACAATTCAATAGTTTTCACTGTTGTTCCGGATATTTTTGAAAAGATATGATGTAAAAATACTGCATCTAAATTTATTCATCATAATTTAAATAGATTATAAGTTTCGTTTAAAGCCAAATTTACATTTAGCTTATTTTCAAAAATAAATGTAAACAATAGAGCTCTAAAAGCATTAAAAACTCAAAATATTTCATAAGTCAATTAAGTAATAATAGTCAATTTTTGTTGTCAATGTTCTTATAGATATTTGTAAAAAACAAATTTCTAGGAAATCAAACTATTAACAAATTATTATTATATTAATTACTAATTTCCATATTTGTCCTCAAAATAGTATGTCTCTAATTTTTAATTCATAATGTCAAAAAAATTATCAATACATTACCTACTTTATTACCATTTTCTATCCGCAAAATATGTTGGCAAAATGTTTTACCGATAACAACTATACTTTCATGTAACCACTGAGAAAAGATATTCTCTTCGTACTCTAGAAGTTTCTGTGAAACATTCGTATAAAGCACAAAGGCCTTTTTCTTTATATTAAAATCGCGTATTTCTGGAACTTGCTGAAATGCAATCACCAACTTCTTCAACCGCTTCTGTAAGGTACGAGCCCAATAAATTGCTCCTGATTTAGGGGGATGATTACACTGTAAAGGTGGCCTACTTTTGCTATTCTGGAAGAATAAACAAAACAAAATTATATGAAATAATATATTATAATTAAATAAGATAATATTTTAATTAAGAAATTACAGAAAAGTTTTGGTAAAAATATTACCTTAAATTCTAATTCAATATTTTTCGTTTCATCAACAAATGAATGCAGTATTAATTTGAATTTAGAAATTCGCGTGTCTGAAGAAGAATTTCGATCTAGAGCATTTATGTCATATTCGCTGGCCCTGAAAAGGTTGTTTAACAATAATTATAATTATTATTAACAATTTAGAAAAATAAAGTAATAATATGTTTATATGCATATTTTGGAAAAGGCGCTATCAAACCAAATAGAAATATGATTTCAACTAATAGATTAGGCACACTGCTATGCTTATGATTATAGATAAAGTAACAGTTTTAATATTTTTTTTTAAATTTATTTAAATATTTCTATTGAGTATATTTTTACAACTCCACCAATAACATGTAAACATATTTACTCCCAATGCGCAAATATATATCTAGGTATCTCAAAATAGGTTTGAAAATTACTGCTAGAAGCTGTAAGAAGATACTCAACAGAGATGATAAAAGCCGTTAGCGGCACATTAGATTCATTTAGTCATAATTATCTATTTTGCAAATATTGATTATTTTGATCAAGCATGATAGATTGAAATTTTGGACTGATTGTCAACGAAAGACTAACCAACAGAATTAACTTGCTTTCGAAATTTTTAAATTGGTGCAGTTAGTTTGAAGCAAATGATCAGAAGCAAAATTTGCTTTCAGCATTAACTTAAGATAAGTCACATCAATGTCAAGAAAAACACATATAGTATTGATAGATATTCTATATTAAACATGCCTTATTTTACTATAATTTTGCTGCCATAATGTTTGTGTCTGAGCTTTTAAGTTTTCCACTGATCTCCAAAAATCATCCTGAACATTTTTCCAATTGTCACATGTGTCCTGTTTGTAAGTATCAAGCTCTACCGTTCGAAGTGGAGCGACAATTTTATGGATTTGTTCTATAACGCAATTACTTTGTTGCACAGAGTCGCATTTAATAAAATTCATTTCTTTGCCGAATGTATTTTCCAATTTTTCAACGGCCTACAACAATTATAATAAAGCATATTATTTTAAATATTACTAGCCTTAAGGCAAATCACCGCAACTATATGCACAAAAATGAGATAAATATTAGATATTTTTCACATTGAATAGCAATTAAAACTCAAAAGCGTTATAAGTTGTTGTATTGATTTCACTTAATACTTCGTCGATTTTACAGATAAAAACCCAAACAGTGGTTTCATTTCATCTGTGTCTGATGCTTTTGAAGTAAAACTTGTTTAGGCGCAACTAGAGTGTAAATACGTATAAATGCAACGAAAGTGAGTTACGGCAGATAAGAGTCGAGAGCCAATGATTCGTCATTCGCTCTCGATGATATTTCTATACGGGTCGATTGTGGTTAGTCATGTATGTGAATAGAGATCTGTCGTTGTATGCTTGCCGGCCTCAACTGAAGTTATTAAAATAGAGAATATTTCTTAGGCAAGACAGATATTACAGCTGTTCAAAGAATAAGATTTAATCGCCAGCGAAAAAGTAAAAAAAATACAAGCAGTAAATGAATGTATGTTAATTTTAATTACATGAAATTTTCCAAACACAATTACATGATGAGTAAAGTTGCAAAAACAATATTTGTTTAGGCGTTGTTTAACATAATCCACTGAGTGAACAATATTAAAGAAATTTATTAATCAGCAATTACTTCATTTCTCTAATGAAGGTTCATTTCTAAATGCTAATTACAATGACAAACCGATCATGTCATATTTGAAGTATGACTTTAATTACATTATTGTTTTTAAATATTATACATATTTTAATGCCATTATAAATATATAATTTATAATTTATCATTATATAAATGTGTATAATGGTTGACACTATTAAATGTGTGCATCACCAGTGTTACCATATTACTAATAAACATTATTCAAAATTGTTATGTGATGTATTTATTTTTACTTAACATACATTTGCTACTTTGTACAGTAGCAAATAAGTTTTACTTCAATCGCGTGTGATCCTTACGCGCACTCTCTTTTTATTATCACAATTTCTGTAACAGGGCAAATATTTGTTGATGTATAAATGCTGGATGAAGACTATTTTCACTTGGAAACATATTGCTATCTATTTTTTTATAGTGAAAACCGATGTCACTACTGCTTGATATCAGACTACTCAAAGCAAATATCGAAACTGGCACCTTTAATTCAGATCTTGTCGCTCTAGCAGCTTATTTACGAGCGAGCCTTATATTAGATATTTGAAATAAATTTAAACTTGTTGAATATTCTGAACTTAAATTGTTTTTTTAATTGGTTAGTTTTTCTAAAAATGCGTCTAGTTATGACGCCAATATAACATTGTACACAGACATAATATAGACTTATGACACATATCTTGGCATAAAGCTTAAGACTCTTAAAATTGGGATTTTCTTCTTTTTAGCTCTCAAATCCAATATTGCCCTTCCTTTTTCTTGTCGGTTTATTTTAACTCTTCCCTTTTTCTCCAGCGCCACAATTTATAACTTCTAAATATTTTAACAAAACTTTCATACCATCTATTTCATCATCAAGTATTGATTATAATTTATTACCTGTGTCATTGACCGTAAATCATTGCAGACAGATGTCAGCCACTCCGATTCACCAAATAGACATTTCCGATCAAACTCCCAACGCAGCGTCTTCTCTTCCTCCTCAATGCAACGTCGTGTGTCCATATAAGCATTTAACCAACATTTCAATACATGTATTGAATTTTGAGTTAATTTTTGTGATTCCGAAAATGAAAGACTGTGAAACATTAATTTTTCAGAAAAAAATCAATTTTAAATGACACTACATAAATATCTTACTGGTTGTCAAACAATAATAAACAGTAAACTCAAAGCATCATATGGCATACCTTATCGAAGACAAATATTTTAAATAAATAAAAAAAATTAGACCATTCGCATTAAACTGGAAACAAGCACGACAAAATTAAAACAAGCAAGATAAAATTAAGAGCCGGATTTGAAGGAAAACTGAATGTGAGACTCAAAAAGTATATACACTTAAAAAAACGTCAGAAATATTTCATTACATTTAAGTCAAAAGTTAAAAAAAAATAACAGTAATTTTAATTAATCAGAATGCGTCATTAGTTACAACATTTTACAATATGATATAAGTGTAATTTTAAAAATGTTAATATATTATTGCTGACAATGGGATAAGAAATGGATAAATACAAAACTACGTTTTTTGATAATGTCGTCGCTTTGATATAATAATAATAATATAACAATTTAAATAATAATAATAGTAAAAGCTATTACCTAAAAACTTCTCCGGGTTTCAGAGTAGATTTGATTCTTGCATTAACTTCATTACTCACTTGCTCCAAAAGTATATACATAGTGTTGTCAAAGCAATAATATTTTGACAATACCCATATAATGTGAAGTCTTTCAAGTAAAGCGTAGCAAACCTGTCCGACTTCGATATCATCTTTTGATTTCATAATAGTCTGTTTTGAACAAAAATATTTCATTTTCATTTTATATATTTTTTTTTTGTTAATTACAATCTGTCACACTTGAGACATTGAGTAATTGTTTTGACTTTTCTTATTATTATATGAATGGATGGCAACCCAGTAGTTGACCAGTCCAGGTTTGACTAATTATCTATACTCGAAGTATTTGCTGACTTTTTATTATAGATGCAACTATACCCACGAGAGGCGATTTTCACTTGAGGCTATATTTGAGGTCTATAACGCCAAGTGGAAATTTGACATCAAAGTTGCCTGATGTCGGTCTACGGCGGTAGCGGGAATCGATCCAGCGAACCTGGAACTAGTTGCTGCTAACCCACGCTCTAACCGATATCGCCACCGCTGGCCCTTATATTATATAACTTTTTAAAAAAGAAAAATCATTACCCGAAAGAATTTCAATATTGTACGCAGAAAGTAATAATTTTCTTTCGCTTGTGTGAAATATTTTTCAAGATCATTCATATATATTTTATAGCCTTCTATAGCACAAGAACCGGCCAGTTTTAATAAACGTAGCACTTCTTCTACTTCATACGTTTTTAGTTGGTCGAGCAATGTGCCCAAGCCGACGTAGCTCATTTTCCAATACTCATACTCAGATAGAAAGTTTTTTTCAGATTTTTGCTAAAAGGAAAAAAGGATTATTTATAATGGAGCCAATTCTCTGGTGAAATAGACCGTCACATACCGTTGTTATGGAAACTCTATGATACACCGCTTTCTTGGTTACAAACTGACAAATTGCTATGCATTTGCATAAAACCTAAGTTGACATATGTGGTATAAATACACATCATAAAGATGCAGTGATGATAACATTGTTTTTGGCGTTTGTAAGGTTAGGTTACCTATCTAAAATGTTTTACTGCACAGCAAATACAGTTTTTAGTACCAAGAAAGCAGCGTAACATAGTGTTGCCATAACAACGCTATGTTACGGTCAATTTTGCCGGATTTTGACTCCTACATATACCATGCAAATTTAAATACAAATAAGTTTATAATGTGTATTAAATGATATCAACATAAAGATCAATTTTAATTTGATTCAATTTTTTATAATAATTTTAAGTTTGTTGATATATATATATATATATATATATATATATATATATATATATAGATAAATTAAAAAAAATAGAACAAATCATTAGTCACAATATTATTCAATATTTTCAAATGTGATTTTTAATGAAATATACAAGCAAAAATAATTTAAGGTAATTTTTTAATTTAAAAGGTTTTCGAGCAATAAAAACATAAATATATGTATGAAAAATGTAGTTAAAAAGAGCGCTATGTTATTATTATTCGTTTCAATAAAAGGATTGACAAAAGAACATAAGTATTTAAAAAAATATTCACTTACTTTAGTATTATAATAGTCAATTATTTTTAGTACATGACGCTCCGTAGTGACAATATATTCCTCAAGTTTATTAACAAAGTCAGGATCATTTAGCTTTAGCACATTATCTTCCTCTTTATTACTCAAATCTATATTAGGCAACTCGGCGATTTGATTTACTACAAAATTATTTACATAATCGATAGACCTATACATATAAAGACAAAATTATTTCTTTTGAAATCAAATAATAGGACTTAATTATATAAGTGCGAGGGTAGTCTGCAAACTATCCGTTTTTACGTATGTGTATATGAATGTATGATTATTTTATGTTCAGTAAAACCTGTGTTATGCGATTTTGTTTTTGTGCAGAAAGTTTTCAGATCTCCCTCGTATATAATATGATATAATATACCATTTTAACTTGCTCTGCATTTTATCAATTATGTTTGTCGTTTCAGTACTTCTTATTTTTCTATACTGATAAAAAATCATATCGTCCAACTCTTGATTCGTTTCAGATTGCTTTAATCTAAAATTAACATATTTATATACAAAGTAATATTGTTTTTGATTTTTTTTATTCACAATATTTATACGTTAGCACTTTTTACATTACATTATTACAAATTTACTAAATTAGCAAAAAATTAAATTGTAGTGTATAATGCGAATTATGTTCTTTGCACGATTAGAAGCATCTGCCCCGCAAAACCGTAAGTATCTTACATATTGCAAGTAATTCAAGTATTTTGACGTAACATTAACATATAAAAATATAATAATTTAATATATAAAGCAAAATTGAAAAAAATTTTTTTTGCCTTCTATGCCATCGAATAAAATGAAATATCAAAATAAAAATTAACTTCATAAGCAAACGAAAACTTTCAATTTTATAAAATAAAATATAAAGCAATGGCACAACTTTCTAAGTTTATAAAATAAACTTGGATTATACCTTGATGAAGCAATGCACGATAATCTTCGATAATCAGATGGTTTAGTGGTGTCTCCATGGCTAATATCAGAATCTAGGGAGTGTTCTTCCACTGAGGATCCATCATCGTGTGCAGAATCCAAACTACTTTTTTCTGTTTCCTCGCAAGCGACAGGTAGAGCTGATTCACCAAATTGTTTATGAACTAAATCTGTAAAAACCTATTAAGCCAATATTTAATTTAAAATGACTGTTTGTGCACTAATCTGTAGACTATAATTTAAAATATCCATAGATCGACCAGCCTAGAGACGCGAGCATTTTATTCAGCTAATCATTAATATCAAAACTATTTTGTCAGAGAAAAATATTAACATGTTCCTCTCACTATTATGGTAAATATATTAACAAGAAAATTAATATTGAACAACGGCTTTCATCAATTTAATTTTCTTTGAGCATAATGCATTCAGGTGCATTGTTAGTATGCAATAAAATAGTACGACAATCGATTAATGTTTTACAAGTCAAAGCTTTAAAATTCATTTTTAAAAACAGAAAACTATTAGATGTACTTTGCTTTCTGCGTTTTGTCCAAAACTCTACAATTATTATCTGATAATGTTTTAAGATAATAATAAAAACATCCAAACAACTACTATAGTCGAAGGAAGTTGAAAAAATCATTTAAATCATGTTTGTTCCGATAATCCATTGCCGCATCATAAATTATCATTTTTATAAATTAAATTAATTCCAATAAATTTAATGTGATTATTTAAAAATTTAATCTATATATTTACCATGTACTTACATTTGTTAGTGAATTCATACAAGAAAATAATAATTTCCCGGTACAAGAACCAAATAGGAAATAGTTTGGCATTTCACATTTTGCATCTTCAAAATGAGTGAATTCAGGCATGTTTTGTTTCTCCACCCGTATAAAATATACATATCTTCTATTATGAACGATATTTTCTTTCAGATAAGAGCCAAACTGAATTATTAAAATTGGCATTTTCACAACAACTTGAATAGTTTTCTAATAAAAATGTGTGAAAGATATAGGTTCGACTTTTGAGTTATATATAAAATACGATTAACTCACCTTGATTTTTTTACCTCTTTTCTTTAATGGTTTGATATCTTTCTTTTCGGTTTCTAAAATTAGTTGTTTCTATTGTATTTATTATATAGTATTTTTATAAATATATAAAACTTATGTTTGCTTTCTAATAAAATATTTTTAATTTATTTAGATAGTATTAAATAATAATAATAATTTTCACTACTCATTTCAAAATTCTTGTTTTTTCATATTTTTAAACGCTTTTATTATAAATGATTTTTTACTCTGTTTTTTACGGAAATATAATTTCTTTTAATCACATGTTATAAAAATAAATTTAGTAATACTCAATAAATATAAAAAAAAAATCTGATATTAAGTAGGAAACTAATTGCCAAATTTACCTTATATCTGAAAATGTATAATAAAATTACTTTTACAACTCTTACAAATATATAATCTTACCAAAAACAACACTCTTTGAAGATTCGTCGATCGAATTTGAACGCAATTTTAAATGCGATTCTACTTCTAATTCTTCGTCATCATTGTCGTCTGGATCTGATATAAAATTTTTTGATTTAGTTATACATAATAAAAAAAATCTAAAAAAATATTTGATATATTTATACCTTTCTGACTCTGAGGCTTGAATTCTTCTTGTAAATCAATTTCTGCTTGGGTATCTTGATCTGCAGAAAATCATTAATATGAATGTGATTTCTAAACCAGTCCATGCTAGTTTATGAAATATATCACAATTAATATTTCAGGAAAATCTTGAGAATTAAAAAATAGTATGAAGCAAGCTTTTTGTGTGCATGATTTTATCTTTCAAATATGTAAAATGTGAACAGCATTTTTCAATCTTTAAGAAATTATCCTCTTATATATCAAAAAGGATTGTAATTGAAAAAAAACAGTTTCAAAATAAATTGCTAATTTTGATTTTCATATTGATTCCAAGAAATAATTGATTAATAAATAATATATATATATATATATATATATATATATATCATTATGAATTGAGTTATCAATAATATATCCCTTAATTTAACACGATTCTTTGTTTAGATTATATATTTAATATAATATATATATATATATATATATATATATATATATATATATATATATATATATATATATATATCGAAGAAAATATGAATTATACATGCATTGAAAAGGTGCAAAAAGACAAAACGAAATATAGTTTATAAAAAATACAGTGAATTATAAATAGACAATTATAATTTACCAACTTCCTTTATAGTGATTATTTTGTCAACTAATTTTTCGTAGTAAGATTTATAAACATATAGAATTCGGTGAGTTTCATCTCCTTGTTCTCCATTGCTTCCATTTAAAAAATTAAGTAGATTTTTTCTATTATTTCCACTTTCACCATTCAACATATCATCAAAAATATAATGATATTCATTTTGAATTCCTATAAAACAATAATTACATATAAGTTAATATTATTAAAAATTCATAAGATTTAATACCTAAAATATTGTTTGTGCGTTCTTTTAGCCATTCAATACGAAGATCTATATTGACTATTATTTTCTCAAGCGGTTGTTGTTCTTTTCCTGCTGAAATTTCTGCAAAAAATGTTAAATTAATTATGGATTATACTTTGATAGTTTATAATTATTTTTTTTTAATGTTAAAGAATTTTCCCAATTAATTCAATATTATTCGATGTTTTTTTAGGGCTTGCTCGTAGGTTAAGAGCGATGGGACCTGAATCAGAGGTCCCGGGTTTGAAACCCACTTCGAGCAGCCTGTTGTCAGGCAGCAGTGACAACGATTTTCACTTGGAAATATAGATAGTAATATGTTTCCAGGTAAAAATAGCCCTCATCCGGCATTGCTGCACCAATAAAAATACTCGCCCTATTACAGAAATTGTAATAATAATGTATCATATAAAGATGTGACAACTGTTACGGTTGCCATCTGTCAAACAGACTCGTATTAAGTCAAATCAGCACAACAGCTTATAAGGCTATTGGGTTCTGATTGCTGTTCAAAAATAATTAAAAAAAAACGATGTTTTTATCATGAGAAGTATAAGTGTTTAATCATTTCATTGCCCTCAGTTTTAATCTCACATAATATATTATCATATTATATCATACATAATTATTACACCTACAAAATATATTTATAAGTAGATTCATATTATGTACTTAAAACATCACGCATGAAAGATATGATGATAGTTAAGTTTATTTCGTTTAAATAAATAGTTTTTTTGTCAAAATGCTTATAAGGTTGAATTTCTATAACTAATACTATTTTACCTTTTTCTCCTAGTAGTTCAGTTGTTCCTTTCTCAACCTTCCCATCTACAGAATTACTGGCGTTCATTGTAGTAGGTAATGTTACTCTTTAAAATTAAAGCCGTAATGGACCGTTGAACTCATAATGAATTTGTATATTTAGTTGGTATCTTTGTTATTGTGAACTGCTTCTGAATTAGATTTTATTAACTTCCCGTAGGGCAAGTTATAGTAATCGCAAATAAATCGAAAATGAAAATTTTTATATATCTTTACGTTTCAGAGGTTTCTGAATATTTGGGCATACCTTAGAAAAAATGGATGTATGTGTGTGTGTGTGTGTGTGTGTGTATGTATGTATGTATGTGTGTGTATGTATGTGCGGATACAAATTTTCGTCGACGATTTCGGGAACACGGATCAACCGATTTGAATAATTCAAAAAACATTCGATTTGTATTGATAAGGAGACGTGCTGATTAGTTTTTGGCAGAAGCAGGTCTAGCCGTTCCGAAGATACGGGGCAAAAAGTGCCGAAAACGGTCACTCAGTTTTTAAGAGAACGGAGCGTCCGATTTAAATAATTCAAAAAACATTTTATTTGTATTGACAAGATGAAGAATTAATCAAATTTTAATAAAGGCAGGTCTAGCGGTTTCGGAGATCTAATGAAAAAAGTAAAAAAAAATGCCATTTGGCGGTTAAAAATGATCATTAGACATATGCACATCAAATTATCAGATATTTTATAGAGATTTTAACAATAAGTATAATTTTTAACTTCCCGTAGGGTAAGTTATAGTAATCGCAAAAAAATCGAAAATGAAAATTTTTATATATCTTTACGTTTCAGAGGTTTCTGAACATTTTGGCATACCTTAGAAAAAATGGATGTATGTGTGTGTGTGTGTTTGTATGTATGTATGTGTGTGTATGTATGTGCGGATACAAATTTTCGTCGACGATTTCGGGAACACGGGTCAACCGATTTGAATAATTCAAAAAACATTCGATTCGTATTGATAAGGAGACGTGCTGATTAGTTTTTGGCGGAGGCAGGTCTAGCCGTTCCGAAGATACGGGGCAAAAAGTGCCGAAAACGGTAACTCAGTTTTTGAGAGAACGGAGCGTCCGATTTGAATAATTCAAAAAACATTTCACTTGTATTGACAAGATAAAGAGTCGATAAAATTTTCATGAAGGTAGGTCTAGCGGTTTCGGAGATATGGAGGAAAAAGTAAAAAATTGAGCCATTTGGCGGTCAAAAATGATCATTAGACATATGCTCATCAAATTATCAGATATTTTATAGAGATTTTAACAATAAGTATACAATTTGTTAACATTCCTATGGGTTCCGTACCAATGCTTATGCGTTAGACAGCGACGCGGCGCTTACGCCCTTTATATTTTGTCCCTATGCAGTTACAGCAGTACGATTGCTTTGAAAAGAAAGTTCAGATCTTCCACAATATGTCAAAATAAAAAAAAAAAAAAATTTCAAAAAAAAACAAAAAAAAAATTAAAAAAAAATTTTTTTTAAAGAAAAAAATTTTTTCAAAGTAATTTTTTTTTTTTCAAAAATGTTAATCGTTTTGAAAAAAAAAATAATTTATGGTACGGGAAGTTCCAGCAATTTGCCTTAAGGCACGATGCCTTAATTGCCTTAAGACAGAATTCCACTTACAGCTAGTTTACATTTCTATGGGTTCCGTACAAATGCTTATGCGCTAGACGGCGGCGCGGCACTTGCGCTGTGACATTTCGTCTCTATGCAGTTCAAGCAGTACGATTGCTTTGAAAGAAAGTTCAGAATTTCCAAAATATGTCAAAATGAAGAAAACATTTTTCTTTTCAAAAAAATTTTTTGTTTTCAAAAAAAAAAATTTCTTTCAAAAAAAAATTTTTTTTTTCAAATAAAATTTTTTTTTTTCAAAAAAAATAATTTTTGGCCAAATTTATAGTTTCTCAAAATTCTAATTTTTTCGAAGTAAATTTTTTTCAAAGATGTTAATCGTTTTTAAAAAAATAATAATTTTTGGTACGGGAAGTTCCAGCAATTTTCCTTAAGGCACGATGCCCTAATTGCCTTAAGACAGAATTCCACTTACAGCTAGTTATACAATAAATCTGAAGTCGCTATTGGTTATCTGCGATGTGTCTAAAACAGAAAAACTACTGATCAATAAGGTCATATAGTTCTGGAAAGCAGATACGTAAAAAGTGTATTATTTCATTTGTGAAATATCTGCATTTTTTGCATTTCTATTTTTTTGATTCTATATTGCTGTAAGAAGGCTCTGTAATTTATTATTCTCCATGTTAGAACTTAACTAGCTGTAAGTGGAATTCTGTCTTAAGGCAATTAGGGCATCGTGCCTTAAGGCAAATTGCTGGAACTTCCCGTACCAAAAATTATTATTATTTTTTAAAACGATTAACATTTTTGAAAAAAAAAATTACTTTGAAAAAATAAGATTTTTGAGAAACTATAAATTGGACAAAAAATTAGTTTTTTTTGAAAAAAAAATTTTTTTTTAAAAAAATTTTTTTTTTTGAAAAAAAATTTTTTTTTTCTTTATTTTGACATATTGTGGAAGATCTGAACATTTTTTTCAAAGCAATCGTACTGCTTTAACTACATAGGGACAAAATATAAAGCGCGTAAGCGCCGCGTCGCTGTCTAACGCATAAGCCTTGGTACGGAACCCATAGGAATATTAACAAAATGTATACTTATTGTTAAAATCTCTATAAAATGTCTGATAATTTGATGTGCATATGTCTAATGATCATTTTTGACCGCCAAATGGCTCATTTTTTTACTTTTTTCTCTATATCTCCGAAACCGCTGGACCTACCTTCATGAAAGTTGTATCGATTCTTCATCTTGTCAATACAAATAAAATGTTTTTTGAATTATTAAAATCGGACGCTCCATTCTCTTAAAAACTGAGTTACCGTTTTCGGAACTTTTTGCCCCGTATCTTCGGAACGGCTTGACCTGCCTTTGCCAAAAACTAATCAGCACGTCTCCTTATCAATACGGATCGAATGTTTTTTGAATTATTCAAATCGGTTGATCCGTGTTCCCGAAATCGTCGACGAAAATTTGTATCCGCACATACATACACACACATACATACATACACACACACACACACACATACATCCATTTTTTCTAAGGTATGTCAAAATGTTCAGAAACCTCTGAAACGTAAAGATATATAAAAATTTTCATTTTCGATTTTTTTGCGATTACTATAACTTGCCCTACGGGAAGTTAATAACTTAAAGTGATAAGTGATGAAAATATTTTTTTAATTAATTAGGCATTGAATGGTTTAAGAACACAATTTCATAAAACTTAATTTCTACCGTTATTTATATATTAATTTTATTTATCATTTATTATATTAATACTAGATATTTTTAAAATGTGTATAATTTTAAAGCTTTCTAAAGAATTAAATTAGTTTGCACTATATTCTATTCAATGAAATTAAAATAATTTTGAATTTGGTCCTTTATCTATTTCTTTTTCACATACAATAAACTATATTAAACTAAATTCACATTAGACTTCATAAACTTTGCTAATCCTGCAAATGCTTCTTGTTCACATATTTTACGTCTTACTTCACAAGAACACTTATTTTTGGCATGCAAATTCGGAATGTCAAATTCAGCGATATTTTGTATGTGATTCTCATCAGATTCTAAACAATACTGACAAAACAAAGCTCTGCATGCATTTCCGAAGCAAAATAATTTCATTATTATATAACATAGATAATATTTTCGTGTTTACTTCGGTGTTTAATTCCTTGCCGACGCACAGCTGCCATAACAACAGAGCAGATTAGAGCAGCGGTATTAAATTGAATTAACAAACGATATCAGGCTTAATTTACAAAAGCCTAAACAACAATTATCAAATATTAATGGTAGATATATTAACATCATCTTGCAATAGAAAATAGAATTATTGAATTAATTTTTCTTAGGGTTTCCTAATATCAATTTGAAACCAGAGTCGCTGAACTTCTTTGGGAAGTTAAATAACAAATTTACCAATTAAAAATTTTGGAAATTAAGTAATTATTAATAATAAAAATGAAACCGGTGGTGCATAGCATTGTGGCTTAAGGCAAATTGCTGAAACTTCCCGTACGGACAATTAAAATTTTAAAAAAAGGTTTAAATTTTTTTGAAAACTTTTTGAGAAATTTGACATTTTTGAAAAAAAATGTTATTTTTTTATTTTGATTTTTTTTTTTAATTTTGATTTTTTTTAGCTTTTTCTCAAAGCTAGAGCGCTTTCATCTATACGCTGCTTTAGCTGCGTATAGATGAAATATCAAAGCGCGTAAGCGCCCTGTTGCAGTCTATCGGATAAATATTGGTACGGAACCTATAGAAATATAGACAACATTTGTACTTATTTGCACCGATTTGCTTAATTCAAAATACATTCGATTCCTATTGATAAAGAGGCGTGTTGATTAGTTTTTGGTAAAGGCAAGTCCAGCCTTTCCAATTCAGTTGAGAGAACGGAGCGTCCGATTTGAATGGCTTAAAAAATATTTTATTTGTATAAACAAAATGAAGAACTGATTAAATTTTTGGGAAGCTAGTTGGCGGTCAAAATTGATTATTAGATATTTTATCCAATTATAAGATATTTTATAGAGATTTTAATAATAAAATTTTGTTCACAATTCTATTATTGTCGTACCAATGTTTATCCATTAGATCGCGACGAGGCGCTTACGCTCTTCGATATTTTGTTTGTTAAAGCAGCGCGATTGTTTTAAAAAACGTTTCAAAAAATTCAATTTTTTTCAAAGTTTTCAAAATATTTTTAAGCTATTTTAAAAAAAAATTTTTTTGGCATTCTTTAAAGTCTGCCTGTCGATGGTAGTTTCTGCGGATTCAATTCTGGAGAGGAAGTCTGAGAAACGGCTACCACATCCAAGGAAGATCATCATATGAAAACCCCATTCTGTAGATCGTTTTGAACTCATAAAAGGTCGCAGATTATCATTCTGATTGTTGTCAGAAGTTCTACTGGTCGATTTTTAACTT